TCGCCAACATTTGTTGTTGCTAGTTTTTTTAATATGTGCCATTCTCACTGGTGTGAGATGGTATCTCATGGTAGTTTTGATTTGCATTTCCTCCAGCTGCTTTTAGAGAGCCACTTCCATGACCCTTTCCTGAGGAGTGCTCAGATCAGTTCAACATCATTCCCGCATGTGCGAGGCAACTTGATTAATGTCCATCTCCTGCAATGGACTGCGAAAGCCAGGAGAGCAGGAAGTGTTGATTTGGGATAGATGGATGGATGGATGGATGGATGGACACATCAAAAGGAAATATCTACCCACAGTAGATTTAAAAACATAGGGCAGCAGATTAACCAATCCCCTTTACAAATTCTAGAACAGGGCTATTCATGTCAACCCTCACTAATGGTGCAAGGGGTTAAGCACCGCACTATGAAGCAATCCACAGCACGAGTTTGATCCTCAACCAGCCAGGGAGCAACCCACATGGCGAAGCAGACCTCTCCTGTCTCACCTGCTACTCCCCTCAGCTGTGTATTTCAGTCAGTCTGCCTGTTCTGTTCCCCACTCTGTCTCTGGTGAATCCTCTCACCCCTTGCACCTCTGGCATGCACCCCAGTTCTTGTATGCATAAATAAATAAATCTTTAAAAAAAATCAAATCACGTATGTAAATGTACATACTTAAGAGTAGTAGATAAATAAATCCTGACAATCTAATACACTTACAACCATTGCAGACAACAAAGCTGTATTATTAATATTAAGCTTGCTAAGAGACTAGGTCTTAATTGTTCCCACACTAGAGAAAGTATAATTGAGACAGAGGTATCAGCTAATTCTGCAGTGGCAACCATATGGCAGCATAAATGTATTAAACCAATGTTATATGACATAAATTTACACAATATTATATGTCAACTATATCTCAATAAAAACTTTAAAAATCACGTAGAAAGCTAAAAGAATTATATACACTATGATTCCAACTATATTATATTCTTGAAAAGGCAAAACTATGGAGACAATAAGCAGATCAGTTGTTGCTAAAAGCATAGGGAAGAGGGTGGAGGGCAGGAGGGAGAGATGAATGGGTACAGCAAGGGGATTTTTAGGGCAGTGAAACTACTCTGTATGATACTGTTACAGTGGCTACATGATATCATACATTAGTCAAAACTCATAAAATGGAGCACTCCCTGGTGGTACAAGGAGTTAAGTCTCAGCACTATGAAGCTATCGGCAGCCGCTACAGCACGAGTTTGATCCCCAACCAGGGAGCTGACCCACATGGCACAGCAGACCTCTCCTGTCTCACCTGCTGCTCCCCTCAGCAGTGTATTTCATTCAATCTGCCTGTTCTGCTCCCTTACTCTGTCTCTGGTGAATCCTCTCACCCCCTGCACTTATGGCCTGCATCCCAGCTCTTGTGTGCACAAAGAAATACATCTTAAAAAAAAAAAAGCCACTGGGGTAAAAATCTGGGTTATAGTTGTAGGGGAGGTCTGACCTAGCTTGAAGACTGGCAAGCAGGAACAGAAGTCCAGAAAAGGCCAGATACACAGCCCAGCAATGGAGGCTCACCGGGATCAGGCGGAGAGAATGGGGTTCCCAGAGGCAAGGCCCACTCTCGTGATTCAGCTAAGAGATGCCCTTCCATGGTCTCCACCACAGGGGAACAAGTAGATATAAATTTTGAAAGTAACTTAGCCCAGGGGTGAGGTTGTGACTCCTGGGCCCTGGTTCCAGTCTTACCAGCCAAGGGAGCTGTGGAGCAGAGAAGGCTGCCTGGAGGAGGTGACTTGGAGATGGTAAGGGTCTAAGTGGCAGGGAGTACAGGAAGGCTGACCACAAAGCCAGGAGGGGCTAATGACAAACTGGTCTGTCTGACCTGGGTGGGACTGGAACCTGCTCTGGAGAGTGACAGGACCTAGCCCCTGTCCTCTGGGTCATCCTGGCTGGAGAAATGGGTATGTCTGAGAACCTAGAGGGCAAAGCCACGTCTGTGCCAAGGGGAGGGGCTAGGACTAGAGATGATCATGTAAGCCAGGGGCGCCCAGTCCAGCAGGAGGCTGGAGCTGTGCAAGGAGTCCTCACAGGACGGGTTCGGTTCCATGTGTAAAATGGAGGATAGGCCCTTTCCAGGTCCCCTAGGCCTTACTTGGTCCTCAGTGCAGCTCCTACGGCCTCCCTTGGCAGAGTCCCAGTGGTCCAGGAGGCAGCCACATAGATAGGTGCACTTGTATGCTGGAGGGGAGGCTCCAGCCTCAGCTCTGTGTGTGTGTGGTGTGGGGGTGTATAGGTCCCAGTAGAGCCCTGGGGAAATGAGAACACAGTTGTCCTGCCTATCCTTTCTTCCTCTCCCCTGGAATGAGACCACGTAGGATGATAAGGAATTGGTTTTGGGGAGCAGAGATCAGAGGGTCTGTGGGATCCAGAGTCCAAAGACATTCTCTGCAAGGAACCACAGGGTCCTCCCAGGCCACAAGGGAGAATGACCTCCAGTCTTCAGGGGTTCGCCTCTGGCCTGGGCTCAGCTCCCCCGTGTGGTTAGGTCTAGAATTACAGCCTCCGTCTCTGATTTTCTCAGATGCCCTTGGAGTGGTGAAGGGTTCAGGGCTCCCCCACCACCACCACTGGCAGCTGGTATAGAAAAACTCAGGTTGGGTTGGATGGGGTGAGCAGGACACCTGAGCTCTAGCCTGGCTCTTTCCCGACACACTATGTGACTCTGAGCAAGACACAGCTCCCCGGGTCTCAGTTTCTCTCCCACAGTATGGCTCCTAGGGTCATTGTCCTGACCCCATACCCCCGTTTTGTTGGTAAGCTCTTTTTTTTTTTTTTTTTTCTTTCCTTTTATAGAGGCATGCTTTATTTATTTGTTTGCTGGTTTGTTTGTTTGTTTGTTTTGTTTATACATGCACTGGGTACAGTCAGAAGCGCGGGAGGGTGAGAGAATTCACCAGAGCCAGAGCGGGGAGCAGAGCAGGCAGAAGGACCGAAGTACACTGCTGAGGGGAGCAGCGGGCGGCAGGAGAGGTCTGCGCGCCATGTGGGACCCTCCTCCGGTGGCCGGGGAGCAGCCGGGGATCGAACCGGCGCCGCAGAGGCCGCGGGCAGCTTCGCAACCCAGCGCTCAACCGCTGCGCCACCGGGGAGGCCCTGTTGGTAAGCTCTTATGCAGACAATCTGGCGTGTCAGAGCCAATGGTTCAGGGTGTGGTGACTAAGGCCTGGAATGAACATCCCGGGTGGGGTAGAGAAGAGGTTCTTACTGCAGCTAGGTCTTGGAGAATGAGGCAGGCTTGACAAGTAACAGCAAGGACTGAGGAGAACAGTGAGCAGAAAGAGGGGGTGCTGAAGGGCCGTGAGGAGCAGGGATTGGAGGAAGGTAGGGCTGGGTGGGGCATGGGTCAGGAGAGCAGAGAGCAGGTTGATGGCAGGGGTCTTGATTGACATGTGGAGCACTGTGGAAGGCACAGAAGGTTCTGAGAGGGGCAGAGGTGCTCAGGGGCGTGCTCAAAGAGCAATATGGCAGTAGGTGGGAGGAAGGATTGGAGGACTGAGACCAAGCCCAGGAGACCAGCAAAATGAGGCTGAGGTAGGAAGAAAATGGGGACAAGCTCTGCTTACCTGTCCCTCAATCTAAAGACGGCAGCCCCAGAAGCAAGAGGTACTATGGTTGCTTTGTCAGAAAAACATCCTGGACCTTGGCCTTGAGTGAGCTGAGGAAACACTTTGCAAGTTTCAGCCATGGACGAAAGCACACTGTACCTTTTAACTGGCTTTCACGGATGTATGGGTTACATACAATTTTCTCCAGAAGAACTATAAAGTGTATGACAACAGGATAATCATGTTATTGATGGAGTAAATCTCCAAGTTCAATCTCAAAGACCAAAGGTTTTACAAGGGGATCAAACATCTGATGAAGAGAAAGATTTTTGAGAGAGAGAGAGAGCACCACTTATCTGTTAAATAAAGCACACCAAGCAAAAGGCCTGCTATTGGTCTTGGTGTTTCGGGGAGCATCTGCTATGGCCAGCACTCCCTCTGAAGAGGGCTTGGGGAAGCCTCTCAGGAGACCTCCCATAGGGACCAGCCAAACTTTGGTCTCCATTTCTCAGATGGAAAAAAATTGATCACCAAGCTGGACAGCCTCTGACTTGAGGCTTCTGGTTCGCCCCAGCTGGGAGGTTCAGATGGGCCAACACCAATCATGCAGGATGTGCTCAGCCCCTGGCTTCCTTCAGGGTTCCCTGGTTCTGGCAGCCCCAGATGCATCAAGGTCTTTGTTCTTCTGTTAAGGGTCTCGCTTGCTGAGTACTGAGTACTAACTATGGACCAAGCACAGTGTCAGATGCTTGGCATAAGGACTTCATTTAATCTCACAAGACGCCTAGGAGGAGGTGTTGATGTTATCCACATTCTCTGACAAGAGAACCAAGACACCTCCAATGGTTCGCCAAAGGTCACACCGCTGTTAAATGCAAGGCTTGGACTCAAGCTCAAGGCTGCCTGAACTCAAGGTCAACTCTTCTCATAGTAGGGCCATCAAGGGTCATACTGCAAGGGGGGAACTGCACATTCCCCAAAGTCTGTACCAGCGCCCAAGGCTCAGGGGCACAGGAGAACCCTAGGCCCAGGACTCCTGTGAGGCTCCACTAGGACTTCTGCTCCATGAGGAGTCCTGATGGCTCACAACGGCCAGATGGTAGCCTCCCTGAGCCCCTTAAAATGAGTAGGGTGCCCTCATGAGCAGCCCATTGGCTCCCAAACACCTTGTTCTTCCCAAAGAGGGGCCTTCTTCCTAGGAGACTAATCCTGGATTAAGCCCCTCATCTTCCAAAACCACCCTCCTCCCTCCCTCTCACCTTCTGTAGAGCTCTTCCCACTATTGCCCTGCTCAGAACCTCCCAGAAAAGCCAGCAAAGCCAGATGGTCCTGTTGGTAAGAAAGAACACATATCCAAATGCAAAAAAAAAAAAAAAAAAGTACATGCAAAAAAATTTTTTAACTCAAGTGAGGGCTTTTATTGTTTTTAACTCACTTCCTGGGAAGTTAATTTTTAAAACACTCTTACGGAGTTTGTTCATCACCTGTGCTACATTAAAAAACAAGGATGCTGACCAAAACCCTCAGTGATGGGGTGGGGACCCCCACCTGGCCTCTGACCCAGGCAATGAAACCGGGTCCCACTGAGCTCTTCTGAGCTCTTTGAGGGCTGGTCCAATCAGCATAGGCCCTGCAATCCCCACCCTCCAGGCACCGCCCAGAGATAACTCAAGAACTTGCAGAACCATGACTGGTGCTTCACTTGCCTCCCACGAACTCTATAAAAGTGTTCTTAAAAAGAATACTGAATTCTTTTATAAGCCCTGGGTCACAATGCCTTAGCGCAGAAGAGCCAGGGAGAAATGTGCACCCATTACCCACGGGCCATGTTCTGCTCATAGCCGCGAATAGACATGGAAACTATAGTACAGATGCACGTGCCGGTGCGAGGCATGCGAGTGTGCTGTGTGCAGCAGATGGGCACGCACATGCGTGTGTGCATGGAGGCGCGACATACACCCACAGGCACAGAGATGCAGGACGCGGCGCTCCTTCTGCCCAGCCTTTCAGGTCTTCCCACTGTGAGTCCTGTAGTCTCACACCCATGCCGGTGACCCCAAACCCTTGTTTGGCCCATGTTTTCAGGGGAGGTATCCGAGTCCTGCTTTATTTTTCTTTGGGGGTCAATCTCTTGAGCATTTGGTCAGTAAACAAGTTGGTCAGTAAACAAGTTGGCCAGGTACTGATTCTAGAAGGAAGAGGAAGTCAGCTCCCGCACGGCCGTGTTCAAACACTCCAGTGCTCCAGCTCTGTGCGGGCAGTGTGGGCTGAGGCAGTGGAGAGACACACCTCCCCTGGCTGCCCACCAGCATGCACACACACCCACCAGGGTCCTGCTTCGAGCGCGGCCTCCAACCCGAAGAGGAGAGTGAGGGCAGCTTCCAGCCAGATGTGTATGCCAGTGCAGGATGGGAGATTGGATTCCAGTTACTTCAGCATACGGAGGTACAGCCCTGTGAGTCCAGCATCCTTGAGACACCTTGGCCCCTGGTATCTCTTCAGCAGCCATAGCTCTGGGGAGCCATGAAGGGAGGGAGGGAGATGAGCAGGAAAGTTGTATACTCCTGGCTCAGCCCTCCATCCGGAGTTCGAATCCAGCCCCTTCTCTCCACGGTGCCACGTGTGAAACAACCCAGGAGGGTCAGTCCGGTCCACTTAGCTGCCAACAAATGGAGGCGTATGCTGGGTACCACCCAAAGCTGTAGGAGAGCTCATCGAATGGTGTCAAGCAGGGCTATGCCCCACCGCCCACAAGATAAAAACAAAAGAAAAAGACAACATAAAAGGAATCTGAATTTTCCATTACTGGCCACCTCCCCTGTTAGACCCAGAAATACCCATGAAGGGGTCAGGGCCTCCGGATCAGCATACTCTGTAGTCAAGAGCTCCTGCAGCACCCTCCTGAGGTCGGCAGGATCCAGTCCTCCATGTGGGTGTGGCAGCTGAGCCAGTCCACCCGGGACCCCGCAGGAGGTCTCTGTGGTAATGGGGAGTCAGGCCTCCACCTGCCATCTTGCTTTCCTGCCTCCTGCTCTGGGCCTTGCCAACCAGCTGGATGGGGTGTCCAAGGCACCATGGGCACCGAGCTTCCCCACAGGATGGTCTCATCAGGGAGAGCAAGGACAAGGAGAAAGGCCTGGTGGGACCCCTGCCCCCCAAACCCCAGATGACACACATTCCAATCCTGTCCCTGGATACGCGCGTGGAGGTCATGCAGCACGACGGGGTAGGGGTCGGGAGCGGGGCCAGTGCCCAGCCCCCTGCCTGCAGGGGCAGCTGTCGCATGAGGGCGGTGGGCCTTTGGAGGCGCGGGATGAGCGTGCTGCTGGGCGGCCCTTGGCGCATGCAGGGGCTCAGGATGCAGCCTCATCTTCTTGGACACCGGGGAGCTCCGGGCTCTTGCCCCCTTCACAACACCCTTCTTTCCTGTTCAGGGGACACCAGGGGCAGGAGACCTCAGGGGTCAGAACATGCTCTCAGGAGGACCCCCACACCCATTTACACAGTCTCTTACATGCCACTTCCCCAAGTTCACCAGTCTCACCCCCCTATATTGTGGCAATCCCTCCCTGCTGGTCTCTCTGTGTCCTGGCCCTACCACATCTCCACGTGGCTCCCTACTGCCCCAAGATGAAGTCTGGACTCCCTGGCCTGGCCTCCAGAGCCTCTCACAATCTGACCCAACTGACTTCTCTCCATCCTGGGGGATCAGCCAGGTCACTGGCCTTCCGTGTTGGCCTAGATCAGCCCCCACTGTCTTGATAGAGCCACTTTGGTTTTGCATTTTATATATTGTTTTGCCTTGTTCACCGGGCAGTCAACCTAACAGCCCTGGGAGTCTGTTTCAATAGACTCAGTTTTCAATAGATTCCTGGATCTGATTTTCTCCCTAAGACCATTCTTTTTAAAATGACCAATGAATGGGTTTTGATATCATAAAAAAGAACCTACCTCATTTAACTACTGTAGAGTTTCAATAATTATCTTAATGCATAAAAAAAGAGTCTATCAAGGACAAACATTAGGACTCTGATGAAGTAAAACCTGCTTTTCAAAATTAAACTTGGGTCATAGGATTACAGAATTTGATAGCTGAAAAGTATAAGCTCAGTCTTCCCACAGTCCAGAAGAGGAAACTGGCTTGTCCCCCCCCACCCCCCACCATGTCCACAAAGGGAAAACGGTGGCTTTGCTCAGCTGTGTCCTTGACACCAACTCTGCCAGGTGTGGCAGGGGCTGCATTTCTTTAACCTGTGACTAGCCTGTTCCACCAGGAGGGGGCGCTAAGTCACAGGCCCCAAGCTAGTGACCCTGTCCTGGTTATGCCTGATTATGTCATCCTGGCATAAATAGTTATAGCTTCCTCTTTTACTCCCAAAAGTGGCTCCATTTGGATGCTGAATATGGGAGTCCCTACATTAAGCCAAATTCCAGCATCAGAAGCCCCTCCCCCAGCCCTAGCTGCCTCACTGAAAAGACAGAGTCAAGGAGGAAGTTAGGGGTGCTCCCAGGCCCCACCCCTCACCCCCATCAGTCAGGAAAGGAGGGCCAGAGGCTGGTATACAGACAACCTCTTGCACGGAACAGACACTAGCTTATCCACTCTGAAGGAACCCAGAACTTCTGAAGAGCCAGCTTACAAGAGGGGAGGCTCACATGAAACCTACATGGAAGCCCTAGACGACTGCAATGAAACTCCTCCTGGAGGCCAGGGCGCCCAGACTACTTCCTGTGCCTGCCCCTATGGGGAACACACCTTCCCTCACAGCGCACTGTGGGGCACACTTCTGCTGTGGCTCTCATCATGTCACAGGGCAGAGGAAGGTGACAACATCCCAGGGCCACATTCTGGTAGGGGACCCCCTGAAGGTTTTCCCTCTGCAGGTCTGTGTACAAACTCCAGCAGGCCCAGTGGACATCCCAAACTGACTTTTATTATATTTTAGTGGAAGATAGTAGTGAACTCATGTGTCTGGTTCACAGTAGGGAGCCTTCAGCAAAAGGGGTTCCTCTTCCTGGCCCACTCAGCTATCCTGTCCATGCTCATGTGCCAGACAAGTATTTACAAAGCACTGACTGGGCCTGTGGCCTAGGGAATAGCTGGCGGTAGCACAGGAAACTCAGGAAAGCAGCTGATACTCCCCCCAGGCCAGGAAGAGTCAGAAGTACCTTCCTTCCACCAACAAGCTAGCCTTCTACCACCTTCTACAAGGAACAAAATGAGGCCTGTCTGCAACTCTCTACCAGGCTGCCATGTCTGAAGACAGAGGTGCTCACCAGGTCCTAATCTGAGACCTGCTTTAGGCTCCAGGCTCAGCCTGCATAGCCCAAAGACAGTGAGAGTGGGGGATGTGCCACAAGCCCCCTTTATCCCCTCTCCCTTGCCACCCAGGAGCACCCTACAGGCCTCAGCCCATCCATACTTACGAAAGTAAGTTTCCTGGAGCAGACATGGATCGCTCTTCCCTCCGCGCTTGGGACTCAAATGGGTTCCCAAAGGAACGCTTTCTCAGCATGGACTTAACCAGGATCTGGAGAGGACATGTCAGCATGAGGAACACAAGCCTCTCTGATTCCCTTTGGGGACAGCTGCTGGGTGTGCCCTGCTGAAGCTCCCTGAGAAAGGAAGAATCTTCGAAGTGGAGGAAACGTCATGGGCAAAGCACGGAGTGTCAATTTCAGGAATGGTGAGGAGCTTGGTATGACTGGTCCACAGGGGCACATGGGCCAGGAGCAGACCAGGAAAGGTCTGGAACATCAGGCAAAGCCAGGGCTACTTTCTGAGGGCTTGGGGAGTGCAATTAGGAGACACCCCACAGGCTCCTCAGGAAGGATGGCATGGAGAGAGTGGAGCCAGGCAGCTCAGAGAGAAGACTCAGTGGCCTGGGGGAGATGCCCTGGGCAGGGATGGGAGGGCTGCCTGGAGGGGAGCTGCTACTGTACTCTGACCATTCCTCTTCCAGCAACAAGGACATATCTGTGCCCCTACCCACACACAGTGTAGAAGGCATGCATATAGCAGTGTTGCCTTCACTTGTTCTTTTATTCATTTTTGTTCATTCATTCATTCAGTCAATCAACAAGCATGTATTGAGCACCAACTGCATGCCAGGCACTATTCTAAGCACAGGGACCACACTGAAGCAAAAAATCCTTGCCCTCGTGGAACTTATAGTTTAGTTGGGGTGGGGGGGATAGGCAAAAACTAAGATAAATTAGTAAAACAGATGATAGGTAGCTAGTGGTAAGGGCTAAAGAGAAAAAAAAAATGAAACAAGGAAGGGGGATAAAGTATGACAAAGGGGAGGCTGGAATCTTAGATAAGGGTACAGGGGAGGTGACAATGGAGTAATGAGTCACATGGATATCTGGGCAGGAGCACCCCAGGTAGAAAGGAGACAAATCCCAAGGCTCTGGGGCAGCAGCTCACATTTGGAGCCCAGGGAATAGAGGGGGGAGAGGAGATGACAGGGTGATGGTTCCAAGTGACAGTGGAGCTGTGTGACACGATTATGTCCCCGGGGCCACCATTAACTAGTGGGGTGAGGGTGGGAGCAGAGGGACAACTAGGGAGGCTACTGCAGTGGTTTAGGAGAGGGAGCATGGAGCCTAAGACCAGGGAAGTGACACAGGGATCCAGCAGGACAGACTCCACAGGGCCCTGGAACTCTACAGAACACAGGCCAGCTGGCCCGAGCTGGCCCTACTGCCTACAGGGACAAAGGGGCAGGTCAGAACTGCCCACCGCACAGGCCCCAGCACTCTCTGCTGGGCTTGTGCTTACCCTGACTCACTGTGATACCTCAGTGCAGGGCAGGCCATTGCTCTGTGTCCAAAAAATCCCCAAATGGCCTTTAGAGGCTACACTCTAACTTCCAACTGCTAATATGGAAGATGTCCAGAAGATGAGAAAAACTACAATGTGAGAGAACGGAGAGAGCACACAGCTAGTGTCCAGTGGAATGTATGGGGACTCTGAGGCCACCCCTCAATTCAAAGGCTTCCCAGGCCCTTTCACTGTCATGTCCCTGACACCTACTACAGTGCCTGGAAAGTGGCACTTAAGTGGAATAAATGGAACAAATGGAAAGCTGGGAGGGAGGGGGAAAAAGGGAGAGAAGGAAAGAGGGAGAAGGAACATGATCGCTGACACTCAGCAAGGGCAGTATATCTCTTTAAATCATCCGCTCTCCTCACCAGGCCTCCTGTTCTCCCTGCTACAGGCTGCACGACAGGACTCCTTCCCGGCGGGCCTCAGCAGGACAGTGGTCTCAGTGGCCCAGATCAGGGCTGGCTGGCCAGGAGTCTCTGCCCTCCCACAAGGCTCAGCAGGGAGTGTCCTCACTGGACACACCCTCCGCAGGCCCTCCCAGGGCAAGGGAGCCTCCCCCTCCCCCTCTTACCACTGTGGTCCAGCTGGGGATGAGCTTGACCGAGTTCTTCACCTCCTCTTCCGTCACCTCCACCACACTGCAGTGTTCCTCCTCTGAAGGAAGGGGTTCCTCCCCATTCTTGGTCACCCAGGGGTGCAGCTATGGAGGCCAGGAAGGTGGGGAGAGGTCAGGACCACAGGAAGAGAGACACCCAGACTTCAGGGGACCCCATGCATTCCACTAGCAATAGCCTTAAGAAGGTCCAAGGCCCACAACCCCCAAGCCCAAGCCCAAACCACGCATATCCCAGTGCAGAGCTCTCCAGAAGGGGCTCGCCTGTCTGCTGTGTCCCAGCCCGGCCCAAGACCTCTGGTTCCCCAACCTTGATGTCTGGCACCCCAACTCTTGTTTCGGGATTCTTGTCTAACATCTTCAGGATTAAGTCCTTGAGCTCCTCACTCACCTTTGGCCTAAAAAGGGGTAAGGGAGAAGATGAGGGAGACAGTTGATGAGGATCCTCTCTGTCCCACCTCTCCATCCCCACCATGCTCAGGGGTCCTGATTAGTGCACACCAAGGCCCAGACATACTGACCCTCATCCTCAAAGAGCAGGAGGGACAGTCCCAAGGTAGCTGGACAGAAGGAGAGAGTTTCCAAACAAGGACATGGATATCCTTCTTTCCTAAGTAAGATGTAAAACAGTCTTCCTCGGGGAGCAGAGACCACAATCACAGAGTTCCAGGGGTTCCAGCCACCCCCTGGGTGGCAGAAATGGTAAGAAGAGTCCCTTTTGGGGGACCAGGGCTCTTTACCCCTAATCACCATTTTATCCTTTCCTCCACCTGGGAAGTGACCAGGAGATTTTCATTTGACAGAGGAGGAAACTGAGGCCTAGATTGGTTAGGGGGCAGCATGCTGCCACCCAGAAGAATGAGGCGAGGGATGAGTGACTCTGGGGGAGGAAGCAGATCTTTTAGGCCCACAGCAGCCTGGACTCTCTCCACACACACTCCAGGCTTCTCTACTACAGTCTTGGAGAGCCCCTCCCTCCAGTCCTGGGGAAAAGAAACCCACTTTGAGGACTGTTGATTGTGCCTCCCTGTACTATCCTAGCTACTTAATCCCTTTTAAAACTCCTGGATGGGAAAGAAAGACCTCTGGCAGGGGGAAAGTAAAAGGAGAGACACAGAGATAGGCAATTACAGGAAAGCAGCAACCCAGCTGGCCAGGGCTCTGGGTGTGGGGAGCAATGGGGCAGCAGATGGACAGGTGGCAGAGCATGGAGGACCTGGAATGCTAGACCAGGGCATAGCCCCTGCCTACAGGCGTTAAGAAACCTCAGAAAAACTTCAAGGGGGTTGAGGAGATGGGTTGTGCTTTATCAGGGTAACCCCTATGGTGGCTAGGCTGGAGAGAGTTGACAGCGGGGAAAGTGAAGAAGAGGAGGTAGCTGGACAGGGCTGAGGACTGTTCTTGGTGCGGGAGGCCTGTTGGGGGGGGAAGGGGTGAAGGGAGGGAGGACATAGATAGCAATGGAGCCAAGAAATACATAAGAAATGGTCTTAACAGGCCTTTGGGACCAGACAGGAAGTGGACACGAGGGAACAGGAGTCATCAAGGACAACCCCCAGGCTTGTCTCTGACCTGCTCCAGGGAATATGAGTAAATGGCAGAAGTGCCCTGGAAGCTGAGGAGCCAGAGGACTCAGGCTGGCTGCTATGATAGTCAAAATTCAATCAGAAGAACCATTGATGAGAAGGGAGGCCTCTCCAAGCAGTCCCTCAGGGCTCAGAGGCCTCAGTGACAAAGGACAGGACCGAGAGAAGGAAGTGACTTCATATCCCAAACCCTCTGACAATGTTCCTCCGGAGCCTCCAATTCTCCATCTGTGAAATGGGGGAGCACACTGGCACCATCCCTGTATGGGGAAGGTAGAGGTTCCCCATGAGTCCAGGGTCTACGTGGTATTGGTGCCATTGACACCATGGAGGCCATCAGTGGAGAAGCAGTGAGAATGTGTGACCTGGGGTCATCCCTGCCTAGCTCCAGACCTCAGAGCTCCCATCTGTACAAGAAACAAGCCAGATGTCAGAGACCCTGCTCCACCACCCCACCCTCCAGCTGCCCAGGGGCCCCACCCAGGGAAGAGCATCTACCACATAGAAATCCATAGGCCTGGGTGGGGCCCTCACAGGGCAAAAACTGTGCTGAAACTCAGACACCCCTGGGGGTTGTGGGGAGCCCCTGGCAGAGAACTTACTCCTCCGGAAACACTACAGCCTCATTCTTGATCTTCCTGTGCAGGGCCAGAATGTAGTCATCAATAAACGGGCACTGTAGGTGGAGAAGCAAACAAAGAATGCAGCCCAGGGCCTTGATTCACCCTGCGAGACTAGCCCATTTCTTGATGAGGTCCAGGGGGGTGGGGGTCAGCTCTGGGCTCCACATTAGATGGGAGGGGCCTCATTTAACTTGTTCGGGCCTGGCACATAATAGGTGTTCACTGACTGGATGAATGAGTCATTAAGACTACTATGATTAAAGTAGTAGTACTAGGTGTACTACTACTAGTAGTACTATTAAAGTACTAGGTGTACTTTCATCATGGGCAGAAAGGTGTCACTCCCAGGGCCTGGAGTTTGGGACACGTTCACTAATATCCCCTCCTGCCCCTCAGTGCCATCACTAGAGTGGGGGCACCTATGGACAAGGATCTCAGCTAAATCAGTGTTGGGTGAACCAAGGCCCAGCCTGACCCAGAGCAGGAGTCAAGGTCCTTTGATGAATGAGTAAGAATGAATGGATGAATGAGCAGTAGCAAGGAATGGAAGGACTGGGAGCACTCTAGATGGAGAGGTGGGCAGTCTCAACTACACCTCCCTTTGGGATGTCTACTGTCCTGGCACTTCTTCACATGAATCCCCTCCCAGGCGGACAAGAGAAAAACAGAAAAAGCTTCTTTTCCCTTCATCTTCTCTGAGCCAGGTGGGCTCTTTCAAAAGTCATTTTGCTTTAGGACACAAAAGAAGGGCCTACACTTGTGATTCATCCTAGCTCAGCTGGGCCCAGCCTACGGTTACAGGGATCTGGACCAGGTCCAAATCTCCAGTCCACCCAGCACTCACCTTCCCATAGACAAAGCAGTAAAGCGTGACACCAGTGGCCCATACATCCAAGGCCTAGAAAAAAACAGCTCACATCAATCCCCCAAAGGAACCAACACCTCTTGCCCACCCAACTCCAGGGAGCTGTGAGAGAAGGCATGCAGGGAACTGCCTTCCTCAGTCATGTATTCATTCAATAAACATTCCCAGGCACTTGCTCTATGCTGAGCATTGTGGAGCAAGGGATAATGAGAACAGAGCCCCTGCCCTCTAGGGACTCCACATCTCCTTGAGACAGGCCCAAACCAGATACATTTCCAACTCAACAGGCGCAAGACCTGCACCTACAGGATCACATTTGCTGTATTCATGACCCGGGCACACCCCAGAGATGATAGCATATATTGAACTTACACTCGCTAAACCAGCTCTGGCTTTAAGAGGCCATCCCTTTTTCCAATGGCCCACAGGAGATGCCACCATGCATGCACTTTTTTTCTGATACCAGAAACAGCCTCTGCCACGCTGGTATCCTGGCCCTGCACCACCTCCACAACTCTTGGGCTTCCCCCACACCCCAGTTTTGAAGTGTGCTCTGTCTACATTTTCCCCTTCTGGCATCCCACCTCCTCTCTTGGCACCTGCTTTATCTCTCATGCAAGTAATTCTGAAACCTCTACCTGAATATTCTTGCCACAAATCCCTGATTGGAATTCAGTCAGTGAACATTAGATAAACACAAACTGAAATCATTCTACAGAAAAACAGATCCTGCCCACAGTAAAAGCCAAGGTAAGAAAAGCCAAGGACTCTTTCCGAATAAAGGACCCAAGGAGATGTGACAAGTGAATGCAGTGACCGTCCCTGGACCAGATCCCAGATCAGAAAATAAAAGGCTTTAAAGGACAGTATTGGAACAATGATGAAATCTAACTGAAGTCAATTAGGTAAGAGTCTTTTATCAATGACAAATTTCCTAATTTTGATCACTGGTTTGAGATTATGTAACAGAATACTCTTGTTCTTAGAAAATATCCACCAAAATATTTAGTGATAAAGGGCATAATGTCTCCAACTTAACTCTTTTTTTTCAAAGATGTATTTTATTTATTTATGCAGACAAGAGCTGGGGTGTAAACCAGAGGTGTGGGGGGCGGGTGAGAGGATTCACCAGAGAGAGTGGGGAGCAGAGCAGGCAGAGTGACTGAAATACACTGCTGAGGGGAGCAGCGGGAGAGGCAGGAGAGATCTGCTGCGCCATGTGGGTCAGCAACCTGACCACAGATCGGGATGGACCTCAGGCCACAGTGGCTGCTGACAGCTTAACAGCACTGAGACTTTAACCCCTGTGCCACCAGGGAGGCCCCCTCCAACTTAACTCTTGAATAGGTCAGAAAAATATAGTAAGTATGCATGCATATAGATATAGGGACAGATGATGTAAAAGTAAACGGAACAAAATGATAATAACTGGTGAGGCTAAGTAAAAAGGTAAATGAGATTTTTAACCTTTTTTTCATATATGGAATCATATAAAAATAAAAGTAAAAAAAAAAACCAAAAAACTATCTATATCCCTGGCCTCTCTCTTGAGCTCTACACCCACACACAAGTCCAGATGCCTCTCGACAATTGCTTCCTTGGCAGGGGCACAAGGAGGCAGCCAGCACTCCACAGTTGAGAACGTACACGTGCCCACACACCAAGCTGCAGCCCCTGCTCGGAAAGCTTTGTCCACTGCCTTTATCACTTAGCAGAAAGCCCAAACTTCCAGGCCCTCTTAACTCTGCCCAAATCCTGCCATGCCCTTCAGTTCTCTTGCATATTCACCAACTTTCTGTGTAAATCCTCCCCATTCATTCTTCAACCCCTAATACATCCCAGAAATCTGAGGGCTGCCTCCACTACCCCCTTCACATGAACTCGCCTGCCCTTTCACCAGCTCCAGCAGGGAGGGCATCAGGCCTGCTCTCTCTGCCTGTTTCACAGCCCAGCCCTGAACTCAGCACAGAGCAGTGGGCAGAAAACATCTGCAGGGGAGACTTGGGAGCCTTTTGCTGGGAAATAAGAGAAAGGCAAAGTTGGGGGTCTTGTTGGACTTCAGGAGGAGGTAAATGTGAAAAAGGGGCTAGTATTCAGGGCTAACTCACTAGACACAAGGATCCTTGTCCCCTCGGATTGGATACTAGCCCCACTGTCACCTATTCTGCCTTTCCACCTGAACCCTAATCCAGCCCAGGCCCTGGGACCCACCTTTCCACTGAAGCTTTGGCCAGAATCAGAAATGGCCTCAGGGGCCATGAACGCTGGGGTCCCGGCTGTGCTAGAGAGCTGAGCATCATTCCCCTCAAACTGGTTGCTGACTCCGAAGTCGGCAATCTTCACATGCCCGTCGTCCCCCAGGAGCAGGTTGGATGGCTTGATGTCCCTGTGGATGATCTTCTGGCAGTGCACTGCAGAGAAAGGCAGCTCAGGGGGCCAGGGGACAGCCACCCAGAATCCCCTCCTGCCTTCAGTTGGCCTGGGAAGCCCACCCAGGTGAGAAGGAGCTGGGGCATCCCCCAGGCCCTGCTCACACTCATCTCATGAGGACCTTGGGCCAGGACCTCAGGGCCTCTTCCCCACTGTGCAGTTTAGAGACTGAGGCTGGCCCACACTGTTAGCAACAGACCCAGGACTGGATCTCAGGAGTCTTTGGATTCCATAGTCAATGCTCTCTTGATGGCAATCAAGGCACCCTTTGCTAGGGGGGTTGGGGAGGATGGGAGGAGGGGAAGGCCAGAGGAAATTGGTCACAGGGGTCTCCATAGATCATCTTTAACCCTCCCATGTCTGCAGGCCCAAAGCCAATCAGAAACTGTCTCTGGTTCATCTCCTACTCAGACTGGTCAGAGCTTGGACTGAGTGTGGGATTGTGGGGTATCCTGAAGAGGTACGGCCTCAACCCTAGGGATTCTGGCTGCAGGGCTTTCAGTGACAGAGGGCATCCAGGACTTGGGGTCCGGGGATGAACATGGCTAGAGAAGGGTTGGCCTTCTCTAGTAGGCTGGGAGCTCGCCCTGCTTCTTGGGCCCAGCCCTGCTGGGAAGCTTAGGCTGAGATGGTGAGAGATGTCCCAGCTGAGACAAGACACTGACCCCACCCCAGTCATCCGCTTATGGGTTCAGGAGGGAAGATGGAAAGGGAAGGAGGGAAGGGGAGAAGAGGAAGGCCGGAGACAGAGGGAGTGTCATGCAACAATGAGACCCTATAGTGACTGTCTCCTACATGCCTAGCCACACAAGGCAATGCCCCATACCTCTAGGGGCTCAGAGGTTCAGGGAGCTATGTATTTGATCATGGAAAGTGGCCTCAAATTCTGATATCAAACCCCAGACTGTGACTTGAACTCTGGGCTCTTTATTCACATGGATATCCATGAACAATCCAATATATATTTCAATATTTCTCAGGAACTTTTCTAATTCAGACTTGCTTTCTCTGTCTGCAGCACAACCACTACCAAAGGAAAGAGAAAACCTCTGCTTCTCCTCTAGTCTTTTCCATTTGGTTAATGGCATATTACCTATTACCAGTCCAGGTCAAACCCCCAGGATCATTCTCAACTGTCTCCTCTTCTTCCCTCCCTGTTTCCCTCCCTTCCTTGCTCCCCAACACCACATTCAATTCATCAGCAAGTCCTGTGGCTATAACTGGATATAACCCAGATCCACTCAGTTGCTTCTGAGTGGGTGTTGCATTGCTGCACTTGTCTCATCTAAGAATCAGGCCTCGGCCTCCAGGACCTTGCCCGGGCAGCCTTAACTCTCCCTCCTAGAACCAGAATCATAGGGCAGGTCTTCAGTGCCTGGTGCTTCCATCTGTCTGTCCAGATCCTGGCACGGACCAGTCTACTTCAGGGAGCCCTTCACTGTGATATCAAAGTTGTGATGAGGTCTTGCCCAAAAGCCACGTGGGATTAGTTTGTTTTGGGGAGATAGAAGACGGGAGAAACAGGTCCTCAGTAAAGGCTCAGAACAGGAAGGTGAAGGCCAAGTTGGTACAAGGTTGTATCTGCCACTGACCACAGTCAGGGTGATATGCCCCCTTCCCACACCTCTAGGTCCTTGTTAGGGACTTTCTGCTTTGTGCCTCAGTTTCCCTATATCCAAGGAAAGCACCAATTAGGGGGCACTGGAGTGGCACAAAGGAGATAAAAACAGTCTTGGCTCCTGTCACTGCAGGTCAAACCTTAGCTGCAGCCTCATCCTGTTCCCCCAGGGAAACTATGCTCCTGACAAACCAAACTAAGTTTTAGAGAGATGGCAGCAGCACCCCTGCTCTCCAAACCAGTCAGAACACAAGTGTCTGGGGGCTTCCTCGCTCCAAAACCAGTCACCCAGTGCTGAGTCATGCAGTCCTCCTTCAGATCTCCTCCCCACTCCCACCGCCCTAATCCAGGCCGTACCATCTGTCACTTGGGCTGTAGACAGGGCCTCCTCCCTAACAACCTGGCCCCTCTCACCCTCAACCAGCCATCACAAGCTGCCAGACAGAGCTTCCTATGCTGCAAATCCTATCACTCCCCTCCCCTGCTCAAAGCCCTCTGGGTCTTACAATGCAGCCAGGATATTGTCAGGAAAGTCCTGTGCAGAAGCAGCCCAGCTCTCATGGTATGGCCTCAACAGTATTTCCAGCATCGTCTTTCATTACTGCACCCCACCCCAGCAGCTTCAACCAGATCGAAATTCTCCTCATTCTCAAATAGCACATGCTCACTGCCCGCTATGCCTCTGCCAAGCAGCTCTCTCTGCCTGGCATGTTCTCTCATGCCCACCTCTCAAACCTGGTCAATGAACTCCTACTTACCCCTCAGGACCCTGATCACAAGTGGCCTCCTTTGAGAAGCCTCTCCTAGACCCTCAGTGCTCTGACAGGCCCCATGCCTCCCTCATCTTGGCAGACCCCACACTATCTTACATGCTTGCTTAGATGTCTGTCCTTCCTATTAAGTTGTGACATCCTTGAGGATCTTTGTCATCTCCATGCCCTCAATCTGTACTTAATAGCTACCCATAAATGAATGAAATGAATAAACGAATGAATGAATACATTCCAGAGATAGAGGTCAAGTTAACAACCTCCCTCCTGAGCACTCATCTCTTTGGGACCCCTGACAGTGAATCCCCCTTGCCACCACCCACAGGCCCCACGCCAAGACAGACTCTTCTCTCAGCAGCTTGACATAAAATTCTTCCTTCGTATAACTTTTGAGGTCTTGTGGAAGGATTAAGTTTGTCTTGGAATCAGCCTATGAACGATACAGACAGAACACCCAAGGTGCTGACTGACAAAGGAACTGCGGCTGCTGAAGACCTGGCGCATGCCCAGGGAAGTCTGTCGCCACCCCCTTCCCTTTTGAGGATTTTGGCTCCACCCACAGGCCTGTGTCCCGCCCCTAACTGAAGTTGATTGGAAGATCAATGCTGACTGACAGGAACAGCTCAGGCACCTGAGTCTGGGCTCCGCCCCCGTTTGTGTCCCCGAACTGCCCCCAGCCCCCGGGGGCACGCAGTCCCTCACTCACAATACTCGAGGCCCAAGATGATGTCCCGCAGGTAGAGACGAGCTTGTTCTTCGGGGAAGGGCTTGTCGCAGGGCACCTCCATGACTGGCCTGCGGGGAGAGGGGAGGGTGTGTTTAGCTGGAATAGGGATGAGTAAAGGGTGGGGAGAAGGGGAGCAGGTAATTCAGGACCCATGGGGCCTTCTGTTAGCACTATGCTCAAAGGGGTTCCCAGAACCCAAGATAGTAAGTTTTGCTATATAATGAAAATCTATAGACATGAATATCCCTTTTCAATCATAATTTCACCTTAGGTTTATGTTAATTTCTCAATGTTTTGGTATGCCCTTTCTTCTAGGTCTTTAATTGCAAAAAAAAGCCCATATAGTGCAGTGTTTCTCAAACTGTAGGTCCAGAACAAACAGAAGGTCATGAAATCAAGGTAGTGGGTGACTACTTTTTTCTTTCTAATGAAGTAGAATATATCAGAGTATCATATAGTAAGAATATATGTGGTTTTATAAAACTTTCATTTTTTATTTCAAGTGGAGGTCAAAAGCCTTCGCAAGATACCACTCCCTGCCCTCCTCCCACAAACTGTTCTTTAGGAAGCCCCCCAGGCAGAGAGACCCCCCCACACAGAAATTGAATTTGGAGCTTCTAGTCCACCCAGCCCCATGCCCACTACCCCATGTCCATTGCTTTGCAAATACCCAGAGAAGGCTAAAATAGGCAGACATCTGTTAGAGCCCTAGACACCATCAGTGATTGCTGTGTGACCTTGAGCAAGTCACTTACCCTGTCTGAATCTCAGCTTCCCCTTTTGTAAATGAGAGCTAATGGAGCCCACTCACCCAACTCATAAACTTGTAAAGCTGAAAGAACGCTTTGTGATTTGAATATAGGTAAAAGTTGAGTCCCATCTGTATACTTTTGCTTAAGAAAAACTTTCTTCTTCCTGTCCTCCATTGAAAGCTTTCCAGTTCGTCAAAGCCTAGCTCAAAACCCACCCGCTCTTTCAGAGATGTCCCAGACCATTCCAGCCTGACTCTCATCAGCCTTCAAAAAACCATCCTTTTTGTCTCTCATTTACCCCCATTCAGAGCACCAGGGGCTGGGCCATTGTTTTCCCCTATAGTAGCTGACCCTAGGGCCAGAGACACAGGGAGACAAAGGAAGGCCTGGGTTAGACTTGACCTGCCTGATCCAGATGGAGAACTCACCCCTTTCTCAGAAGGTCAAACACTGAAAGAGAAGAAGAGAACAGTAGGTAAGGTGCGGCCACACTGGCAAGGCAGGTGATGCCAAGTCCCTCCCTATTCTGGAGGGTGGAGAGGAGCAGGCATGCCTGAGGAAGGGGCAGGGAGGGATCCCAGACTCCAAAGGAGGTAAATGCGTGAGAGTGGGGTCTGCTATGGACTTAGTCTCATCTGAGTCTCAGTTACCAGCTGGTGACCATCAGCATGGACTCCTTTCATGGGTGGAGGGGCTCAGAAGGCGCAGAAATTTCCTGAAGGTTATAGAAGATAGGCAGATGGGAGAGGGAGTGGAGAATAAGGTCTTGGCCTCTAAATCCTAAGCTAGTGTCCCTTGTGTCCCATTTCATGAGGGCCACTAACGCCAGCCCCTGAATCAGGCACTACTAACAACAATATTAACAGTAATAGCTAATGTATCTATTAGCTCTATTAGGTAATAACTTGTTTACTCCTCACACCAACCCGATGAGATAGATACCATTATTATCCCCATTCTCCAGGTGAGGAAACTGAGGCACAGAGCTATCAGACAGGTCTGGGAATCCATATCATAGTGTCTGCTTTCTGCATCTACTTGATCCTTGGATCAGTCTGGTAGGGAGCCTGGAAATATCTGTGCATCTCTTTGGATATTCTGAGCCTAGTTCAGCAGGTGGGGCATGGGAATCCAGGTCTTGAGAATGTGTGCTTCCCCTCTGCCCCTCATTGGTCATTATGTTCCCATGGCCCATCTAAAGGTCAAGTATGTCTATGGGGAGTCGTCAGACCAACCCCAGGTCACTCACTTGGTCACTCACCCAAATAGAGATTGTCCTCAGCTGGGTCATCCAGGACCTGGTCAGAGGGAGCAGACATGGGGGTGGGGCTTGGGGAGGCAAAGAGTGAGGGTCCCAAGCTGTCCTCGCCAGTCCCAGGACCCCTAGTATGCTCTGCAGCCACCCTGGACAGTGGAGCAGGAACTGTACAGGTACCAGATAAATGAAGCCTCAGAAATCACTGACTCCCAATCCTGCCCCCTACGTGGCATCCAGCCCTTCTCCCCTCCTGCAGTGATGAGGGGGTGAGCTCACTTCTTGCCTCTGGGGCAGCCCAGGTCAACCTGAACTGACCTCTGAAGCCTCCCTGCAGCCCCATCTCGTCTGACCCTACCCTTGAAGACCGCCACCATATCTCCCTTGGCAGGATTCCTGGGTCTATGCAGAGTGCCCCCAGCACCAGAGGCAGCTGCACCCACTCAACACCACCTCCTACCTCAATCAGCTTGACCACATTCACATGATCCAGCTTCTTCAGGATGGCAATCTCTTGATATACCCGCTCCAGGGGCAGCAGCTGCTTGGCTGGTCCTCCCTGGGCAGCTTGGGACCCTCTTGGGGGAGGGCGACCTATGACCAGAAAGGGAAGTCAAGCCCCTGTTGCAGGTGGCTGGGCCTCACTATGGCCCTGAAACCAGCCTCAAATGAGAATCTTATAAGTCTGTGGTCTTGTCCACAACCCACCAAGCACATATCCACCACCAGGGCTTTGCTCATGCTCTGGCCCCTGTACCCCCAGCCCTAACAAAAACCTGGTCTCTTCCTCCTCTGCCCCTAGGCTCGGAGCTCCCAAGCATAGGATCCAAAATATACATACGTGGAAAGCCATACTGCTTCAGTAACTTCTTTTTGGAAAGAACTTTCATTGCCTGAAGAAAGAAGGGCAGAAATGTCATTTGTGTGCAGCCACTAAGAGGCTAGAATAGGCTGGTTATATGTGGACTGAGGTCCTGAAAGCCATATTGGGTCTCTGCCTCCAGCACTGAGGGTGTGTTCTGTGTGTGGTTAAGGTGGGATAGGAGGTGGCCTTGCCCCTACTGCCCCAACAAACATTCTGGAGCACTCCCCTTAGACGTGTCCAACCTCTTGCCTATTCTCAGGATCACTCCCTTTGCATATCCCTAAGGACAGGGAGCTCACTCCCTGCAGAGGTAGACTTGTCCTTTGTCTACCCAGCACAGCTCTGCCCCACACCCAGGCTTTTAAGGCCCAGCTTGGGCCTATCCCCAGACTCACATAGTGCCTGTCTTCACTTTCGTTGTAGGCCAGTCTCACCACACCATAGGCACCCTGCAAACAGACACCAATCAGCCTTCTGCCCCATGACAGCACAACCTCTCCCAGAGGTTGTCTGAAAAGCTCCAGCCTTCCCAAGTCCTTCCTGTGTTCCATCAAAAACTCTGGGGAGTCATCTCTACCACCCCACCCCTGGGAATTTCTTACAGAAGACCATACTCTCCTCACTTCCACACTGGGCTCTGTCTTCCTGGTCCTATCTCACATTCCCAGAGGTGAAGGCACATGGGGACACATCCCCAAGAGAAGCCCCACTGCTCCCCACCTGTCCCAGTCCTACCTTGCCAATCTCATTCTGCAGCTTATACTGGTTCAGCTGCACGCAGTCCTGAGGGGGAAAGAAGGGAGCATCAGGTAAAGCTTGATCCAGAGGTGGCCTTGCTCTCAGCTCAGGGCACAGTCCTGGCCCCAGGTTCCTCACTCCCAGACCCCAGGTGCCAACATCTTTTCAGGTATGGATGGGGAAACTCAGTGATGCCAATGCCACAGGAAGTAACAAGAAGCCTGAATAATGTTTGAACACATAAATGCTGAACTAGGGCTTTTTTGCTCCCTGAGAAGAGGTAGAAAAATGCACTGATTCCTGCCTGGATGCTGGCAGGAGTCTGTGTGAACTCCCTAAGCAAGTATTTCCAGAAGCAGCTGGGTGAGGGGGTACAGATCACATGGACAAGAAAGATGAGGAGAGCCTTGGGGACAGGAATCCAAGAGCCTGGCCCAAGTGTGAGCCTGCCATAAGTCCATATGGCCTCTGTTCAGAACTCAGGTTCACTTCCAAATCTCAGTGGCACAGACAGAGCCAGGGGCAGCCCAGGGGCTAGAAACATGTTGGCAGCTTCTGAGCAGAGGAGATGTAAGGTGGCAGGATTACAGGTGGCTCAAGCTGAGGTGTGAAGTCACGTTGTCTACTTTTAAATCTCTAAGAGGAGTCTTAGGGGGCAAATGAGGGACTTATTTCCTAGGCCTGAACTGGGAGTTGGAATGGTGGGATTTATAGGAGGTAGCAGTGGGCTCTGATAAGCTCTCTGGGTGGGAAAAGGCTATATTGTGAGATAGTGAGCTCCTTGGTTTTGGGGGTATGCAAGCCCCCCAAAGGCTAAATGGTGGCAGGATTAGATGCAAAACAGAAGGACTACTAAAAAGCTCATGAGCAAACCCTAGCCCTGCCCCACCAACCTCTGCGTCTGAGATGGCCACACGGTGCGACTCAATGGTGGGCCTCCGCCAGGCCCGTGGGGAGATGTGGCTGACAGGCCCTGTGGCATAAGGCCCAGCCTGGGCTTCCAGGCAGCTTCCCGCTGGCCGCTCCTGCAGGGAGAACTTCCTGGATGAGAGGCTGGGCCGGACAGGGGGAGGTCTTGAAGTGCCCTCGGGGATCACAGAGGCAGCTCTGGCCCTGGCCCGTGGTGGAGGGGCCATCCCATTCCTAGCAGGCTCTGGGCTACCATCCGCCTCCTCCAAGTGGGCCATATCGATGGCTGCTACTCGTTCCACCAGCTCTGCCCGAGGGTCCTGGCAGCAGACTGCCGGGCCCCCCTCCATTGCCACACTTAAGGTGTCCTCTGTGCAGCTTTACCAGGAACCTGAGAAAAGAGGGTAGAGCTTAGTTTGTACACAGAGAAAAGGAGATGAGATTTCTAGGTCCTCTCCCATGTAGCCACAACCTTATAGGCACCCCTCCAGGCCTTTGCCCTGTATATTCCTTCCGCTGGGTTGCCAGCATCCAAACTCAAGTCTGTGTCTACTAACCAAAGGAATTCCAGGAACTCCTCTGGGCCTGCCGGCACCAGCCCTCTAGACCTCAGTATCCCCACTGGTAAAACAGATATATTTGCCTTGCGGGCTTCACAGGGAAGCAGAGAAAAATCTGATATTCTGGAGTCAGGACAGACAGACACAAGTAAGTACACTGGAGGCCCAGTAGCACTGGGAGGGATCAAGTCTAAGGTTAGCTCAGGCCCCTATTCAGCAAACAGTCCAGTGACTCACCAGTCACACCTCTGACAGCACAGCACTCCAACACTGCCTCCTGGAAGCTGAGCTGGGCACTAATAATGCAGAGGGCTCCCTGATGCTCCAGGCATATTCACCTCCTCCAGGGAGGCCTCCCTGATGCTCTAGTTTCCCACCCTCACCCTTCTCACTGCTTCTAGGAAGACTTTTCTAGGGCTCCAGCCTCTCTCACTAACTTCCACCTCCTCCGGGGAGACCCCCCTAGGGCCACAGGGCAAGTCTCCATTACTCCTTTCCCTGTTCCAGCAGAGCCTCCAGCCCAGGACAGGGCCCACTAAGGGAGGAAGAAATAGGCCACTCTTATTTCTCTTCTTTTTTCCTTCTAGTTTATTCTTGTGGCCAAAATGTTTGCCACATCTGCTCAGGCTGAGATGCTCCTCTGGCCTGGCTTTATATCTGCCCTGGCCTAGTGCAGTATAAGCCCCCAACCAGGCCAAGGTCTAACCCCAATTTGAATGCGAAACCAACCTCTAACCTCTAGCCTCGCCCTCAACGACAACTGACAACCAACAACTGTGGGCTGAACCCTGACACACAGGCTGGGACTCCCTCTCTGAGCAACTGGCCCCACCCTAGCCGGCTGGCCCTCCCCCTTCCTGGGTCAGACTCAGCATTTTCTCAGGAAAAGGAAGTGAGTGGACTTGTGGCCCTTTGCCCTTCCTGTCTGGTGGTAGCTTCCTCTGTCCCCACACAGTAACTTTGAGAACATGGGTCATCCCTAGTTCCCCCCTCACTTTGCTTTAACAAATGTCAAGGAAGCTACTGGAGTCCAGTAGCTACCAAGGAGCCTGAGCTGGGTTCTAGTCCTGCCTGCCAAACTACTGTGGGACCCTACAGCAAGCTCCTTCCTAACTCTGAGCCTCAGCTTTCCCATCTGTCCTATGCATACAGGGCCTAGGGCCATGGCAAGGCTTGGAAACAGATTGTGGTCCAGATCCCTGTGCCTGGTACACAGGGTATTGAATGAGGAACCTGAAGTCAGAAGCCTTTTAGCTTAGTAATTAGGGCAGAAGCCTTTTTGCTTCAGCCTGGTTTAGGGGCCCTGGCTTTGAAGCCAGTCTGCCTAGCACCGCCCCTTCCTGGCCAACTTACAACTGAGCCTCAAGACAGGTGACTTCACCTCTGTGCCTGAGTTTTATCATCCACCTCCACCTGGAGGTGGTGGAGCTGATGGTGATATGCAGAAAAGGGGGAGGAGATCTAGGCTGGCAGCAGGAAAGACATACCTGGAGTCTGAACCTATGGGTGCTGGTGAGGCTAGAGCATCAAGGAGGCCTCCCTACAGGAGTTGAGCGAGGCAAGTAGGGTTGGAGCCTCAGGGAAGCTGAAGGAGGTAAGTAGGACTAGTACTTCAGGGAGGCCTCTCTGAAGGAGGTGAAGGTGAGTGGGACTGGAGGACCAAGGAGGCTCCTGGCAGATGAGAGAGGGCAGTGAATGGTGTTGGGGAATCAGGAAGGCTTTGGGGCTAGGCTGCTTGCAGAAAGGAGGAAATCAAGTCCCTGCAGGGACTAAGGACCTGTGAGCCGCCACAAGCACAGACCACACAAGGTTGAAAGGAGGCCTCCCAGCCTAGCTGGACTGTCCTCTCCTAGTAAGTGGCTCACCCTACTGTCTCTCCCCTCACTCTGTAGGCCCTTTTCCTCCCACCAGAACATACACTCCATAGAGCTGGGTTTTTGTCTGCCTTGTCTCCATAAGATCACTGGTGTCTTAAGCAGTGCACTGGCACATAATAGGAACTCAATAAATATTTGTTGAATGAATGAGTGGTTACCATAGCAATCATTACAGTGATGTCCCCATTAGGAAATGGGAAATCAGCCTCATGGGGGCCCCAACCAGCCTAAGGCCCAAGCCCATAGCAGGGAATGATTGGCAGTGTCAGGAGCTCCTGGCCCAGGCAGGGACTAAGGACCTGTGAGCAGCCGCAGGCACTGACCACAGGCAGCCCCTGCCCATAAATTTTGTATATGATTTCCCTGAGGCTGTCATCCCAGCAACATGCTACTCTCCCTTCCACCCTTTTCTCAGACAGGGAAAGTGAGGTCTAGCAAGGCGGGAAGGAGGGGCAGGGGGAGCCTGGGGTCAGAAGCCTCTTAGCTTAGTAAGTTAGGGCAGAAGCCTTTTTGCTTCAGCTTGGTTTAGGGCCCAGGCCCTGAAGCCAGTCTGCCCGGCACTGCCCCTTCCTGGCCAATTTACACCTGAGCCCCACACCAGGTGACTTCACCTCTGTGCCTGAGTTTTTTCATCCACAGAATGGAGCAGACAGTGGTACCATTTCCTGGTTCCTTGTGGGGAGTAAAGGAATGAACCCCCACACGGGGCTCAGAACTGGGCTCTGCCACTAAGGAAGCCCCGTAAAAGTGAGTTGTTGTGCTGCTGTTGTGATGCCGGGGACGCTGTGGCCCAGATGGCAGCGAGGGCGGCACAGGCGGCTGTGAGGGCTGACGTCAGGCCCTCCACCCTCCCTCCCGCCTGGATCAAATTCAGGTGACTAAGCATGTCTGCTTGAGGGAGGAGCCCTGGGGAGGCCCTAGGTTCCTGCCTCTTGTCCAGGCGACAGAGCCTGTGCACAACGCTGTGCATGTGAGGGCATATGTCTGTGCGTGAGAGAATGTGGGTGAACGCGTCTGTGGGTCTGGGGGACGGTGTGAGTCTGTGTGTGTCTGCAAATAGGAGCACATCTGCAGGGAGACAAAAATCTTATCAGTGAGGTCTATATGTGGCGTGTGTGTGTGAGTATGCACTTATATGCCTTTAGGTTTTCGGTCACAGGTGCCCCATAATGGGGGGGGGGTGGAACCTGCACCCCCTGGGAGCCTTGGAAACCTGATCCCAGAAAGACAAGTCTGAACTTCCTACCTGGTCACTTTCCACCAGCATGGGAGGAGCTGCCTCCTGGCTGGACTGTGTGTCTGGCAGGACCCATCCCTCTCTGGGGCCTCATCCAGGGGGTCTGTCGAGGCCCTCCCCAAGCTGAGATCTCAGAGGACACTTTGTGGAGATGGACTCAGCAGGTAACTAGGGGCCCTGTGGGCAAGAAGGATGGACTGACAGACTGGGGTACAGGCCCAGGGTGGAGTAAGCACCCCTGGGGGCATGGAGGGCCTCCCAAGGACAGGCCTAGTCATGTGGCTGAGAATGGCTAGACTCAGCCCCTACCCTGATCCTGTCCTCCCAGTTTGGAGGACAAGTCACTGAATCTCCAGGCAAGTCGTTGAAACTACTGGAGCCTCGGTTTCCTCTTTTGTGAATGGGACAGATGGCCACCATCCTGCCAACTCCCATGGCTATGGAAGAAAGTAGATGAGATTACGGACACGGAAGCATTTGTCTGTGCCTGCCTGAACAGTCTGGGGCTGGGATGTGTGTGGATCAGGAAGCCACTGAGAGCCTTGATATACAAAGTACAAACCCTATCTGTCTGCTGGCTCTGGGATGGTCTGGCACATCACTCCCTTTGAGTTCTGCCTCCTCCCTGGTTGTACCACCCACTCCACCCCAGGTGTCCTGCCGCTCCCAAAGGGAGGTGGCTTCTGCCTCCTGATGCCTGCTCAGCCTGGCCTCTTCCTCAGGACATGCTCCCTCCACCCGGGCCCCTCGGAGCAGCACTGAGCAGGCCATCATCCCTCGCATCCACACTGGTTCCAGCAGTGCCTCCTGGGATGATTTTAGGCACCAGTCAGGCCTTACTCTGAGTTCTGGAAGACCTGTGAGCCTCAGGATCAGGTCAAGGGGGGGACTAGGTACCATCCAAGAAGAGAAGACGTGTCCCTGACCAGTCAAAGACTGACCAGAGGGGAAAGCTGCAGAGGTGGGAGAGCCACCCAGGCCCGACATCCCTGGGCCTCCTCACAGGAGCTGTTTATGCTCCTGACAAGTGTCTGGACAGCCCTGGCAACGGGTGCCCTCTGTGGCTCCCGCCCCCGCCAAGATGACTCAGTCCCCTCGAGGGAGGCCCAGGCGTCTGGTGCCAAGTCATGCTTGAGGATGCCTGCTGTGAGGACACCCCCCCTCCCACTCTGCCCAGAGAGGCCCCAAGCACTGAGGTGGGCTCTGAGCCCCATTCAGCACAGCCACTCTCAGTGCCTCATCTCAGCCCAGCCACAGAGGCTAAAGGTCTCCGGGGCTGAAAGTCTCCGGGTCTCATCTTCTACCTCTGCCCCGCTCATCCTCCACCCCAGGGCCTGTGCCTCCAGGTCGGCTCTTTCCAGCCAGCTGCCTCCTCTTTCTCCGTGTTCCTGGGCAGCTCGGGGCCCAAATTCAACTCAGCGTTTCCCCCATGTCTGCTGTGCCTCAAGTTCTTCCACTTCTCCTGGGTTTGAGACCCAGGGGTCCTCCTTACCACCTGTCTTTTGCTCATCCTGACTCCCCAAGCCCCACACTTACTTTCCACTCTGGCCACACCACACTTCTTGTGGCTTCCCAAACTGTGACTCTGTTCTGATGCCAGGCCTTTGTACAAGCTGTGCCTTCTGCCAGGGACACACCTCCCTCTCCTTTGCTGCCAGAGGACAGCTCAGCCATCTCCTCCTCTAGGACCCCTCCCTGATGTCCTCACTGGGGGAGGTGGGAGAGGTCACCAAGCTGGGAGAGGTCACCAAGTCAAACTCTAGACCTCTGCTTTCTTTTACCACCACTTCTGTCACACAAGTCTCCCCACCACATGTCCACCTCACATCAGACTCCACCCCATTCCATCCTCCACACCATTTGCTAGAGGGAATAATTCTAACATGCAAATATGGTCACAGTTCTCCCAGACCTGGCTTTCCAGGAACTTGGAATCTGGAGGATAGAAAAGCAGGAGACTTAGCTCCAGATTGGGGTAAAGGGGAGAGTGCTCACAGGCTGGGGAGCAGCCAGGGACACAGACTCGGGGGATGCAAATCCAGTCACTCATTCATGCAATAAATACTCATTGAGCACCTGTTCTGTGTGCCCAGGCACTGGGGTAGTTACATGGAGAGAAAGCAGTGGGCCAAAAAGACAAAATTCCCTGCTCTCACACAGTTTAATTTCAAGTGGGGACAAGAAGCAACAAACAAAAAAGCCCAAAATTAATAGGTGATTTCTTAAGTGGTATGGGCGATGGAGAAAAAATACAATCATATAAGCAGAATCAAAAGTACAGGTTATGCAGTGTAGTCAGGAAAGGCCTTTCTGATGCAGGATTTGAGCAGAAATTTGAAGGATGTGCAGGAGCAAGCAGTATGTACACGTGGAAGAGCATTTCAGCCAGAGGAATGAGCCACTGAAAAGATTGTGAGGTGGGAATGTGCTTACTCTGGCTGAGGAAGAGCAAGGAGGCCGATGTCACTACAGAAGGATGTTCCTCCCACTTGTGACAGGTAGTGATGGTGAGCAGAGTCATATGTGGGTGAGGATGCCCAGTCATTCCCTCAAGGGCAGCTTCCTGGAGGAGGGGGCACTGAAGCTCTTTCCTGACCACTGCCTAAGGATTTCAGTGGGGAGAAGGTGGAAGTTCACACTATGTGTGACAAAACTACCCCTTGGCTGGGACTGAGTGTTTGGCTCTGGAGCTAGGGTGGGAATGGGGTGTTTTGTAGACAGAGCGAGGAGGTGTCCAAAGCCAAGGAAGGATGTTAAGCAGGGGAACAACTGTCAGATGAGGTTTAAAACAATCCCTCTGACTGCTGTGGGGACTGAGGGCAGGAGACAAAGGAAGCAATCCCCAGAGCCTGTCTGGCATACAGTGGGCACTCAATGAAAGAGTGTGGGGTGGCTGGTGCACGTTCCCTGGATCCTCAAGGATACAAGTGGGGTGCTCCTCTCCATTCCCTGCCCGATGTGCCCCTATGGAAGCCCAGTCCAATGACCTGGGCCAACACACACACACACACACACACACACACACACACACACACACCCATCCCGGACAGGCGCACGCCCATGTCCGCGTGACCTGCCTTCACACACCACTCATCCTGTAACGCACCCCCTCACACACACAGGCACACTCCTGTGTCCACGTGACACACGCACACCCGCCTCCAAACACCACACACAGGTCTCTGTGCACGTGTGCGTCCTCTCCGCCACCAGTTCTGCGTCTCCCGGGCCCAGAAACCACAGCGCCCGCCCCTGCCGCCCCCCATCCGCCCCCGCCCCGCCCGGCAGGGGAGGACTGCGCAGCTAAAGCCGAGCGCCGCGCCGGTCCCATTCACCCCCCTCTCGCGCCCCCTCCCCTAGCCCCGGGAGAAGACGCGGGCGCGGGCCGGGTGGGAGCCGCGCTCGCACAGACCCGCACGTGGGTGCCGGGCCGGGCCCGCTCCGCACCGACGCGGCCTCCCCCGGGCACGGGGGCGGGTGAGCGGGCTGCGGGCACCTCGCAGCCCCGCGGCCGGGGGCTGGCAGGGACGAGACGGCGGGGCGCCCGCAGAGACGCGGCCGCGGGCGCGGGCAGGGACCGGCGGATCCCGCAGAGGGAAGGGGGAGGGTCCCGCGGTCCGCGCTGCCCCCGCAGACCCGGCCTCCGGGCCAGCCCTCCCCGGCGGCTCGGAGCCAACGCACCGGCGTTCGTCCCCTCCCACTCCCGGCCCCAAGTGCCCGGCCCGCCGGCCCTACCTCGGCGCTCGGTGACAGTCTCCGCCGCCCGGAGGCGGCCCGGCTCGCTCCCGCGACGCGCGCCCACCCCGCCCGCCCCGGCCGCCCGCCCCGGCAGGGTCGGGTTCGCGGAGCCCAGACCTCCGGCGCCGCGGCTCCCGGCAGCGCTCGAGCCCCCGCCCGCCGCCGCTCTCGGCCCGCACTCATTGGTCAGAGCGCGCGGCCCCCTCCCGGCGCCGCCCAATCAGCGCGCGGGACTCCCTCTCGCTTCGGGGGGCGGAGCCCTGGAGCTTGGTGGCTCAGGAAGGGCCCCTCCCCCTGCGGCGGGGCCGAGCCTCGTCACGCCCCCGACGCTGCTCTGCGGTCTCGCTGGGGTCCCCCGAAATCCCTCCAGGCCGCGGCTTGGGCCCCCTGACGGAGGCTGGAAGATACGGGTGCTTGCCCTTCGTAGCCCTTCTCCACCGCGCCCCCCAAATCCCGGCCTGCGGGAGGGGTGTCGAGCAGACAGCACAGAGCCCGAGGGGCGAGGCTCGGTGCGGAGCAGGGGAGGGGCAGGCGAGATCGGGGCTGGAGATGCGGCCCGGGCCGCGGGGAGAGGCCTTGAATGGCAGGCGCAGGAATTTAGCCTTGGCTAGGGTGGGTGTAGGGGAGCGGGGAAGAGGTTTAGCACAGGGTGCTGGGGGTGTAGTCAGATTTATGTTTGGAGAAGGGCTCTGTGAGCAGCGGACAGGAACGGCCTCCCTGGGGCAGGGTGGGGCATGGGGGAGACTTCATGATCCTCACAGTGGCTGACCCTGGGACTCTGCCCTTCACCTCTACTGGCAAGCTCACCAACTTTTTTTTTAGTTATGCTAAGTTCTCCATGTGTGAATCCTCTGGCATCTCACCCCACCACTTACCCAAGAGAGAGCCCCATATAATTCCCCAAAACATGACCTTCTACATCCCTGTCTCAATCCGGAGTCAGAACCCCAGGGTCCCTATAGCCTATTGCTTTTCTGCCCCATCAGTCATTACCAAGCACTGCCCATGAGGACTCTTGAATATGTCCTTGCACCCCCACTGCCCCTCCCTTTAGCTCAGGCTACCATCATCTAGCCCCTGGATTGCTACAGCAGCCTCCTAATTGGCCTCCCAACCCCATCTAGTCTCAAGCCACCACACACACAGACACACCCATCACATTTTCTTAACCTGGTAGCCAGAGCAATCTTGCAGAAACTCAAGGACAGCTCCTTCTTAGAATCTGTGATGGTTCACAGGTACCCCCAGGATAGGTCCAGTCAAGTCCTCCATGACCTCAGTCCTAACCACTTGCCTGTCCAACTCTTTTCAGAGCTTGGTTCAATGCCCATTTTGACAGGAACCCTTTCCTGTGACCTCCTTACTGCCCAGTGTGGGTCAGTAGCCCCACCTAGGGACTTTCTTGTGCTTGGTATGTGTTTTTTTCTGTCTGTTCTCCCTCTGCAGCTCCTTCAGGACAGGGACTCTGCTTGACTCATCTAGCACGCCAACTGACATGGTGGTAGGTGCTCAAAAGATGTTAGTCAAATGAATAGATAATTAGATATGACAATGGGGAGTGGAGGAGTGGAGTTCAGGAAAGAGGGATGGGCCTGTAAGACAGTCTTGGAAGCTGTCAGAAAGGATCCATAGTTGTAGGTAGAGCTATGGGAAAGGGTAAAGATAACTCAGAGCAAATAAAACAAGGGTCAAGGACAGTACACTAATTTTTTTTATTTAGAGCATTTTTATTACTTCTTAATGTTATTTTTCATTAAAATAATAGTGAGTCAAAGTAATAATATATTCAGGAAAAGAAGCTTCAAATTTTAGAGGAAAGGCAATAAATACTACCTTTGTCTAATCTTCCCAGCCTGACCATCAATGATATAAACCTGAATATTGTAGGACACTCGCTTTTAAGAGGGAAAGATAGGTAGGATCAGTTTTGACTTAAGTTATAGAAATCCCACACTAGAACTTCAGGGAAGTCAGTCCTGAACTGGTATGTCAGCTTTGCTCTACAGAGATCTCCGAGATGTGGCTCCTTTCACCTGCTGCTCCAGGAACCTTTGGTATCACTCTTGTCCACGTAGTTCAGGATGGCAGCCAGTGCTCCAACCATCATGTATGTATTCCAGGTAGTGGAATGGAGACAAAAATGAAGAAGAGGGCAAAGGGTTTGGACCAGCTGTCTTTTAAGGTATCTCAGAAGGTATCACACGACACTTCCACATACATTCCATTAGCTAAAAACATGAGCAGATCCTGTATTACCAATCAGGTAATACAAGAGGAGGCTGGGAAATGCAACTTTCATTTTAGGCAGCCACATGCCCAGTCAAGCACCAAGGGTAGTCTCACTGTAGAGAGAACAGATACGCAGGAACTACTAGCTGACTTCACCATTGAAAGGGAGGAGAGATGCAAATGCAGAGCACTACTGTATGCCAGGCTCTGTACTAGGCTCTTTGCATATCTTACCCCAACCGTAGTAAGGGCTATTACTATCCCTGATCACAGAGAAACCTTGGAGAGTTGAATAACTTGCCCAAGAACACCCAGTAATTCAAGGTAGAGCTGCAATTGAAGTCTGTCTTTCCTCTGCATAGCCGGTTGACTGAGAAATCAGGAGAAGTGTGTGTCCCATGAGCTACTGGCAACAAGGAGGATTTGATCAACAGAAACTGACAGGTCAAGCAGGATCTGGGCCGAAGATTCCGCTTGCATTTGGCAACAAGGACACTGTTAGTAATTTGGCAAGGGCATCTAGATGTGGGGGTGGGGTAGGGGCTGAAAGCCAATTGCAGAGGGTGGGACAGAGAAGAAAGTATAAGCTGGTCTTTCTGGAATGGGGGCAGTAAAGGCAGAGCAGGCAGAGCTGCAGAGGAATTTGGGCCAGGAGGAGGCAGAAGAGGGTGGTAAATACAGGAGTGGGAGAAATGTGGCAGTGAGGCAGGTCGACTGAGGTCTGTGGGCTGGGAAGAAGGATTGGAAATACAGGAGCAATCCTCTTCTGCTCATTCAAGAGGGTAGGAGATGCAAAGATAGCTGGTCTTTGAGAAGAAAAGGAAGAAGAGTAAAATTCTGTCTTACAAAATCTGAAGGATGCTTCTTGGCTGGGGAGGGGGATAAAAGGCCCAAGGCCTTAGGGAAAGAGGCCCTGTTGTCCAATGTGGTAGCCACTAGCTACATGTGTGATTTAAATTCCTTAAAAATGAATAAAGGGGCCTCCCCGGTGGCGCAGTGGTTGAGCCCTGGGTTGCGAAGCTGCCCGCAGCCTCTGCAGCACCGGTTCGATCCCCGGCTGCTCCCCGGCCACTGGAGGAGGGTCCCGCATGGCGCGCAGACCTCTCCTGCCGCCCGCTGCTCCCCTCAGCAGTGTACTTCGGTCCTTCTGCCTGCTCTGCTCCCCGCTCTGGCTCTGGTGAATTCTCTCACCCTCCCGCGCTTCTGACTGTGCCCACTGCTTGTATAAATAAATAAAAAATAAATCTTTAAAAAAAAATAAAAATAAAAATGAATAAAGCAAAAAAAAATGAATAAAGCAAAATATTAAGTTCCTCCGTCACACTGCCACATTTTAAGTACTCAATGGCCACGGGTGCTTAATGCGCTTCCATCTTTGCTGCTGGACAGCGCTGGTCTAGACAGAATGCAGTAAGGGAGGTGCCTGGAGACCCTGTCTGGCTGTAAGTCCAGACCTGAGGTCATGCCCCTGAAGAATCCTTGCAGACACTCCATTCAAAACCTTTTCCTTTTTGGGATGCCCTCATATCTCATTCCTGGAACAGCTAGTCCCAGCCTACTGTGAGGCCATTCTGAGGATCTCCACTGTTCCAGAGCAGGGCCTCCCAAAGCTGTGGGGGGGTGCATGGGGAGGACTGGGAAGAGTTCCAAAGTTTAGGACCATGTCAGAATAGTGGCCATGGACAGAGATGAGCTGAGTCCCAGCACTGGCCAAGCTGGGCCCAAGACATAAGAAGAGTCAGCTCTCTACTACCTACTGACAGACCCAGAAGGACTTCAAAGATGGCTCAAATTAGCCCCATGTTTCATAGAAGGGCACACTGAATTTCAGAGAGGACTGGGAAGACAGTGATTTGTTCTCATTCCTTTTATTGTGCTCCACCCCTTGCTTTCCCAGCCCTTGCATTCAGAAGGAGCCAGGCAGGCCTAGGGAGTGGGGAGGGCCATAGGCTGGGAGCCCAGGATTTGGCCAAGGCTCACACCCTGACCAGAGGTAGCTGAGTAAAGATTCATGGCCAGAAGGGGCTGCCCTGGCCTGACACACTTGGGGAGAAGCATCTATAGTGGAGGTAATGTGGCGCCGACCATGTGTTGTGCTTGGAAGAGGGGCAAGATGTGCCCAGGTGATTGTGTTTGCAGGGCCTGAACTGTTCAAATACAATGTGGATGGGAGAGGGTGTGCGTGCTGGTGAGTGTGTACATGGGGGCGTGTGCACAAGATACCCTGTGGCTGTGAGCACACCACACACCTCAGTGCCTGCTCCTGTCAGGTAATGCAGGCCCAGGCTGAGTCTGGTACTCAGTCAGGAGCAGTTCTTAAAATCAGGTGCTTAAAAGGGCCTGGGAAGTTTGCTGTCCATGTGGATCATATGACCAGCCTTGGAGATTCTGGTGCAGGAGGTCTGGAGTGGGCCCAGGTGCCTGCTCTGCTGATAAGCTTCCTTGGGAAATCTGCACTTTCTATAATGATGAAAATGTTCTGTGTTACCCGGTATGGCAGGCACTAGCCACATGTGTCTGCTTAGCAGTTGCAATGTAGCTAGTTTGAGGAACTAGATTTCTTATTTTATTGAAGTTGAATTAATTTACATTTAAATTTAGTCAGCTGTGGTTAGTGTGCCATACTGGAGAGCACAGGGGTAGAGACCCTGAGCTCGTGGGTGGATAAGGACCTAGGAAGAGAAGCACAAAGCTCAGGTCCAGGATTGTGAGAGTGGGGAGGTTGCTATGGTGGTGGTGGGGGAGCGGGGTGTAGGGTTGGAGCCAGAGCCCAGAACTGCATAGGTCTGTGCCAGTGTCCACTCTGAGCTGCTGCCAGCTTGGTGTCTGCCTGCCTGAGAGGACAGGAGGACTCCTGAGGAGAGCCCTCTGTCCTGGCTGGGATCCCAGCAGGGCTCCCTTTTGAGGCCTCACACTGCATCCTTCAGGAGCTGGGGACTGAGGGTCAGGATGTCTTCATGTTCTCCTGCAGGCCCAGGGTGGAGCTGGTGGCTCCGGGGTCACGCTCACCCTGTGGAAGCACAGGGGGGTAAAAGTCAGCCCCAAGGAAGCAGCCGTACCCGCAATGAAGACACATGGGTCTGAGGCCTTGGAAGGACTGAACTTAGGGAGTTCTCTTACCGCCTCTGGCCCCATGTCTTCTGCATACTTGAACTTCTTCTGCTTGTAGTAGTGCCTCTTGGGCAGGATATGGAGCAGCAAGAGGTCACAGAGAACGGTGGCCTGAGGGTGTGGTGGCGATGGACAGGGCATGGGAATGGGGGCAAAGGGTTACAGAACCTTCCACATCTCTCCTTGTCCCTACGGATTGTGGGGATCTGGCTGAATCCTGTACTATCCACACTTCATGTCCTGGGGGGTGGGGGTTGGCTACTACAGAGACTTGGGGTCCTAGATTGCCCCATCTCCCCTCTGCCCTGCCCTGGCTCTGGGCCTTGATTTCCCCAAACATAATATGTGTCTAGGGTAGTGGAGGGGGCGGTAATGAGGGACAGTTATTGTCAAGTTTGGAGGTGAGAGGTTTGTTGCTGCTGCTGAGATGTGGAAAAGTGATGGAACCCCCATTCAATGACCCTGTGACCCCCAGCCCTTACCACTCCGAAGATGCCAATCCCAGAGCCAATGGTGGTCATTGTGGGGATGATGTCAAACTTCCCAGCCTGGTGGCAAGGTCAGGAAAGACCAGGGGTAACAGTCAGTAGGGCACTGGTTGAAAAGACCTTCCTTAAATGCCCCAAGACCAGGCCTGGAGCCATGGGGCTTCTGGCCTGGGGCCACGGGGCTTCTGCACCCTCCAACATTAGCTGCCCCCATAAATCTACCGTCCACAGCTCTGGGTCTCCCCGGAAACCCAGCTGCTGTTCGGAAGCTCTGGGTTTTGACTTTGGGCTCTGCCTCCCTGGATACAAGAAGCTAGCAGGGGCGGTGTGGTCACAGGCTGCAAAGCACTGCCCTCAAAGGTACCCATTCCCATCAGTTATTAGGAGCAGAATTCTTGTCTCTATAAATATAGATGCCAACAGGACACTCACAGGAACCAAAACTGTGCCTCTGGCTGCCCTTCACACTGGACGCTCACCTTGCCATCCACGAGAATGTCAAAGCGAATCCCAAACACCTTGAAAAGATGCCGGTGGTTGGTCCCATTCTCCACAAAGTGCCTGGCAAACCTTGGGGAAGGGGGTGACATTGCAGGAGAGGGGGATAGAAAACAGTCCTGGGCACAGAGCATCAGGATGCAGGAGTTCTTAGAGCCCTACAACCCCATTATATAGCGGGGGATCCTAGACAGGACCCTAGACTGCATTCCAGGAATGCTATAGTCAACTTTTACCCTAACCCTGATGTCGCCTCCTTCCCCAGTCTGTCCTAGCCAGGTGGTCTGGGGCACTGAGAACTGGGGCAGGCGCTCAGGCCTCCAAGGCCTTGTTTCCAGCTGGCTCCCTCCTGGACCAGTCCCAGCAGGACAGGAGGTTCCCAGCTCCTCTGCTCCCCTCCATCCCCAGGAATACTTGGCCCCCAGTGATTCTAGGAGTAGAAAAGCCCACAGCACCCCTAGGAAGTATGCACAGCTGGGCCTTGCAAATACCTAAAATTGAAGCCTCGAGACAAACTTTTTTCCTCATGAAGCCCATGGAACTCGTAGATGGGTTTGCAGTGATGCACATGCCAGTCCAGGTCACAGTTCCAGTCAATGGTGATGCCCACCACCCCGCCCTGTCAGGACACAAGCATTTAAGACACAGGGTTCAGCATCAAATTCCTATCACACAGCAATCTCTTGATGAGGGAACATTTTTTGTTTGAGAAGAGATTCTGAGAAGCTGCTTCAGAGTGTCGGTGCTGTCAACTCACTGGCCCCACTTCCTACCCACCATTCTCCACCTTTCTGACTATTTCTAGAAAACACCAAGTTCTTCCTACCTCAGGCCTTTGCACATGCAGTGGCCTATTCACACAAGGCTGGTTCGTTCTCATCCCTTGGTTACTTCCCCTAAGAGACCTACCCTGACTACCACCCCCAATCTAAAATATGCCCCCGTTATTCCTTCCTGTTGTTCTCTATTTTTTTTTTGGGAACATTTGTCACATTGCAATGATATTTGCTGTGATTATTTATTTATTTATTCATTCATTCTTTCATTTCTTTTAAGATTTATTTATTTATACAAGCACTGGGGTGCAGGCCAGAGGTGCAGAAGGGTGAGAGAATCCATCAGAGACAGAGCAGGGAGCAGAACAGGCAGAAGGACTGAAGTGCACTGCTGAGGGGAGAAGCGGGCGCGACAGGAGAGGTCTGCACGCCATGTGGGAATCTCCCTGGCCGGCCGGGAATCGAACCCATGCTAAAGAGGCTGTGGACAGCTTCACAGCACTGTGCTCAACCCGCTGCGCCACCGGGGAGGCCCTTGTGTAATTATTTATTAACCCATTTCCGCTAAGACTATAAGCTCCATGAGGTGTGGGGGGCTATCCGTCTCATTTGTCACCAGCTCCTTAGTTCCTATCTTATTATAGTATGGGAGACAAGAAAATAGTTGTTGAATTAAAAAGTCTGTAAAAACATGGGCTGGGAAAAGAAAACTTGAGAAAGCAAAAAAAAACTCTGGGTAAGGCAAGGGGCAGGGCCAGGTGTGGGGGCGGGGCGCTGAACCCTGGAAGAGTTGGGAGGTGATCAGAGCAGACTCGGAGCTGGGAAACTAGTAGGGAGTCTGGACCTGTAGATGAGGGTGATTAGTGAACAGTTCCCAGTGAGGGGTGGCAGGGAGAGTTTTAGGAACAGGGAGCTCTAGCATTCAGCTTTCTGGTCTGGTGTGCTATGTCAATCCCCTGAAGCCAGAGGGTCAAATGTGTTTACATATTGTCTATGGCTGCTTTGCCCTCCAACAGTCCACTGGAGGAGTTAGAACAGACACCATACGGTCTCCCAAGTGGAAAATATTTACTTTCTGGCCTTGGAAGAAAAAGTTTGCTGATCCTTGTTCTGAACAAATGTGTTGTGAGTGAGTTTTCATTATGACAGTGATATCCCAGGAAAAGGCTGATTTCCATCCTTGGATAGGCGGCTGCTGGAGCAGGAGCCAGACCCCTGCAGAGGGCTGCCAGGTGCCAGGCTGTGCTGAAGTGTGTCCCATGCCTGAGCTCACTTGATCCTCAAGATAACCCCACAGAGGGCAATTACGATTGACCCCCCCTTTACAGATACAAAAGTTCAGACACAGCAAAGATAAGAGGTGGAGCTGGGGTTTGAACCCAGGACCATGCTCCTTGCAAGGGTCTACTTCTTTTGGAACACAGGTGATGGAGGATCTTAGCCTCTGGCATGCCCTGGAATCCTGAGCAGGGCACAGGATTTCCCAGGGTCATGGGTTATAGGATTCAAGCTGTTTTTATCTAATATTCAAAAAACAATGGGACCCCAGCAGCTGTCCAGACACCAACATTTGCCCATGTTCATTCATTCTATGTGCCTCCTCTGTTAGGGCCATGCCAGGCCCTGCTGAGGACACAGGCCTGACCTTCAGGGTCCCCTGGTGTTTGGGGATAGAGCCACGGTGTGGATGGATGGATAGATAGATAGATAGATAGATAGATAGATAGATAGATAGATAGATAGAGATAGAGACATACTTGATCCACATCATGGGAGATTTGTGGGAGAGGGGTTAACTGGGCCTTGCATCTTACCTTCTCAGCCAGGGCACTGAAATTCTGGCCTGACTCTTCCACCACATAGCCAAGCTTGAACACAGGGCAGAGCGGGTGCAAGGTCTTATGATAAAGACAGGTCTTCATGTATTTGGCATCCACTTCCTCCACCAGGTTGCGTCTATAGGGACAGAGGGCATTGGCAGGAGTATGCCAGCTGGGAAGGTGCCCACCATGCTCCAAAACTTAGGGGACCCCTCATGGGCTCCAGAAATACCCCTTCCATTGTCTTTGGAGACTGAAGGAAGCCCACCCCAGGCCCAGCCCGGGATCTCCCTCCAGAGTGAAATTGGCAGGAATGAAGGGAGGCAGACAATTGAGACCAGAGGAGTAACCTTGGGGAGCTGCCTGCATTTCTGCCCATGTTTCCCACCAACCTGTTGACCTTGAAGCGTGGAAAACTGATGCTGTTCTTGATGAAGAGAGTGAAGTTCTCGGCCTCTTGGAGAAGGGCAGGCCTAGAGGAGACCACACTCACTCACCACCCCCTGCTGGGAGTTGCCTGAGTGCCCACCAGAGTGTCACACAGCTTGTGGGGGTGTAAGAACCTAGGGGGTGGCCTACAGCCTTGGATCAGAGAAGGGGCAGGTGTACTGTGATGATGAGCTCTTGGGCCCCTTGCTTGACCAGGGACCAGGGGCAATATGGTAAGGGTGAGGTCAGAAACAGGGACGACAGATCCCACCAGGTGCTCGGGTCCAGAGGCTCCTCTGTCTGACTGGGGACCCTGCTCTCAGCCCCCTGGAGGGACGGGGTGTTACCGTGGGATGTTGTCATCCACCTCCACAGGGCACCAGCCAAAGATCTCACACGTCTGCACAGTGTTGTTGAAGGCCACACACTTGCCAGTACGGATGCCTGGAGTAAGAGAGGAACCCCTGGGTGCCCATTCCAAGCTTGGGGTGCAGAGGAGGCCCCCAGATCCCACCCCTAGGAGCTCCCAGTGATGGGGCACCTAAGAGAAGGCTGAGAACAGAGGTGTGACCAGGTCTGGGACAGGGCAGGCTGAGGTCAGGGCGGTAGGAGGTGAGAGCAGGAAGGGCCTCCCAGTGGAGGAAGCCTGGAGCTGACAGAGGCTCGAGAGGGGGCAGGAGGAGGTCGGTCTCACCTTGGGCCTTCCTTTCTGCCTTTCCTGCGATGCAGTTGCTGTCGTTGGTGCACGTGCCCCCTTCCGGGTTCTGGGGGAGGGGAGAGCTGCTGGGTGGAGTTCTGAGAAAAGTCCCTTCCACCCCAGGCTGTGGGGCAGAGTCTCAGAACCCCTTGGGGTGGCATGCTCATAGACTCCTTCCCCCAGTGTTCTCCCAACCAGCCCCCAGCCCTGGGCTTATGTCTAGCTGCCCACTGCCAATGACAACTGACAGGAGGTGGAAGGTGGAAGGCTGCGGTTGTAGGGTCCTGAGGCTCAACATCCCTCCGGCACACAACCGGAAGAAAGGCTCAGCACTGCCAGTGGTGGACCGACAATTTGTGGGGCTCTATGCCCGAAATTCCACCACCGTGGTCTACCCAGCTTCACCTCCAATGCACACGGGAACCTCCTCTCCAATGTTATTTTCCCTTGTGGGTCCAAGAAAGGGAGGATGCGTAGGAGTCCTCACCTCTCCACAGTGACCTTGAACCTGCTGGGGGGTTGCGATGAAATTGGTCATGACCACGAAGGAGCTGTCCCCCTGGAAGTGAGGGATGGAGGGGATAGGGCTTTGAGCTGGGAGATCAGCCCTGAGAACCCCAGCCCCGATGCAGGAGGATCCTAGAACCCACAAGACACTCCCCATTTCATGATATCAGTGTGGGGTGATATTACAGGGCTGTCCCTCATCCCCAGTTAGGGAAACTGAGGCCCAGAAAGAGATGGGAGCTGGGGGACCTCTCTACCCCATAAAAAGGTGAGGAAGATCCCAACCCCACACTGAACCAGGCCCTGTGGTCGGGAGGTGCCCCCGCGTCAGCTCACCTGGGCTGGGAAGACGTAGTCAGCCACATCCCAGACCTGGGAGCCCAGGCCCGGGAGCTGCGTCACCGCCAGACCCTTGAGCTTCACAGACACGCTGCTGATGAGGCCACTCGAGGTCTGGTATCCCTTCTCATAGACAAACACCCACCTGTGGCGGTGAGGAGCAGAGGGGCTGTTCAAGGATGGCACCAGCTGGACAGGTCAAGTCATCTCTCTCCCCCTCCCCAGAAGCATCTTTGACCACTCTCACTCCTAAGGCTACAAATTGGACTGCAGGGCAGAGAGCCCCGCGCCCCGCCTAGCCCTCCCCACCCCCTGTGCCTGAAGTTCCACCATTGTCTTCACTATGAAAAAAGTAACTCCCAGGGAGGATATCCACTGAAGGATCCTCTCTGATCCTTTTCTAAGAGCAGGATTTTCTGGAACCTGTAGGTCAAGCTTCTTGGACCTCAATCCTCACCCCAAAGTGCTCCTTCCTTCCTGAGGTCCTTGCACCCAGAAACAGCTGTGCACCTGGCAGAGAGCTTGGTCTCAATAGCTTGGATTTGAATCCCAGTCCCACTACTCACAGCTGTGTGACTGGGCAAGCTATTCAATCCTTTCCTTGTGCCTCGGTTTTCTCATCTCTAGAATGGAAATAATGACAACAGTCCCAAGAGTACTTGTGTGTTGAGTGAGTTAATGCAGGTTAAAGCACTTCAATGGGGACTGACATGGAGTAAGGGCATTAGAAACATTAGCTATTAATATCTCAACCATTCTGGGAGTTTCTGGGAAGGGGGAATAGATAGCAACAGAGGTGGCAAGCAGCCTCTGAAGGGTCCACCGCTTTAGGCCTCTAGTTGAGGCCCTTGTGGGAGTGGTTCAGAATGAAACTTCAAAAACCCTTGTTCCTTTGGGCTCTCTATGTTCAATCTGGGAGGTTCAATGGGTCCAGCTCCCGTCTAGCCCTGGGATGGGCACATGATCAAGACTTGCAAATCAATGGTTCATCACTTTAGCAATGGTGATGGGTTTAAGATGGGCTCATTATTCAGGGGCCAGGATTTTTCTGGGAATTATTCAGAAAGAGGTTTCCTGTCTTCTGCATGGCTAAGGAAGTTAGCTATAAGACCAAAACTATGGTTAGTCATCTTTGCCAGCTCACAGAGAGAGCAGGACCGAGAATACAGCCAATATAGAGGAAAGCTGAGCCCGGAGTTGGAGAGAGGTAGATTCCTGACAATATTGCTTGAGCACCTAGATCCAGCCAGGCCCGAACCATGCATGAAAATCTACTTCTGGGCATTTCAGTGACATGAGCTAGTAAATCCTCTTCCTTTATTTAAGCCAGTTTGAGTTTGGTTTCTGTTGCTTACAACTGAGAATCCCAGACATTTTCTCTGGAGTGGTCCCTTGCTCAGGAAAGATTCTTCATGGAGATTCAGAGTGTGTGTGTGTGTGTGTGTGTGTGTGTGTGTGTGTGTGTGTACGTCTGTGTGTCTGTGTTTGTGTGTCTGTCTCCCCAAAGTGCCCATCACTGAGTAATTGTGTTACTCAAGGCCCAATCTATTAGTATACCTGGGCTTCGTCTGACTGTGGGCAGGTGTGTTTATGCCCCCACCCTTACCTGCTCCCAGCCCACCTATCCAAGCAGAGCTCAAAACCCCTCTTCCATACCCCAAAATTCCCAGGCCTCTTAGGGCCAGAGTCAGTGTTGGCTCTCTGGGGACTGTCTGTCTCCCTGCTCCAGGCTCCAGGAAGGCAGTCCACCAGGTCTTCCTGCCCTCTCCCACAGTCCCCTCCCATCCTGCTCCAAGCTGCTCCCCCAGCCCATTACTCAAGTGAAGCCACCTCCCTGCAAGTCTAAGCAAGGTCACTGCTGCCCCCTGCAGGTCCCAGATGGCAACAGATGAAGCGTGACAAAGACCCCCAAATTGCTGTCCCCAGCCTGCTGTTTGCCTCCAGTCCCATCAGGAGGAAGGGGGCACCACCCATATACCCACCCGCCTTAGATTCCTTCCTCCTGGATAGGCCTCTGACTCCATGCCCAAGCTCGAAGGAGCTGCAAGAGGGGTGGGTGGGTGGGGGAAGTTGTTCCATGTTCTAACACCCCCCACCGTGGGAAAGACCACCTCTTGGCACCCCCATCCTTGCTATCCAGCAGCATTTCACTCTTTGTCCAGTACCAGCTCCTCACAATATAGAAGGGAAATCTGAGTTCTGAGTCAGCAGAGCCCAGGGCAGGCCCCTCCTCTGAGCAGGCCGGCTTCAGCATGTCTGCGGAAGCTGGGAACAGAGAGGAGCAGAGCTGAGTGGGCAGTGCTCCAGGCCCATGCAACCTTTCTGGGCTATGTTTGCCCTCCTGGGCTCTAAGTCGTGGGGGTCAGGGGGAAAAGTAAGTCCAGCATCTATGACCGTCGTCCTAATAATAGAATTATCGTGCAAGTGTCTGCCTTGACCTGCCATGAAGCCAAAGTCATTGACATCTTCAGAAGTCCCTCCCCTTCCAGAAATTCCCTTTCCCATTCTTTCCCCCATGTCCTTGGTAATGCCTTGTCCCAGGGCTCTCCTTCAGTCACCACTCAGGGAAGAGTCCACATCGTGGAGTGGGCAAAGGTCACAGACGCCAGGGCTCAGGTCCCAGCATGGTCCCTCACCCACCTGAGTCCCAGCTGAACCCCAGCTTTCTCAGTAAAGTGAAGTTAATGGCACCAACCTCAAAGAGGCTGCTAGTTCAACAAATATCAGCAAGGCCCACTAGTGCTTTCAGTCCTGGACTGAGCCCCAGGGAGCAGGAGGGTCTAGGTGATGGTCTGAGGGATGGTCCCACAAGTTCTCTTTAAGGAAACTAGAACAGTGCCTGGCGTGCAGTAAGCACCTCCTAAATAAACCTATTCACTGTCTCTACTCCCCTTTGCTAATTCCCCTGTAGATGTAGATCTGTTCCCGCCCCCCACTCCCACCCCGGATTCCATTCTCAGCCAGGCAGAACCCTTCGTGAGCCCTTACAGAAGCACTATGTCCCCAGATTCTTATCTCCCCTTCTGCAGTCTCCCCAGAGACTAAATATCACTTGCATGTTTAGTTATTCAACAAATATTTATTTACTGAGCCCCTAGCATGTGCCAAGCACTGGGCTAGGCACTAAAAACACAGAAGTGAACTAAACAAACAAAAATTCCGCACCCAGGGACTTACATCAATCAAGCGGTTCTATACATGTCTTTAACACCCACGGCTTGGGGACATGCACATCCTCCCCTCAGGTGGCCCTCCCTCAGGCACCTCACAGGTACCTCCAACTCAACCCCACCCTTTAGAAAATAGTCTGGCAGTTCCTCAGAAAGTCCAACATGGAATTACCATTTGACCAGAAATTCTACTCTTAAGTACAAACATAGGTTGCTTAATAATGGGGGAATATTCTGAGAAATGCACCACTAGGTGATTTTGTTAATGTGTGAACAGCAGGGAGTGTGACTACACAAAGCTAGATGACATAGCCCACTACACATCTAGACTAGGTGGTACAGGCACATAGGGATCACTGCCACATATGTGGTCTGTTATTGACCAAAACATCACTCAGCAATACATGACTGCACATATCCGAGAAAATAAAAACATAGGTCCACACCAAAAAGTGTTCACAAGCACTCATAGCAGCATTGTGCATGGAAGGCAAAAAGTGGAAATACTCTGAATGCCCATCAACTTACAAGTGGATAAACCCAAATGTGATCTATCCTCACCATGAAATATTATGCAGCCATAAAAAGGATGAAGCACTGATCCATGCTGCAACCAACATGGATGTGCCATGTAAACATTATGCTAAGAAATGAAAGAAGCCAGATATAAAAGTCCATGTATTCTTTGACTTGATTTATATGAAGTTTCCAGAATAGGCAAAGTAGGGTGTGGGAACAGTGTGAGGGGTGGGGTAAGAATGTCAAGGGGTACTGGGTTTCTTTTTGGAACAGTGAGAATGTTCTTGAATTAGATGTAGGCATAATTTGTGATTATCCTAAAAACCACTGAATTGTATATTTAGAAAGGGTGAACGTCATGGCATGTGAATTATATCTCAAAACAAAAATTCAACTGGCTTAAACTGAAGGCCTCATCTCTGCACAGAAACTGCTCCTCTTGTGCCAATCCTCTTGTACCAAGCTCAGAGCCTGGGTATCAACCCCATGCCCTCCATTTCTCTCATACCCACATTCTTTGGGTCCCCTATCCGTCCTGGCCCCCCTTGGCTACCATATTAGGATGCAGAGGGCTTCATTGTGTGGAGGCTGAGAGAGGAGTTGGATAGATGAAGGGCAGCCCTGGCACGGGGCTGGGAGGACAGACCGTGTGACTTGTGGAGCACAGGCTGTAACCACAGGCCACAAGCAGGAACCGACCACAGCAGGCTTATGCTATAGGGCAGAGCAGCCTTGGAGAAGGGCCAGAGAAGGCTCCCGGCCTGGAAAGGACAGAGTTCAGAGCCGGGGTTCACACTGAGGTGGCAGAGGTTAGTAATCATGCAATCTACTGGCAAGTCAAGCTGACTGTTTGTGTCCTTAAATTTTTTGAATGAGTCACCAACCTCTAAAATTAAGAGTTTCCTTTCCCCATGAATTCAAATTTCCAACTTCTCCTAAGAACTCAGAAAGTCTGGCCATGCTGCACACATGTCCCCCTGCAACAGCGATGGGCAAAGCTGAGCAGTAGCTTCCCCAGCTATGGGTCAGCCAGGATGATGACTCCTGGCTTCCATGCTTGGCACAGCCTCGTCCTCTCCATTCATCACTGCTACCTTTTCACAGTTGTCCTGCTTCTGCCTTCCCACCCCAGTGCCTGCCTGCTCCAGGCCTCCCCCTGCTAGGCAGCTACGTGTCTCCCCACTGCCTGCAGGAGAAAGCCCATGGAGTTCAGAAGCATTTAGAAGCCTGAGCAAGTGGCCACACTCCCACCCCCCTCCTCTCCCTTGGCTCCTTTCATGCTCTTCCAGCCAAACCCTAGTGACTCACTGTTTCTTTCCTGCCCCAGGACATTTGATCACACTCTGCTTTCCAGCAGAAATGCCAGGATGTGGGCGGGCACATAACCAGCCTCCACCAATCAGGACAATCCATCTCCTTGGCTACACGGATTGGATCTGTTCTAGGCACATGACCCAACCCCAGTCACTCAGAATTGGACCTGGGAATGTATGCCACAGAGATGGTAGAGCAGGTGGGGTACCGGCCTGGAGCTACTGTTGGCTATTTTCCCACTCCAGGGACAGAGCCTGTCTGAGAATGAAATCTCCATGCAGGGAACAGAGCCAAGAAGAGGAGACAGATGCTGGCTTGCTTCATTGGAGAACTCAAATGGACCTACCAGAACTCGACTCCCCATAAACCTTGCTCCTCATCATGGAGGATCCAGCCAGGCCTGAAGCCCATGTTGACTTTTTTAGCAACACAAAACCAGCAATGGCCCCACTTGTCATTCCAAATGCATTTTGATTGGGTTTCTGTCACTAGGAAGCAAAGGAGTTCTGGCCAATTCATCCTAAGCTCCTCCCTCCCTATCTGCCCCACCTCTGTCCCATGGAGCCTGACACAGCACTGGGCATGGGGAAGGTGCTATAGAAGTGTCCCCAGCAATAACTCATATCCAGGCCCAATTGGTGTGCTTCAGGATCTATTTTGGAGCTCTCAGAAGCGTGTACTTTTGAGAGTTCTGCATGGGGATCCGGGGAAAGGGTTAGGGATGAGATGAGAAAAGGTCCTGGGAGGACTTGGGAAAAGCCAAGAGCTGACCTGCCTGGCCCACAGTCCCAGGCCTTTGGGCAAAGCTGGTTCCACCGCTGTCACCTCCTCCAAGAACCTCCCCAGGCTCCCCTCCCCAAACAGCCTTCGCGAATCACCTTGGATATTCCTGTGTGTCACAGCCAGATCACCTTTCTCCTGCCCCCACCAGAGCCCTGCAGGCAAGGACATGTCCCAACATACCCCTTGTATGGGCCTGGTTGGGGGAGCATGACAACCCACTGCACCACCTCCATCACCTGCACTGCAAATTCACTGTCAGCCCAGAAGAGTGATCTCCTAGCTCAGTCCACCAGGACCTCAGGCCCACCTGCTACTCACCCACCTGTAACTCTTCCTGAAATAGTGTGACCAGTAGAGACCACCGCCTCAATTTCCCTCCTTGGAGCCCGTCCGGGTTCTCGGCATCTCACTCTCTCTACCTCTGTCTTTATAACTCTCTAACCATTCCTAAGCCTTTATCTGAGTGGCTGTGTTCAATGTCTGCCCCTCTGTCCACTTCTGGCTCTGTGTCTGCCCGGCCCCCATCTGGGCTACGCCCCTGTCCACTGGGGTCTGAGACTTCGGTTCCCCTCTGTTCCCCCGCAGTGGCCACAGGACCAGACCTTCAGAAAGTCAAGATCTGCCTGAAGGGAGGGTATTTAAGGAAAGGCCCTCCCCTCCTCGGGAAAGAGCAAACTGTTGAGGCCTGGCCGGTGGAAAAATTGGGAAACTGAGGCATGAGATGCTGAAACCAAGTCCAGGCTCTGGGTGAGGCTTTGATCTTCCCGGTGGGCTCAAGCTGAGCGGTCAGAGCAGTGAGGGCTGTGGCCAGAGGAGGGCGCCAGAGACAGCAGGAGCCACAGCCCAAGCAGATGGGAAGGGGGGTTGATTCTTGGCTTGGGGGCAGGGTTGGGGGGCTGTTGCCAGGGCCCTTGTCTTCCTGGATCTGCTAAGTGTCTTTGGCAGGTCAGTGTCCATCTCTGAGGCTGCTTCCTTTCTAGGATATCAAAGGCAACTTTGGAGCTGTGCTGCTGGATTCGGCCTCCTACTAACTGTGAGGGCTCAGCTAAGCACTCAGTGTCTCTGAGGCTTGCTGCACCGAGGACAGATGCCTGCATCTACTTTGGAAACTGGGTAGACCATCTTGGGAGGGAGGAAAGGAAAGAAGGAGAGAGGTAGTGAGGTCCCCTTCACTGGAGGAGTGTGTTCAGGATGGCCACTTGGGGTGTTTGCTGCAGCTAGGAGGGGTGATGTGGGAGGACTGTCCCTTTCCCTCTGACAGTCAGTGACTGACCCTGAATGGGGTCCTGGAGGTCTCTGGGCTCTGGGATCCCTCTGCAAGGTCCTGGTGCTGCCCCTAGTGCCAACCCGAAAAACAGAAGCAGGGAACCACAGGGGCCACAGTGAGGATGACGTTCAAACATCTTCAGGCAAGGGCAGGTGTGGAGGGTCTTCCCAGGAGGGTCGAGAGTTTGGCTAATGGTGGGACAGAAGGAAGGCCATTTGTGATGCAAAGACCCCGGGAGGACCAGGACAACATGACCATTGTTTGGCCTCCTGGTCAGCCCACCCTGGGCCCAGTCAGCAGTCCTGGTTTAGCCCCTCAGCAAAAATGAATCAGAAGACTTGGAGACTAAAGGGGCAGGGCCTTGAGAATCACACAACAAAGTCAGCTTGGGGCTGCTCTCACTCCCAGACCCCCAGCAGGAACTGAGCCCCTTTTAGTGGCCCCCAGGAGTCACTATGAATGGACATGATGGTCTTCACACAGGGGCACACACATCAGCCACCTCAACACCTCAGCCACAGGGCATGCACACATGGCACCAGCCCCAGAGACACACCTAGTAGCCCCACCCATTGAGCACACACCCAAACACAACGGGCACCTCCACTGACACACTTGCTCCACATACCACATACATGTGTGCTCACAGAAACATGTATGTGCAAGCTCATGCCAGACTTTTCTTGGCTCCCGGGACAGCTAACTGCAGGGGGAGCTGAACCTGCTTCTGACCCTGCAATGCTGGACAGTGGGTTGTGTCCCCAGATGCCCAGGAAGGAGCTGCTGTCCTGGGGACCAGAGTTGCCCCTCCAACATTTGCCCAAAGGGCACCATTATGGCCCCAGGAATTCTGCATTTGAGAGTGTCTCAAATACCCAGGATACTTCTAATTTAGGTAAGGTAGGCAGGACCAGGGCCTGTTCATTCTATATAAAGTGTAAAATGGGGTACAACCTCGCCTCTTAGCAGTGGCCTGGTTTGGCTGGGAAGTCTGAGGTAGAAGGGAGGACCCCAGCTCTAAGGGAACAGTCACCAGCGAGTCTGTCTCTCAGAACCAGCAGCTTTGCCTCTGGTTGGCCATATGATCCAGGACAGGGTCTCCCTGCTCTGCCTCAGTGTCCCCTCTCTGACAGTTAGTTAGCAGGTCCATTTCGTTTGAATAGCACTGTGGCTTGTCAGGAAGGGTAACAGCTGATAGAGACAAAGAGGAATTTGTGGGGGGGAACGAGGGCATCCCAGAGCCTGGATGATGGGGCTGATGCAAGAGGAGACAGGAGGGAGGCCCGACTCACCCAATGATGTAGACCAGCACCACGAGCTGGATTACACGGAAGATGATGCCCACCTTCTTGTTGCGCACCAGCACCATTCGGGGTGTGTCATACTCAAAGAAGAAGGCAGCCAGCTCACCCCGGAGCCGCCGCGCCATGGTAGCCAGGTTGGGGGCTGAGGCCTGAGCCCCCGCACAGCCTTGGCTCTTGAGGATGTCTGGGCGTCAACACCCACGCTTTGGCTTCTAGGGACTTCCCAGTCCCTTAAGAAGGGCAGAGTGGGGCAGAAGGGTCCAGAGTCAGGAGTCAGGGTCACCTGGAGGCGCTTGTGTGGGGAGAATCCTTGGGTGGTCAGAGCAGCACTTGGCCCTTGGCAGGAGATGGACTGTGGGCCAGCAGCGCCTGTGCACGAATAAATTCCCTAAGATAGCTGGGGGCGGGGCTGCTGGGGCCCGACCCACTGCCCCTCCTGGCTCCGCCTGAGCCCCCACTGGGCCTCCGGAAACAAGAGCTGTTGTCAGGAAACCACTGTTCACCCGTGACCACGCAAAGATAAAGCCTTCAGCCTCCAACAAACCTGGCACGACAGCACGGAAGACACAGGCCAGGGCCTGGGCAGAGTGACCTCAGGCTGGAGCCCTCCCCAAACCAGGGACCCATCCCCTGGCAGGAGGTAGAGGTAGGAGGTGGAGGCTGGGTGTCCTCAGCGCCCCCACATCCCACCCCATCCAAGCTGCCCTATGCTGACCCACACACTCTCCAAACCCTACCAATGTTCCCAGATAGGAGGCTTGGTCCCTACCTGGGGGTCTGCAGCCAGGAGGGCAGTTCTGGTCCAGCTGCCTTACACTTCCTGAGCCTGTGACAGGACCCTGTCCCTTATAAGTCACCCCCCATCCACCTATCTTTCTGAGTCCAAGCCTGACCTGTGCCCAGTCAAACTCAGCACTTCTCTCCCACAGTCTGCTTAGCCGTGCCTCTACCTCCCTGAGCTCAGAAAGGCAGATAAGCAAGGGCCACATCTGTAACGTATTGCCCTGGGGCTCCCTGAGACGGAGGGGGGGGGGGTTGGTGGAGGAGGGGGCCCTGACATCAGCCAGCCTGGATTGACATCCCTGCCTCTGCCACTTAAACAGTCACCTTAGGTCAGTTGCTTTACCTCTCCGAGCCTGCGTCCGCCTCTGTAAAATGGGGACGATATCTCTCCTCAGGGGCAGAGACTCTGAAAGAACGGTCCTGACAAGGCTAAGAATGGAGAACTTGAGGCCCTAATGAGCTGGGGGACCGCCCCTTTCTTCAACCTCAACCCAGGCCTTGAGCACAGGGGCCCCAGGGGTTAGGTTAGGTTAGGGTGGGCAGGTTCCCTAATCAGCTCTCTAGACTGTGAGCTGGAGGCTCCTCCTCCCCCCACCCACATCGCTTGCAGAGCTGGAGCTCAGAGAGGAAACCGAATTGAGAGCTCATCCTGGGTGACAAGCAATCCTTTGCCTGCTCCTCAAGCCAGGTCGGATGTTCCTCAAGCCAGGTCGGGATTCCTCGGGACTGGGCTCCCTCCAGAAGTAGGAGGTAGAGGTAAGAAGTGGAGGCTGAGTTATCTTGTGGCCCCCATCCAGCCCCCATCTCGCAGCCCCCATCTCTCGCCCCGTTAAAGTTCCTGCAAGCTGACAGCTGATGGGAATCTTCTTCCCAGCAAGCCTTTAACTGGGAAACTGCTCTGGGCAGGCAGCCAGTCCTGCTGGGATTCCCAGCTGCCTGTCTGAGCAAGCTGCTCTGTGGACAGCAAGGGGTCCACACAGAAGGCAGGCTCACAGCCCCTTCCCATATCCCAGGCTAATCCCTGGGGTCAACAGACAATCCCTGTCAAACACAGTATCCTCACACAGCACAGAGTTCCTGCCAATTTCAGGCTCATCTGTCTGTCTGACGCCACCTTCAAGAGGGGCTGACAAGAAGGACGTCATGGGTTCTTCCGAGGAATAACCCAGAGATTCTGGGAGTCAGTACTGTGGCCACCACATCCCCTCAGCCGTATCTTGACCCTGGACAAAAGGGCATGCCTTCTTCCCAGCTGACCTATTGCCCTTGAAATATAGGCCCAGGCACATGACCTGCTTGCAAAGGGAGTGGTGTGATGCTGCAACTGTGACAGAGCCCTCTCAGTCCCATGCCTCCTCCCCCAGGACAGGCAGAAGGCACTAAATGAGGAGGGCGGAGAGAGGAGGAGGGAGGTAAGGAAGGAGGGGACAGGAAGGCAGTCAGTCTCCAATCTGCATCTGTACCTTTCACACTACCACCATGTCTTCTTTCTCCTCCAAGAGGCCAGGCTTGCTGATGGACAGATGGACCAACAGACAGACCAGCTTGGAGCTCCTGTTACAGCCTCAGTTCTTACCCTGGCACCCGGAGGGTAGACTGGCACGGGGGAACATCCCATTCAAGGATGTTAGCATATGCAAAGTGTGCATCTAAGAAAAAGAAAGAAGAGCAATTACATTTCTCATCCCAAATTTCTTTTATTGCAAATAACTCTGCAAGCGTAAGACAAGCAGCTGATGGGCCAATGCCTTGGTCACTATTTCTAAAATGCACCTTTCTGATCTGAGGCTGTGCTTTGCCACCCTTGACCTTGACTCCAACATCCCTAGAACCAGATGCCTTGTGTTCATTCTGGGCAGTGTGGGCGGTGGAGCTAGGCAGGGTAAGTGTCAGAGCTTATGGGGGACACAGTTCACACACAGGACTTAGGCAGGTTTTCTTTACAATCGCCATATGAAATAGAACCCCCATTTTACAGATAAGGAAACTGAGGCTCAGGAATTTGTTCAAGGTCATACGGTAAGAACCTCCTATGTCTGCTGGTGGCCAGGAAGGAGGCTCTCCAAATTCTGAGAGCTTGGCCCAGAGCCCACCTCAAGACTCCAGCATTCAAAGCTGTCAGGCCTGCCTTATAAGCCCAAAGGCAGGGTGGCCGGCTTGGGTACCAGGCCGGGCCTTGTAGGGAGACAAGCAATGCTGCCAAGCGCTCAGCCCCAGGACAGCCTCCCCTGCCGGGCTAAATTTAGCATCTCTGTGTGCTTGGAGGGGGTCCATACCCATCCTGGAGGCCAGCCCGGGCCCTCAAGGGGGTCAGCACAGGCTCCAGTGGGTCTCCTTAGCCATTCAGGGTCTCAAGGTTACAACTGTCTGCAGAGGAGTCCTCTTCAACCCCCACACCCTCTGGGTCTGCCTGGGTGCCCAGGGACTCATCAAATGCCCCACAGCCCTCAGATGCCACTAGAACAGGGCTCCAGGTCAGTCTAACATTGTCTAGGGGAGGTAGGCATCTGGGGTCAGTTCTGTCGTCTGCCCATTGTCAAAACCCGGCGCCGCTTCTCTGGCTGCTTCTACCATCCTGCCCTCCTCCACTGGCCATCCCCTGCTGCAGTCCTTCTCCTGAGTGTCCTAGGCAACTCCCCTCCTCCCCTGCCCTTTCTCCTCCATCTTTTTGGGCCATTTCCTCTTAACCCCCAGCCACTTCCTGCCCCAGGAATGTGGGAGTCCTCAGGCTGGCTGAGGCCCCTTCTCATCACTGAGCATCCACTTGAAGTCTCCACCCACCTCCTGCTGCTGCTGAAACGCTACACCCACCACCCACCTCGCAGTCACATGCCAACCCACCTCCTCTCAATTCAACCTTTTTTCTTTTAAATCAAACTGTGTTGAGGTATAATTTATTTACAGTCAAATGTACCCATTTTAGGCAGTTTGATGAGTTTTGACAAATGCACGCAATTGCCTCCCCCCCACATCTGTTACCCTAGAACATTCCCTTCTGCCCCTTTGTAGTCAATCTCTCAGCCACCCGCCCCCTGCCCCAGGCAATCACTGATCAGCTGTCATTACAGATTTGTTTTGCTTTTGCTAGAACTTCACAGAGGTGGAGCTACACAGTATAAGTTCCTTTGGGGTCTGGTTTCTTTTACTCAGTACAAGGAGTTTAAGCTCCATGCAAGTTGTTGTACATACGGGTAGTTTTCTCCTTTTGATTGCTGAAGAGTATTCCACTGTAGGGACATACCGCCATGTGTTAGTCCCTCCCCTGCTGATGGACAATGAGGGCTCCCACTCTGGGACTACAATGAATAGAGTTGGTAGTGTAACAGGGTGGTCCCCAGGAGAGGGGGAGGTTCCCTGCCCCACCCAAGGGAGGGTGGAGCTGAGCAGGAAGAGGAGAAGCTGCAGAAGAGACTGAGGAAGGAAGCAGGATGGAGCCAGGAGACCTGGAGGAGGCGCATGGAGCCTAGAGACGCGTGAAGAAACTGCACTTGTCTTTTGGTCGTGGACTGGGTGACACAGATGTGGGTGAGACCCCATGGGGAGGTGACAATGGCAGCTTTTATCTTGATGTTGATTTTGCTCTTTTCCTTCCGGGCTTGTCTGGTTGTTTCTGACCCTTTTCTGTGGGTCCCCACTGGAAGATGCTTTAGACTTGTGGCAGGCTTTGGGGCCTTGTTCTGGGCAGATCCCGTATGGATGGACTTTTACCCACGAGGGGACGGGTAACTCTGGATGCTTCATTTAGAAACTAAACTCTTTACCTTACCTGTATTGTTTCCTAGTTTTATTAAAGATCCTTCCCATTAAAGTCTCATATGTTTTGTGTTGATGCAGCGGATGGCAGAACCCATTTAGAATAGGCAGGTTTGCAGGGTTTGGGCTGCCCCTCTCCCTGTCCTATAACAGTAGGGGCACAGGTTTGGAACTTTGTATGGACGCTTACCTTCATTTTCTGTTTTTGTCCCTCCATTTCTCTCAATGCAGCCCCCTCAGGGTTCCTCCTACCCCCGGGAGGGGTGCAGTGTGGAGGGCATAAGAGCAGAGTCCTGGCCTCTGGAGGGGTCAGGGGAGGCCATAGGCATTTTGGCAGCTGCCTTTCCCTAGCCGGTGAGAAGTGTGCCGGGGCCTGCCCTGGAATTCCCTCCTGGGCGGGCAGCTGTGAGGTAGGAGACCTCTGTTTACCTTGGCCGCCCCATCTTGCCCTGTCAGGCTCTATGCTGCGGGCTGGACAGGGCCGGACTTGGGCCGGACTAGTGGAGGATGGAGGCGAAACAGGCCTAGCCCTGGGCCCCAGCAGCTGCTGGAACTTCTGGAGCAGCCCGCCTCCCGTGCCAGCCCCCCAGGCCATCTTAGCTCCCTCCCGGCCTGTCCGCTGTGACCAGACCAGCTTGATGGTCAGATTCTCAGAGGCCTTGGGTTCCCTGCCTACAAAATGGAACCTTAGCCTCTGCCTGCCCCATCTCGCAGAGCAGATTGAAGAACCTGGGAGATGAGAAGAGGAAAATGAAGTATTTTGCTGTCTGAGAGGTCTCATGGATAGAACTTGTAGTAGGGAGAATTTGTTGACCCCTTGCTCCTGCTGACCTGTGCCCCAAATCTTGCCCTGCCTCCATAAAACAACCCTAGGGGCAGATGCTGTCTCTTCTGGACATGGCAAGCCTCATGGACCTTCCACCTACATAGCTGTGTGGGGTCTATGCTTAGGAAGGTCCTGCCTTTGGTTTAATGCTCTGATGTCACTATTGTGAGATTCTTAACATTTGCTTTCTGGTTTGTTTTTAAGATTTATTTGAACAAGGGGCTCCACATTTAAATTTTGCACTGAATCCCACAAATGATGTAGTTGGGCCTGTCTTTGTGGCAGAGTCTGTGTCCCCTTCCCAGGGCAGCTGGGGGGTAGATTAGAGACACAACCTTAAAGAGTTCTCTCTCCAGGGAAGGGAAATGAGGTGAGGGGGGAACATGGCTATTTCCTTTCAAAGCTCCCCTCTTGGAGGGTAGGGCCACCTGGGCAAGTCAGGAGCACATCTCAAGGAGCTTCAAAAAAGGCCCCTGGACAGTGAGCTGAGGGAAGTGTTGGAGGTACATTTCAGCTAGCTGGGGACAAGAGGTGGGTGGTGTCCTGGGGTTCCAGGAGGGGAGGAAGCATCAAGAGAGAAACCTCAGGGAGAGAGGCAGCACCCACAGAAATAGCCAAGGTTGGGGCCTCTCAGTGGAGTGCAATGGGCCCCTGATATTCAGGCTCCAGGCCTAGCCCTGCCCCAGGGAGAGTCATGAAGCTCCCACAGCCCTGCCTCAGTTTCCTCAGTGCTGATATGTGAATGGTAATTTGTGCAAAGGGCTTTGAACATCGACTCAAACTGTCAAGTGCTGTCCATGCGAGGAGCAGGCAGCCTCGTGCCTTTGCCTTTGGGGCTCAGGAATTCAGGGTCTCTCCTGAGCCTTGTCTCAGAAGAAGACAGTGACCCTGGTAGGCCACATGGGAACAGCCACAGTTCTTCGCTCAATTCCAGGGGTGGGGGTGGGTCCCCAGGTAGATGGTGGGACTGCTGTCCAGGAAAACAGACACTGGTGGTCTTATAGCCCTAGGTGGTTAACCTTTATTTCTATACCAAATCGCATGTCAGCAGATGGGTACAGAACTCAGGCCCCTGCTATGACGTCCCTTTCTCCCAGCAGAGAAAAAAACCCCAGAATCTCTGCAGTTCCTGCAGACCTGGATAGAGGTGGGCAGGGTCCTAAAGACTGCAGGGGATTGATTTACATATAAAATAATCATTTTGTACACTCTTTAGGAGGGGCATGATCTTCTACTGTCTTCTAACACCTAGCTAATTTTTGCCAAAGGGGCAAAAGCTGAGTTGAGAACATTTCTGTTCATCACATGTCCTTTTTCTATCATCTGGCATGATCCATAAGGACACACATAGCTCCAGCAGGGAGGGAGAAGACGGCCCTCGGGTAACTAGCTATTCTTAGTGACATCCTTTCAGTTCCTGGTTTGTGGGGTTGGGGGCAGAATGAGGTCCAGAATCCCTGGGACTCAGAATCACCCAGCCGTGCAGACCTTGAGATGAGGTGGCCTTGCGCTGCAACAGGGTGGAAGGGCATAGTGGCCAGCAACCCAAGAAGGCCTGGAGTCTCAGGTGCCAGGAAGGCAAATGCAACTTCTGCTTGGCAGACCAGGGAATCCGGAGAAGGCAGGTCAGTCTAGTTTGCACAGGACAGAGAAACCTGAGTCGGGGAGTGCGTGGAGTTGAGGAGAGAGGCTGGGCTGACTCCCTGGGAAGGAGGTGCTTGCCCAGTTCCCCTCCCCCACTCCTGTGTCCCTCACTCTGACCCTTCAACCCATTGCACATATAAACAGGAACAGACTCAAGCTCTCACAAGCCGACTTTGTGGAAGCACAGCAGAGTGGAGGGGGCTGCTCACTCTTGCTGTGCACAGCTGGGCCCAGATGTCCCCCTTCTACCCCTGGTGGCAAGGCCCCAGACCAGGCACTAAACGAAAGGTCAGAGTGGTCCCCAGGTGTCCTCCATCAGTGCAGAGGCAATGGTCACCAGGGACACGCCCAGCCTCCAGGTGAGGGGGGGCGGGCTCCAGCGTGTGCTCGTGGACAGGGCGTTGGGTGGAGGGCTCTGCATCTCTGGATCTGCTGCCAGCACTGGCTTCTGGGTAGGCCCCTCACAGGTCGCTGCTCCTGGGCAGAGCTTCAAGGGTGAACTCCCCAGGAGAGTGCCAGAGACATGCAGTAGAGCCCCAAGGCAGGCAGATCTAGGGCAGACACCCCAGGACCAGGCCTGGGGCAGCTGTTCCAACCTCAGCGGGGCGAGGTGAGCAAGCGGATCAGCGTGGTGAAGGGCAGGGACTAAGGGTGAACGCTTCGGCACCATTAGTCTGACGAACACACGGGAGACTCCACTCTGGCCCTGGCACTCACTTCCGGTCCTTTACTTCTGGAAAAAAGACCAAGAGCAAGTTAAGAAGTATAGGCGGCAGGCTGATTCCTTCTGGCCCCTTCCTCAGCCATCCCACCCTCCCTCAGCTTCAGTTAGCCCACCCCCATACCCCGCACCCCTGCCCGGCCCACAGCATCTCCTCAGCCCCAGGTGGACAGCTGTGCACGGATGTTCCCTGGGTTTCCTTCACTGTGCGTACTCCATCAGCTCCCTTGCCCACCCCAGTGCACGTCCTCCTCTTGGTTTTTGGCTTGGGGAACCACCACCCAGCACGAGATCCAGAAACCAGGGCATCCTTGACTCCTGCCCATTCCATATGCCCCGGCCTGCAATTTTACCACCTATGTCTCTTCAGCTCATCGGACCTCTGCTGCCCCTAGGTCTTAAGGCACCTCAGCCCTAATTACCTCACCATTGTCCTTGCGCCCTGGCATCCAGCTACTAATCCAGCCCATCCTCCCCGCCAATGGCTCCCTGCTCCTTTGGAATAAAGCGCAAGCTGCCACATCTCCTGGACCCTCCCAGCTTTGTCTGATTCTGCAGCTCCAGGCCTCCCGCTCAGCCCAGCCCACAGGCCTCTGTCTGACAGCTGCTCACACACACCTGGACAAAGCCAAGAGCGGGAACAAGAGGAACCCCCCCAAGCCCTTGGGCACTGACCCGGTATCCATAATTCTCCCTTGTAAATCACAGGAAGTCACAAGCATCAGGCCTCAGCAAAACTTCCCTAAAAGGCCACACAGCTGGCTTGGGAACGTAACAGGGTCCCGTCTCTCACCCCCGCCCCGTCTGGCTTTAGGAGGCCCGAGGGACTGCAGGCACATAGGGCAGAGCTGTCCTGGCTTCCAGCAGACACACTCCACCCCACCTCTCTGATGTAACCACCGGTGCCCAGCCTGAGTCTGTTCCGCAGGCCCCACAGCTACTCCTCACAGCAGGGCACCTACTTTCAAGCCACACCTCTTCGGAACCATGATCAACATCCCAGGTTAATCGTGTAGGTAGTGTCCCCAGGACCGGCTCACCTGGGGTGGGGTGCAGTGTCTTCCCCAAGCCAGCTCAGCAGGGCTCACCAGTCTTCCTGCCTTTGGTCATATCCCTCCCGTCTGTCCTCCATAGTCACCCCAGTCCTTCTTATGCCTACACTCTGGGGCTCCCAGTGCCCTGCGGACACTGTCCAGGGTCCTTTCCTGGGCATTTGAGGTCCTTGCCGCTCCCTGGCCTCAACCCCCCACATGCACTCTGAGCCCCAGCCCACTAGTGACGCTGTGCTAGCCCAGCCCCTTCTCCGCCAGGCCCCAGCCTCCCCGTTCAGATCTCCACTCGCACTCCGCCTCTCCTAGAAACTACCCCAACCCAGCTCTCCAACCCCATCCTGCGAAGGGCGTGCTCCCTCCTTCTAGACCTGTATCCTCCACCCAAGAAAGCCATAGGCTTTCCCCATTGGCAGAGAACTTTTAGCCATGGAAAGAATTCTCTCACTTTAAAGTTTTCTCAAAAAAAAAAAAAAAAAAAAAAACCAAAAAAACCAACTGCTGAACTCCTTGGCAATCGTGGCCACTAGGCAAGGTTTCTGAGGAAGACAGAGAGCTTGCTCAAGCTGCCCAAGTCCCCAGGAGGCCTGGCTTCCCAGGTAAGTGGATATGGTCAAGGCTGGACAGCGGGTTCTCTGACAGACCACCCATGCTCAGAAATGGGGTGGTCTGGGCTCCCACAGATGGCGTTTCACAGATTCATTCCCCCTCTTCATCCCTCCGGGGGTGCCCACAGGGGGTGGGCCACAAAGAGCCACACAGGGGGCAGTGTGCCTCGGCAGGTTCTCCCTACCTACCGTGGGCTCCAACAAACCTTGCTGTGATAGAACACCAGCCTCCATCTTCAGGCAAGCCCCCCACGACGGGACAGATCGATCTGGGGTAGGCCAGCTCCTCCAGAGAGAGGGAGCCAAAAAAGATAAAATATTTGCAGCACTGGGGAGGGCTGGCCTGCGTGGGAGATGGGGGCCGATTGATTGCCTTGGCCCCTGTGGAATGACAGGCTCGTGATCTATTTATAGCCCCCTACCCCAGGCACCCTCCCCTGGGCCCAGGACACATTCCTGCCAGAGGTGGCCCTCAAGAACCAGCTGCTGGAGTGCAGGGCTCAGCCCTTGCTGGGTCTCACCCAGGCCCTTCCATGGAGGCCAGGTCGCAGGGTGCGGGTGTACTCCCTTGGCTCAAAGTCCCAGAAACTGGGTGTTTCTTGCCCCCGCTTCCTCTCCCACTGGGAAGCCCTGACAGTGAGAATGCCTCCCGTGCCATTGGGAGGTGCAGAATGCCCACTGTTGAGTCCCTCTTGCAGGGCCAGGCAGATAGAGGCCAGGCCCCAGACTGTTCCTCCCCATACTGGCCCCCACCCCGACACCGGCCGGTCTGCCCTCCATTCCTAGGTTAAGACAGACTCAGAACTCTGAGCTCAGAAACAGAGAACCAACCCTTCCACCCAACCCACAAGGTGACACCAAAGAGGCCAACCCGGTGTGGTCTGGGGTCTGGGAGGCGGTCAGCAGCTGCCCACTCCATGTCTGGGAGACTGTCCTGAGAATGCCTGGATAAAGACAGGCCGGGGGCAGAGACATCAGAGGTCAAGGCCCAGAGGAGGGCACAGGGGGCTATGCAGAGGGGGTTGGTGAGTGAGGCCAGCGAGGCAGTGTGGCCCTGAGCGGTGCTCCCCTGGCTGCCCCAAGAGCCCAACCCCTGCAGACACCAAAGTCAGAGCCACCAGAGCCCCTTCCTGTCCTCCACATGGCGATCCAAGAACACCTCCTGCTCTGGACAGACAGGGAGCGTGAAACCAGCACCGGCCCACTGCAGCCTGGAGCAGAGGCAGGCGGGGAAGCAGTGGGGAGGCAAGCAGGGTGGGAGGAGCTGGGTCTCCCACTCTCCCACTCACCGTCCATGTGGTTCCGGGACAGGTACTTGAGAGCCTCATCCAGCAGAATGACAGGCAGAGATATCTGGAGCACCACTACCCACTGGTGCCCATTCAGTGGGGTCACCTGGAAAATGAGCTGGGGCAGGGGCGGGGGGGCTTGGTTCAAGGACAGACTGCCTGGTGCTCCCAAAATCTACCTGTGCACCTGAGATCCACTGGACTCTTCGAGCAAGGTCCAGAAGCCTCTCGAGTCCCACCTCCCAATCTTTGTCCACCCCATTTTCTCTGCCTAAAGTGCCAACCCCCCTCAATCACAGGACCAAATGCCTTGTGTCCTGCTGGGAAGTGGGAAGGATTCTGCACTGGAAAGAGGGCAGTCTTTCCTCCTGCCCCAGTCTTGGGAGAGTCCCCACAGCAAGGGGGCTCATGCCTCTTCTGGTGCCCAAGTCTGGGGGCTCCTGAAGGCAGGGGCACATCTGGAGAGTGGTGGCTGGCCAGACTTCCAGCACCCCCCACCTCCCAGGCTTCCAGGGAGCCACCAGCCCAGGGTGGGTAACTTCAGAAGACGATGGGGACCCTGTCCCCCAGGAGTCAGAGAAGGGGAGTAGGGCAGGGCAGGCGACTCACTGGCAGGGGTGGCACAAGCAGGATGAGGAAGTGCAGTGCCATGGACATGGCCACAGCCGCCAGCAGCCAAGGGTTCAACCAGGGCGGCATCCGAAGCAGCGACTGGTTCTCCGAGACGCTGCCAAGGGCACAGGGTGCTTACCTCGGGCAAGGATTCGGGCAGGTCCTGTTGTGGGCACCCATCTGCCCCCACCCCCAGGAGGAGATTCAAGGGGGCCTGAGCCTCAGCATTTTCTCATTGGGCCCAAGGGTTGGAGCACATCTAGGAAGCCAGTGCAGCTGGAAGGGTGTGTCTGGTATCTGCTCAGTCCCCAGAGGCCCGTGCTGGGGCTTGGAGCCCCTACTTTGTCCCTTAGATTCAATCCTGGCCCCTCTGTTTCTTCAGACCCCTTTGTTCTCTGGGTCCCAATGCTGGCCCCACTGATCCTCAAAACCCTTTTCTAGACCCCTGACCCTCACACCCTAATCCTGGGCCCTGCCTGACACTCAGCCCCCACCCCTCGACCCCAGCTCCAGGTCCCGGGCCCAGCCCACCTGTTGAGGGCGTTGCACATCTCAATGGTCACCAGCACGGACAAGGCCATGGTTGTGGGGAAGCGGGACTCGAAGACCTCACAGTCAACGCCGGCAAAGACAGGGTTGTCCTCTGAGCACTTCAGAAAGTTCCTCTGAGGGCACCACAGTGGGTCGGATGGGGAACAGCGTCAGGGAAGGGGCCGGTGGCTAGGAAGAAGGAAGCCCCACCTCTGCCCACATCTCAGGACTGAACATAAGGTTATTCAGTGGCCATAGGGTGGGCCCAGGGAGGAGTGCTTGCCCAAGATGGGCACAGGGGCAGGATGTGCGAGGAGAAGGGCAGACAGTTCTGGGTAGACATATGGTGGATTAGAGGAAGAGCAGCGGGCATCAGGCTAGAGAGGCTGGCAGGAGGCCCTGGAATCAGGGGAGGGCCCTGGTTTTACCCTGAAGGTACAGAATGGGGGTGTGGCTTAGTATCTGAGGTGTGGATTAATGATCTTCGGGCTGTGTCTGGCATGACCCCCAGGGCATCTGTCATGGGTGCATGGGGAGGTATGGAGCCAAGACAGGGTTGCAGGAGAGGGATTAGTTTGGGAGAAAGAGGACAGACTTGGACTTGGAGAGCACTGTGAGCCTGTATCCTAGGGAGGGATCTGGCTGGGCTCAGAAGAAAGGTGGGGCCTCCCTGGTGGCACAGGGGTTAAAGACTGAGCTATCAAGCTATCACCAGCCACCGCAGCATGAGTTCGATCCCCCACAGTGCCGCGCTTAACCCCTTGCCCACCAGGGAGACCCAGTGGAATGTATTTTTCAAAACAAATACTAAAACCATTACTGAGGGGCCTCCCTGGTGGCGCAGAGGGTTGGGCATCAGCACTATGAAGCTATCCAAAACTACTGCAGCACAAGTTCGATCCCCGGCCAGGGAGGTGACCCACATGGCGCAGCAGACCTCTCCTGCCTCACCGGCTGCTCCCCTCAGCAGTGTATTTCAGTTGATCTGCCTGTTTTGCCCCCCACTCTGTCTCTGGTGAATCCTCTCACCCCCCGGTACCTCTGGCTTGCACCCCAGTTCTTGTATGCATAAATAACTAAATCTTTAAAAAAGAAGAAGAAAGGTGGAGTGGGGTGGGGCAGGGTTTGTCCTTGGAGATGCGGGATCCTTAGTATAAAGGATGATAACAAAGACAGGACAGGAGGAAGGCAGCCACTCTGGCCCACCACAGGAGTTCAATGAGCAGAGGAGCCTGAAATAGACCTGACTCTACAGAGCTTTGGGACAAGAGCATGAGCCCCAAACTCCTTTGCTGCCAAAAGGGAAAACCCATGTACCTGAGGGCTAGCAAGGGGTGGGGGTCAGTTTGGGAGCGGGCAGGCTAGCAGAACCCTGGCAATCGCAGAGCCTCCCGAGGGAGGATGCCAGTGATGGCAGCCCTGCCCTCATACTGCACCCAGAGAGCTCCCCTGATATGCCCAGGATGGGGCAAAGGGTCAGCATCCTGCCCTTGAGCTCTTCCGTCTACAAGAAGGTTAGAAGAACGGCACACTCAGAAGAAAAGCCTGCATCGCTGCAGCTCTGCGCTTCCAACAAGAGACCCACCCTGGCTTGGCCAGTATTGCTACTGGAACAAGGATGTGTTGACTACTCGGAGGGACAGACAGACAGTAGCCGGGGGTCTCTGGCTAGCTTCCAGAGCTGTGCCTAGCTAAGCAGTTCCTGTGGTGGGCACCTCCCAGCTAGGTGACTTCAAGAGGTCCGAGGGTCCCTTCCCCAAGAAACATACTGGTTATGGTTTGTGGGGTGGGGGTGGAGACAGGGAGAATGGGAGAGGGCTGACAGACTCCTGGTCTCCTCAGTTTGGTCCTCTGCCTGAAGTTCCATCACATCTCCTAGCTGTTATGGCCCTAGGTCCCTCCCTAAAGAAATGATAGGGAGAGGAAGTAGCCTCTGGCTGGGGGTTGCGAGGTGGGGGTGTTGTGCCGCTATCTCTAAGTTTCCTGGGGTTTCTGGGTTTGGGCTTTTAGGTGATGGGTATCTATATATGTGTAATGAGGTAGGGAGGGACACTGTTGGCCAACCATGGGATTTTGGACTGGTTTCCCATGGAAAGCCCACAACAACATAAGTTGTGAGCTCTGCCTTAGAAAAACCCCAATAGGCTCCCTATCACTTCCTTACCAGCTGGTAGAAGGTGATGTGAGGTCCCTCAGCATCATACAGGAACCACCAGGTGGCAGCAGCCACTGTAGCTAGGCCTACATACACTGCAGGGAGGGCAAGAGAAAACTGGCTGTGATGAAAGGCATCTATTTCCCTTCCTAGTAATTCCCTGAGTTTCCGTCAGGGACCCACCCTCTCCTTCTCTGAGCTGTGTGGTTTGCAGGCATCTACCCTGAGTGCCAGCGGTGCCACCTACCCTGAGTGCCTTCACTGGCAATCAGCATCTGCCACACCCCTGACCAGTGATTGCCTAGATTAGTAGGTGACCCATTTTGGGCCAAGGAGAACAGACCTGATTTTTATTATACTATTGTGGGACAGATGTGATTTAAAAAAAATCAAAAACTCTCCTGCTGGAGCTGCAGCAGCCATTCTGCCATTCCAAGGGTACTTGAGAATGGAGATAAGGTAAAGCCAGAATATGCTGGTGATACTACCTAAGGCCTAAATCCAGCCATGCCTGGACTTTGACTCTTTCTAGTTAACAGGCCACAGTTTGGGGGTAAATCAGGCTGAATCATTACTGTCTGCAGTTTGCAACAGATACAAGGGTCTTTGGAACCTCACTGAGGGCGGGGATTCTCTTTTACCTCCAACAGCCAGATATCGGAAGAAGAGCCAGCCACTGATGAGGGCTTCACGAGGGTTTCGGGGCTGCTTCTCCATGATGTCCAGGTCTGGCGGGTTGAAGCCCAGAGCTGTGGCAGGTAGGCCATCTGTCACCAGGTTCACCCAGAGAAGCTGCACAGGGATTAAGGCTTCAGGCAGACCCAGAATTGCCGTGAGGAAGATGCTGGAATCAGAATCATGGATTCTAGCTCCCAGCAGATGGTGGGTCCAGCTCCTACTCATCCCACAGGCTGGGAGTTCACCCACTGTCTCCATATCAGGCCCACCTCAATCAGCTGGTTTTGATGTGTGAGCACGAGCGAGAGGCCTGTCTGCGCCATGTGTCACACTGGGCCATCCCTGTCTCCCCCATTCCTACTCAGTAGTCAAGGCAGGTCTGCTCTTTGGTTCAGCAAGGAGCTGGACCTCCTGTTTAGAATATAGCTCCTCTTTAGCACTTGCACACACACACACACGTGCATAGTGCATGCCCAAGTATATATACATTTGTTCACAGACACGTGCAAACACCTAGCACAGACCATCCCATCCCACAGATGCAGGCAAACACACACACACTCGCCTGCCAGGCAGGGATGCAGAACTTCCTCGTGCCTGGGCAAACAGGTGCCCACCATTCCCCACAGACATTGTGCACACACGTGTGAGCCTAAGTGTGCACACAATTACACACTGACACAAATCCTGTGCTTGAACTCATGCCCATAGATGCACAAGAGCACACATGCATGAGTGCACTCATACCCCTCAGGCACACACACATACATGTACAAATGCAAACACCTTACTGCCCAGAGGTGGGGCTAGTTCTCTAGTCTCACACGATTCTGAAAGAGGGAAGGTTATAGCTGGAGGGATAACAGGGAATATTTCAGGTAGCTCCTTGGGGACTGGGGTGCACCATGGCCTCTGGAGGAACATGAGGTGTTCCCACCCTTGCATATGCCGAGATGGAACCCTGGAAGGTCCCAGCAAGGGCAAGACATGTGTCCCCTGCAGCCCCATCCCTGAAACAGGCATTTCCTGGTCTCAAGGATGCAGAGCTGGTCCAGAGCTGGGAGGAAGGAGAGAATGCAGAGCCTCACCAGACAACCTCGCCAACATTGGAGGAGATGAGGTAGCGGATGAATTGCTTCATGTTGCTGTAGATAGCCCGACCCTCCTCCACCGCAGCCACGATGGAGGCAAAGTTGTCATCTGACAGTACCATCTCTGCTGCAGATTTGGCCACAGCTGTGCCAGAGCCCATGGCGATGCCAATCTCTGCTTTCTTCAGGGCTGGGGCATCATTCACCCCATCTCCAGTCTGGGAACCAGGTTAGAAAAGATCATGCTTGAGAAACTTCCCTGCCACCTGCCCCCCTCCCGCCCCTTCAACTCAGCCTATCCCCAAGCTTAGGGAATGTTCCTGAAGAAGCAGACATCTGTGCAAAACAGAGTGAAGTCAAGAATGAGCTTAGAAATTGGGGTGGGGATGAAACCGAGGAGAAGATGGGGGGTGGGGTGCAGACAAGGACAAAGTTGATCAAGTCTGAGTCAGAAAAGATGGTAAAGTAGGATGGGGATGAGGGTGGGTCAACATGAGGGTGGAGATGAAATGCAGGTTGGATGTATAATAGAAGATGAAATTGAGGTTAGGGACAAAGTTAAGATCAAGTTGGGGTGAAGGCCATGGTTGTGGCCCAGGTCATGGACCAGGAGGTTTGGAGTCAAGGTGAAGGTCAAGACTGAACGAACTGAGGCTCAGGATTAAAAAATAGATTAAGGTAGAGATCAAATCAAAGCCAGAGGGCAAGTCAAGATTATGTTCCACATCAGGAGTGATACCATGGGTGAAAGCAGGAGTTGTAGGGAAGGTCAAAATTGGAGGCCAGATCACAGTTGAAATCAACATAAAGTATAGCGTTGAAGGGGAGTCAAAGTCAATGTCAAGGATCAGGTTAGGGTCCAGGTTAAAACCAGAATACATATAAGGGCTGAGTTCAAAGTAAAGAATCAGATGAAGATGATCAAGGTCAAGCAAGATTAGGGGCCAAGTCAGCATGAAGGTCAAAAATAGGGAAAAAGCCAGGTTATAGTAGACAATTCTAGCTACGCATCTAGGTCAAGGATGGGTCACAAGTCAAGTTTAAGATCAAGGTAAAGGATTAGATTAGGCTAGAGGTTAACAGAAGCCAGGTTGAGGTGAAGACGCAGATAAATGGTGACAAATCAGCAAGCAATCAAGAATGAGACAGAACAATCAGAGGTTCCAAACAAATGGCCATCCAAAGGAGAATGGTGGTATAGTCACACAAAGGAGTGTTATTCAACAATAAAAAAACAATCATCGGAGATCATTCTGAGATAAGTCTCAAAAGAAAGAAGCCAGACATGGGCCTCCCCAGTTGCGCAGCGGTTAAGCGCTGGGCTGCGAAGCTGCCTGCAGTCTCTGCAGTGCAGGTTCGATCCACGGCCGCCGGCAAGGGTCCCACATGGTGCGCAGACCTCTCCTGCCATGCCTGCTGCTCCCCTCAGCAGTATATTTCATCAGTCTGCCTGTTCTGTTCCCCACTCTGGCTCTGGTGAATCCTCTCACCCTCCCACACTTCTGACTGTACCCAGTGCTTGTATAAATAAATCTTTTAAAAAAAAAAAAGTTAAAAAAAAAAAAAGGAAGAAGCCAGACACAAGAATGTATATAGTATGGTTCCAGTCACATGAAAACCTAGGATAGACAAAACTAACCTACGAATGGGGGAAGATGAAATTGAGATTGTGGGAAAAGGGCCTGGCAGGGAAGAATGAAGCAGGAACTTCATGGATTGGTGGAAATGCCCCCTGACATGTTGGATTACACAGGTGTGAGCTTTTACCAAGACTCATCAAATGAATGCTGTGCTGAGGGCTTGTGCATTTCATTGCATGCAAGCTTTAACTTCCAAAATGAAAAAAAAAAAAAAAAAAAAGTAAAACTATAAAGACTGCTCTCTAGTTAACAATATGCGTGCTAAAGTACATGCAGATGAAGTCTGCCACTTACTTTGAGATGCACTTAAGATGGATTAGGATGGATAGGTAGGTGATAAAGCAAACATAACAATGTTATTTGTAAATAAAGTAGAAAGCAAAATCAACAAGCAACTATAAACCAGAGATACACTATGGGGGGTGGGGGGGAGGAGGGAGTAGGATCAAAACAAGGGTGGTGGGAATTGTATGGGGACTATAACCAAGATGAAAATGCATACATTGTGCAAAAATGAAAAATGATGTAAAAAATGTATAAAATTAAAAAAAATTAAAAGCAATGTTATTTGTAGACTACAGATGGAGGATATAGGTATTTGCTATAAAATTATTCTATCTGGGGCCTCCCTGGTGGGGCAAGGGGTTAAGCACCACACTATGACGCAAACTGCAGCCTCCACAGCACGAGTTCAATCCCCGGCCAGCCAGGGAGCAACCCACATGGCGAAGCAGACCTCTCCTGTCTCGCCCGCTGCTCCCCTCAGCAGTATATTTCAGTCAGTCTGCCTGTTCTGTTCCCCACTCTGTCTCTGGAGAATCCTCTCACCCCCACCCTGTCTCTGGCCTGTACCCAGCTCTAGTATGCATAAATAAATAAATAAATACATCTTAAAAATAAAATAAAATTATTCCATCCTCTGTGCTTGAAATTTTTTGTGATAAAATGTCAAAAAAAGTAAGGTTGAAATAGAGCCAGGGATTGCAATGGGTTGCTCTTTCCAAGGCCTGTGGCAAGTACTCCCTTCACACACACCCCACTTCCCATACCCCCACCTCCCGCAGGCCCAGGGTTCCTGTCCCCGGGCCTCACCATGGCCGTGATCTCATTAAAGGACTGCAGGTTCTCCACGATGCGGGACTTGTGTGCTGGCTCTACACGCGCAAAGCAGCGGGCTGTGCAGCAGGCATGGCGCTGCTGGTCGGGGCTGAGGTCATCGAATTCTCGGCCCGTGTAGGCCTTGCCCTCCACATCCTCTGTGTCCCCAAAGATGCCCAGCCGTCGGCAGATGGCCACAGCTGTGCCTTTGTTGTCTCCTGTGATCATAACCACACGGATACCTGCCTTGCGGCAGCGTTCAATGCAGGCAGCCACCTCAGGCCGCGGCGGGTCCAGCATGCCCACACAGCCCACGAAGGTCAGATCCATCTGTAGGGAGGGTGCAGATGCAAGTGGAACCCAGGTCCATCCTCCATCTGCTGCCTCCCAGCCCTGGGGTCCTGCCCGGCACCCACCTCATACTGTACAAACTTGCTACTGTCATCCAGCTGCATGTCCTCCTTCCTTGGGGGCGCATCCCGGGTGGCCAGAGCCAGGCAGCGCAGTGTGTCTGAGCCGGAGCCCCAGTCCCGGATCTTGGCCAGAATTTGCTCCCTGGAGGTGGTGTTCAGGGGTACAGTGCGGCTCCCCACTCGGACTGACATACAGCGCTCAATGACACTCTCGGGAGCCCCCTACAAAATAGGCAACCCCTTTGGTCAAGATCTTACCCCTTCTTCCCAAATGAGGAAAAGGGAAAAGGCTGCCCAAGGGGAAACAAAGCAGGACATAGACAAGAATGCATTCTTTTGGGGGGGCCTCCCTGGTGGCGCAGGCGGTTAAGCACAGCGCTGTGGAGCTGTCCGCAGTCTCTGCAGTGCCAGTCCGATCCCTGCTGGCCATGGAGATACCCACATGGCAAGTAGACCTCTCCTGTCTCGCCCGCTGCTCCCCTCAGTAGTGTATTTCGGTCGATCTGCCTGTTCCATTCCCCACTGTCCCTGGTGAATCCTCTCGCTGGCCTCCTCTGCACATCGGCCTGAACCGCCAGACCTCTCCTTGTCCCCTCAGCAGTGTACTTCGGTCCTTCTGCCTGCTCTGCTCCCTGCTCTGGCTCTGGTGAATTCTCTCACCCTCCCGCGCTTCTGACTGTACCCAGTGCATGTATAAACAAACAAACAAATAAATAAATAAATAAAACATGCCTCTTTAAAAAAAAAAAAAAAAAATGCATTCTTTTGAAAGTCCTAAGTAGGAATCAAATGGGTCCCAACTGTGAGAAAATCCAGGAAGAATGGGGGAAGAGGTCAAGGGCACCACACCAGATCAAGAACCAGAATGCATTCTTTGAAAGCTCCGAGTGGGAGCCAAAGGGGGCCCACAGTGAGAAAACCCAGTGAGAAGGGGGAGGAGCATCAAGGGCACCCACAGGTGGCATCCTCCCGTACCAGCCCACAGTTGGAAAGACTTGCTGCCACACACCGGGGGTGGGGGTGGGAATAGGCAGCCCTCCTGCAGGCCCTGCCTGGTGCCACCGGGATCCCAATCTTCAGGGGCTCAGCAGTGGGAGTCATGCTGGGAAAACAATGGGTGTGGCTCTGGGAAGGTGGTCTAGTGGGGGCAGGTTCCTCAGTGGCCTCGGTTCCCACCTCAGAACTCACCCCAGGCCTGGGAATAGGCTCTGAATGTCCCATCAATGGTTTCTCTCTCTTCCAAAAGGTCACTCCAAATGCTAAGCTTTGAAAGCTGTCCAAATTCTCAATACAGAAGCCTTTTCATTTCAAAAGGGGTTAAAACCTCCACTATGGGGTGAAGGTGGGGCTCTGATTCTTGCTTCAGGTTCAAAAGCAGAGACAGGCGGTGCTATGGGCAGAGGTATTGATGGGAGCTGGTTTCTGGGACTCAATTTCCAAAACACAAAATACCAAAGATAGCCACCAGCCGCATCAACACCCCCATCAGAGGCAAAGGGCTTCTGAACTTCAGCCTGACCCTGACATTCAGGAGAGATGAGGCCCATGCAGGCGCATGGATGACCCCAAGGCCATGTGGCAGAGCAGTGCCTCAGTCCAGAGCTGCGACCACGGTCAAGGGCAGGCCCCAGCGCCTGTCCTGACTTTATCTCCACCACACCCGGATCCTGTTCCCGACTGTCCATGGCAAGCTGACTCCCCTGTTCACAGCTTTGACACCTTCCTTGTTCTCCTGCAGCTGCAGTCTCTGATACTTCACAAGACGGGGGACCAGATCTCCGAGAGAACCTGGCTGTGCAGGGGGACCCACGCTGCTGAGGCAGTGCTCACCTTCACAAACATCTTGCTGCCCCTGGCCCCCGTGTCAGAGCGGGTGGGTGTGCAATACACCGACATGGACTTCCGGTCTCGGGAGAACTCCAGGGTAAACTCTTTCCGCATCAGCTGCTTGATGACCTGTGGGCCCAGGCGGGTCAGGACATGAGGGGTACAGCCAGGGACTCCCACTGCCATCTCGCCAGCTGCTTGGTCCCATGAAAAGCCCCTTGATCCTGGAGGACTGATGTCTGTCCCCTGACCCGGGCATTCAAGGCCCATCTCCTCTTTAGCCCCAGAAATGATTAGAAATGCATCAAGTTTTTTTTACTATGCTGTGGACTTTCCAACCCCAAGTTCTTGCCCACACTCACTGTTTTCCTCTCTTTTCTCCCCAGCCAAGTCTTCCTAGGGTCAGAGGTAGTTTCCTCTCCCAGAAGCCTCCCAAAACTGTTCTCTCTCCCTTCTCCAGATGCCCCAGAAGCCCCAGCCATATCATCTATGGCCTGGGCCCTCACCCAGCTCACCGAGTTGCAGGCACTGGCTCGTTCCACCCGGGACAGGGATTTCAGGTCAGTGTCGAACACATTCATCTTCTCCACCAGGCAAGTCAGAGCCGTCTCTGTGGCCTCTCCCACTTTCTCATACACGCCCTTGGCCTGGTGGGATCCAGGATACAGGAAATAAGGGGTACAGCGTCCTCCAGTGGGGCTCCCCACTTATTCCCTGACTCCTCGACTCCCTTTGCCAGTTACCTGTAATCTGCTCTGCAGCCGACCAGCTCTGAGCCCTTTGCACTCTTGCTGACCCTGGTTACGGGTGACCTGGCACTACTGCTAACCCCTTTTTCCAGCTCTCTCTTTTCCGCTGACATCAATGGTCAGGCACCCGCTGCTTTGCTCTGTCCACTCCTTCTCAGCTCCTTTCACCAAATTCCCTTTAAATCCTGCTGTCCAGGCCCTGTTCTGTCTCTCACACCTTCTCTCCCTGACCTCTACCACCTTGTGTGTGCTCATGGCTGCCAGGATCCAGCCTAGTTGCCACCTCTCTCTGAGCTCCAGACCTACATGTCCAGTTGCTGCCTGTTGGACTTTGTTCCCTGGGGTCCCTTAGGCCACATCCCCCTCTCCCTATATTTGCCACTCCAGTGACTGTCTGAGCCAGGACAGAAACCAGGAGTTACCCTGACCACCTCCCTTTTCCACCTAACCAGTCACTAAGTCCCAGGATTTGAGCTCCTAAATTTCCCTCCAAGCCCTGCCTCCCCCTCTCCCTGAGGCCCTAGCTGGGACTCAAATCAGCATCTCTGGACCGGACAACCACACAGGGCTGCCTGTTCCAGGCTTGCCAGGTCTATTCCGTCCTCCATTCAGCAAATGAAAGCTGATCATATAAATGCAAATCTGACCCTATCACTTATCTGCTCAAAACCCTACTGGCGTCAGCTGGGCATTGGATCTACTTGGTCTGGTCAAGTCCTACCCTCAGCAGAAAGCCTCTTCCTGCAGGCTCCATTCACCCTCCAGCCACAGGGAAGGGCATTCAATGCCTAAATCGCATCAGGCTGTTATGGTCTATGGGCCTATTCTGGGTTGTGCCTTGTTCAAACACCCTTCCTACCCTCGCTCCCCAAAACTCTTTCTCCAGGTACTCCTAGCCCTTCAGTTCTTTAAATGACAGTCCTCCACAACCCACGACCTCCAGATCAAGGTTCCCAAGCCAGTCTCAGGAAGCGGGAGCAGCAGTGGATTGAGTGAAAGGGTAGCAATGCCCTTGGGGTGTGGCACTCCCAAAGGGCAGGGACCATCATCCCAGGAGCTTTGAAACTCTGAAAGAAGGGTCCGTCCTGGGGGCCTGGACACTAAGGCGGCCATGGGAGGGAATGGGGGCCCACCTCGTTGTAGTCCAGCGCGGAGTCATTGCACAGGGCACAGATGGTCGCCAGCTCCACCAGTCCGTCAAACGTCCCACAGCGCACCAGCTGCTCCCCCTGGCGCCTGCCAAAGCCAGGACGTCAGCACCGGGGCTGCAGCCCCGCCCCTGGGAGGTGCTCAGCGCCTTGGGCCCGCCCACCTGGAAACCAGGCCCCCACAGCAGCACTCACACTTCGCCCTCCGGGGCATAGGTGGTGCCCGAGATGGTGAACTCGTGCAAACGGCTGGAGCCAGCTTCGGCCTCGGCGACCACGAACATCTAGGGCGTGAAGGCACAATCTCGGGCCAGGGCCTCCCTCCTCCCTGTACAGCCAGCCTGACTAAAGCCGGACCCCAGGGTGGCGTCTTGTGGGCCCCTGAGGAGTTACTGGCCTGCCCTCCCTCCAGGGTCTCAAAGCGCCTGAAAGAGTGGAGTCCGGGCGGAGGCCGCCCCTCCCCCCTCGGCCCAGGTGTGTCCAGCGTGGGCTTGTCTGTCTCTCTGGACCACTGAGAGGCTAATAGATTGGCCAATGCCCCGAGCAAGGGCAGGAAGCCTGGTCCTGGCCCCTCACTGTGCAAACCCTGGCTGAGCACCTGAGCCTCACTTTCTCCCACTGGCAACATAAGGAGAAAGTGGAATCAGAGCCCAATGCCACTTTCCCTTCAGGGGATGAGCTCCTGGCTTGCCGGGAAGGTATCCCACACTCTGTTCTAAGGCACATACCCCTCTTGCTCAAAGGTGTCCCCAGAGAGTGAGCTCCTGCCCACAAAGCCTGCTGCCCCACCCAGCCCTACCTGTGCACCTCGGCAACAAAGGGCTCACCCCTCCCAAGACAGCCCACTCCTGTGTATGTCAGCTCTGCCAGAGAGACAGTCTAGAAACAGCTTTGTTGCTATTTCCTAATCAGTGGTCAGCCCAGCAGCCAGAAGTTCAATGTTCTTTCCTTCACGCTCTCCTCCCTGCTCTGGCACGAGGCGGGGGTCAGCCCGCCAGTCAGCACCTCCCTTGAGAAGTCAAGTTTCTCAGCCCGTTGGCAAGAATGCAAGGCTCTATAACTTCCCTATACTGTGCTTCTCAAATCTTTATTTCAGTCAAGGAACACTTCAAATAAAGTCCTATTAGGGATTGTAGTCATCAGGGGTACAGGGCAATAAAGCTTGCCGGTGCAACCTCCAAGCTTTGTGGCTGCCTCTGAGGGTCTTCTATGGAGCACTGGGGTCTTAAAAACAGAGCCTGGGTTTCCAAGGTCCAGTGGGCATATTATGGGGGAAGGGTGGGAGAGGAGCAATGGGGGAGCCAGGGAAAGGCAGGAAACCCTCAACCTTCACCACCATCCCACTCACCCTGCTACCCCATGGGCATGCTGGGGTCCCAGCAGAATCCCTGGGGCATGCGGACAGCAGACTTGGGATATGGGATCGAGTGCAGGGAATAAATAATTCCAGCCCTGGCCCTTCCCAGGTCACTGGAGCTGGCATATCTGATAACAGATGTTGACTGCAGAAGTCATGGTAAAGCAGGACAGATCGCAGGTCCAGGCCTAGCTTTGCTCAGGTGACAAGGTTGTACCTGACTCTCTCCTGAGTCCTTCATGGTCACCTGGCAGGGCTCACACACCCAAACTTCAAATGAAGAGACTAAGGTTCATGAAGGGCTGCCTGGGTCCTACCATGACAATGGGTCCCAGTGACACATGTCCAGCCAGACTTTGTTGCAGTCTGACAGTCGTCTTCTCTGACCCATGGAAGCCCGGCTCTGCTCCCCACCACGGGATGGGCCACAGGTTTTTTTCTCCATCCCTGGCCAAAAATGAGTCAGGGAGCGGTCCAGAGAGGTACACCAGCCTACCCAGCATCTCACAGCAACATCCATGGGGCCCCAAACTGGTCATGACCACTCACCCGGCAGACAGACATCTGATTGGTGGTGAGTGTGCCTGTCTTGTCGGAGCAGATGACCGAGGTGCAGCCCAGGGTCTCCACAGAGGGCAGACTCCGCACGATGGCGTTTTTGCGTGCCATGCGCCGTGTGCCCAGTGCCAGGCATGTAGTGATGACAGCCGGGAGGCCCTCAGGGATGGCAGCCACAGCCAGGGCCACAGCAATCTTGAAGTAGTAGACAGCACCTCGGAGCCAGGAGCCGCCATGGGCCGGATCAGCAAAGTGGCCAATGTTGATGACCCACACCGCCACGCAGATCACAGAGATGGCACGGGACAGCTGTCGCCCAAACTCATCGAGCTTGCGCTGTAGTGGCGTCCGCTCTGGCTCTACCGCTGCCATCTGGCTCCGGATCTTCCCCAGCTCTGTGTTCAGGCCTGTGGCCACCGCCACACCCACTGCCTTCCCGGATGCGATGTTGGTGCCCTGGCCAAGGGAAGGACCAGGGAAAGGCTGCTGGGCGCCCAAGCTGAGATCTAGGGCTCCTGATTCCTTTAGGCCAGGGTAGGGCTCTTACCCCCTTCTTTTTCTCCTCATCACTTTGCTCCCAGGCTGACCCAGCTCTATATTATTGAGAGGCTACTGTCATTCCCCCGAAGGCCAGCTCTGTAAAGGCAGGGACTTGGTCCCACACATATCCCCAGTATTCTAACATGTGGTCTGACCCAGAAGCAGTACCAGGCCCATAGGCACAATCTGATCAACCAGCACAGCCCCAACACATCAAGATGTGTTTCATAAACAACTAATACAGTGATCCCAGGGAAACAGTCCACAAATGTTTACTGAAGGATCCAGGACACTTAAGTAGTCCTTTCATTCCCCCCCTGAAGTCCCCAGGTCCTGGTATAAAGACCAGTCAACCTTGAGCCTCAGTGTTCTCTTCTGTAAAACAGTCCAACAGAGGACCAAGACACAATCGTGCCAAAGATGCTAATAACTCAGTACCCCTCCAACCCCTGCACTGAGCCTAAGTGTTGAGAAGGTGCTGGGGGCAGCTTCAGCCTCTCCTCTTCTGCACTGAGCAATGAAGCTCCTGCCCCACACCTGCAGGCCCCCTCAGCTAAGGAAATGACCCTCAGCCAGACCATGCTTTCTTAGAAAGCTTCTTAGTGACAGCTGCTGATGCCTGGGCACGCCTCTGAGAATACCTGCCCCACCCCCAATCTAAAGCAGCTCACCCAGGCCTTCCATGCAACCAGGCAGGGTACTCGCCCCAACAAGAGCTCTGAATTGATAGTGATTTCACCATTTTCATTCACTTCATTCAGCCTCTATGCTGAGCCTGTGAGCATCACTGTTTAAGTACCTTTGAGGCCACAGGGGCAGATCCCTTCCATCAGACCTAAACCCATCACCCTCCCTGGAAGAGAACAGGCCTTCTCTGAAAAGAGAATAGGCATCTTGCCTGGGGGGCTGGATTTCCCATTGGGAAAATGGACAACTCCTGCCATCCTCCAACCTCCTTCCTCTTGAGGGTCTCTGTTGAGTGATCATATGTAAGCTCTGCCCTTCTCCATATCAAGGCAGGACTAAGCCTAGCAGGTTAAGAAAAGTTCTGGAGTTAGAGTGTTTGAGTCCACCTATCAGCTCTGCCACTCACTGGCTGTATAACCTGGAGCAACTTTCTTAACCTCTCCGTGCCTGTGTCCATATTTAAAAATGCAGAGTGTTGTGAAGATTAAATAAATTAATTCACATAAAGAACTTAAAACAGGGCCTTCCTGGTGACACAGGAGTTAAAGTTTCAGTACTATCAAGCTATCACCAGCCACTGTGACGTGAGTTCAACCCCTGGCCAGAGAGATACCCACATGGCACAGCAGACCTCTCCTGTCTCACCCGTTGCTCCCCTCAGCAGTGTATTTCAGTCGATCTGCTTGTTCTGCTCCCCACTCTGTCTCTGGTGAATCCTCTCACCACCCCCTGCACCTCTGGCCTGCACCCAGTTATTATATGCATACATAAATAAAATAAATATTTTTTTTTAAAAAGAACTTAAAACAGTGGTGGGCACATAGCCTCAGGGAACACAAGCTATTAATCAGGTTCTTTCTATCAGGTTCTTTCCTGAAGGACTTCAAAGCTAACCTATTAGTCTAAATATCGTTATTTTTATTATTACTCTCCAGGCATCCCAGGGACTTACAGAAAAGAGCATGTTCTTCTTGTCCTGGTTCACAGCTCTGGGGTCTGGGATAGCATCTGTGTGCTTGGTCACGGACACAGATTCACCTGGTCATGGAGTCAGAAATGAGAAGCTCCTCTTGAAGACACCCCATCCCCTGGCCCACCTCCCACTTGGCCCTGGCCTCTTGGCCTCACCCGTCAGGATGGACTGGTCCACTCTTAGTGTGGTGGACTTGATCTCGATGAGGCGGAGGTCGGCGGGCACTTTGTCTCCCACTGTGGAGGGAGCACAACTTGGCTGAGTGTGGCTTTGGTTGCCAATCGCCAGGAAAACCAGCAGGGCTCCCAGGAACCGAGGCAGGGGCCTCAGCTATCGCCCTCAGCTGGGTCCTGTCCCTCTGGCTCTCCCTCTCCTTATTTGTCCAATGGGGTTTTGGACAAGGAGCTTTGGGGGAGCCCACAGCCACCCCCTCTGTATATACAGCCAGAGAGATGGCGGCGCAGTAAGCTGGGCCGAGCAACGTCACGCAGTGAAAGGAGGAGGCCAACATACCTGCCACCTCCACAATGTCTCCAGGGACGATGTCCCGGGCACGAATTCTCTGCACACCACTGCGGTCTGAGCGGATCACCTTGCCCATCTCAGGCTCGTACTCCTTCAGGGCCTCAATGGCGCTCTCGGCATTGCGTTCCTACAGAACATGAGGCAGGAGGAGGTCTACCGGTACTGACCCCACGGGCCACCCTTTCAGAGTGACACCCGTGGACGTGGGATGGAGCTGGAAGCAGAAGGACCTGCAGGACTCCAGCACCAGGAGAAGGTCACGCCTAGCAGTTGGGAGACCCCAAGGTTCAGTTCCACCCCCCTGCCTCCCACCTGCCACACGCCCACGATCGCATTGGCCACGAGGATCAGCATGATGACCAGGGGCTCCACAAAGGCTGTCGTGGTCTCCTCAACCTCCTCGAACCAGGCCAGGACCTGCCGGGATCAGAGCTGGTGAGTTTGGGCAACATCACGGGTCACTGTTTCCTTTGTACCCTGGGTCCTGTCTGCTCCCCTGCTTTAGGGGAGAGAGCCCTGAGGAGCTCCAAGGTTGGAGAGGTCTGTGCTGCAAAAGTTCCAGCTCAGAACACCCACCCCCTGCAGGTAGTGACTGCAACAGCTCACAACCCACTCAGGCCAACTTTCAGGAATGTGGGCAGTCACAACTGGTGGCTGGACATATCACTGAATGCCTAGCAATGGTTCTCAAAGTGTAGGGTGCCAGCGTAGCAGCAGTGCCTGGGATCTTATTAGAAATGCAGTCTCGGGGGCCTCCCTGGTGGTGCAAGGGGTTAAATCTCAGCACTATGAAGCTATCGGCAGCTATTGCAGCACAAGTTCAATCCCTGGCCAGGGAGCTACCCACATGGTGCAGCAGACCTCTCCTGTCTCGCCCCCTCAGCAGTGTATTCCAGTCAGTCTGCCTGTTCTGCTCCCCACTCTATTTCTGGTGAATTCTCTCACCCCCCACACCTCTGGTCTATACCCCAGTTCTTCTATGTAAAAATAAATAAAATCTTTTAAAAAGAAGAAAAAAAGAAATGCAGTCTCAGGGTCCATCCCAGACCACCTAAGTCAAGAACTGGGGGGGATCCTCAGTCTGTTCTAACAAGCCCAAGTGATACAGCTCCAAGTTCATGGGCCACTGACCAGAGGGGCATCATTCCGGCCAGAGCCCAGAGGCAGTCCCACCTCTTGGCCCAATGGGGTACTGTCACTGCCCACCCACCCTCAGCATGTCCGTCTGTACAGTGGAGAGTACCAGCATCTTTGACTCAGGCATGGTAAGGGTCCCCACTTTGCACAAGGGCAGTGAATAGCCACGAAGGTCAGACACAGCTGGCTGAACCCCTATGGCAGCTGGGGAAGAGAAGGTCCTACCCAGTGTCCCTGCTGCCCCGAACTCCAGCCGACCAAGATGAGGGCTCTTTCCCAGGTCCACCTTCAGGGGGGCCATTTCCCTGCATTACCCTTTGGGTCTCTTCTGCTCAACCACTGAGTCCCTCTCCACTGCTCAACCCTGGACCTGCTAGTCCAGGAGGGGTCTGGGCAGAGGGACTGTGGGAGGAGCAAAGTGGAGCAGCAGCTAAGAGGAGGCTGGAGAGGTTAAGGCCCCAAGTCTGTCTGAGGAGCCCTGGGAGCCCAGAAGGGGCCCTCAACTGGGGCGATTTTGCCTCCAGGGAGATCTGGCAAGGTCTGGAGACTTGGTTGTCACAACCTACTGACATCTGATGGTGAGACGCTGCTAAATATTCTACCGTTTATAGGACAACCCCCACAACAAAGAATTATCTGGTCCAAAATACAGTGCTGGACTGAGAGAGGGAGGAGCAGGGCAGGCTTGCACACCTGCAAGTTTGCTCTGTCCATCAAGATGTAAGACAGATTGGGAGGCCCCTGGGAGTTGGGAGTGCAGAGAGGGGGCTGGGAGTTCAGGCCAGGGAAGCTGAAGTCTAAGAAGGCTGGGGTGGGGCCCAGGTTGCCCACTCCTGAGAGGACAGCCCTGTGGTCCAGAGTCTGGACCTCTGAGCACTGACCCTACCTGGCCTTCCCTCCTGGGCTGCCTGAGGCTGTGGATGGGGCCAGGGTAGGTGAGGTCCTACTTACAAAGGAAACCAGGGCAGCGAGCAGCAGGATGCGCACCAGGAGGTCCTCAAATTGCTCGAGCACCAGCTCCCACAGGGACTTCCCTGGGAACGAGAGCACCGTGTGAGGCCTGGGCGCTGGACCAATTGGCCTTCCCCATTCAGAGCCAGGAAGACCCCCAGCCCACCTGGCCCACAGCCTCCCTGCCATTCCAAGAGGGAGAGCCCGATGCCCGGTGGGCACTGGTGGAGGCACCACAGGACCTCAAAATGGGAGGGGAGGACACAGCCTGATGGAATGGGCCAAGGACATCACCCCCTGCCCCAAGCCTCACCTTCCTCAGTCGGGAGCTCTGCAGGTTCCAGGCAGCCACAGGAGCCATGAGAAGACAAGAGACAATTGAATTATGCAGTGGAACCTCGGAGGCCGGAGCTGCCCTTCCCCACTATGCCCCCAGACCACATGGCCTGGACACATCCCCACCGCTCTCTGAGGCCACGGAACAGTTGGCTTGAGCCAGGCTCTGGTTGAGAAAGGTGTGTTGTGGCCTGGCTCTCCTTGGACAAGACCAGAGCCAGGAGGGTTCTTCCAGTCCTCCAGTTCAAACCCTCCCCATCACAGAGGGGAAACTGAGGCATGGAGAAGAGCATGGAGGCATGGAGAAAAACTGAGGCATGGAGAAGAGAAGGAATTCCGGAATTCTCTCCTGGACCCTTGCCTGGTCAGGCAAGCTCAGTGACAAGCTCAGTAAGTTGACAGTCTTCACAGCTCTCTGCACTGCTCTTTCTCAGATGGCCACGCGGTGGTCCTGTTCGATGTTCCCCATCCCCACCACAAAGTCACCTCTCCCTCAAATTGAGAATGTGGGCTCAGGTGGCCTCTGACACGCCTGGTCCTCCAAGGTGTGGAGACAAGGCCTGCAGCAGAGCCAGCCCTCAGAGCCCCACCCCTGGGGGCCTCTCCCGGACCCCCTGGCAGATAGCAGCTAGGCAGCAAGGAACCCTGCTGTGGCTTGTTTCCCTCCTGGACCCTGGTAGGTCCCTCCTGGACCCTTGCCTGGTCAGGCAAGCTCGGTGACAAACTCAGTGAAGCCCGTCCTGGGCTCAGTCCGCACACCCAGTCCCAGACCTACAGAACATTTAGAAGAAGATGCTTCCAAACATACGCTATCACCTTGAGGGCTCCATTTTTACCTCCTACCTTTCCTGTAGCACCTTTAGTCCCAAGCAGAGCTAGCTGCCTGGGCCCCTGTCTTTCAATCCTTCCAATAAGCTAAAGGGGAGGCAGGTTGAGAATTCCGACCCCACTTTACAGGCGCAAGAACTGAGGTTCAGAGTGGAGAAGCAGCTTGAACAGGGTCACAGAGCAAGTGTGTCTCCATGGGTCTGTGGAGAGGAGCTAGGCCTGGATGGTGGGCTCTGATGGGGATGGGCTTTACCTTCCACCAGCCAAGTCCGGGCCTGCTAAGCCTGTCTGAGGCCGCTGCAGACAGTTTACCTAAACATTGTCTTTTCTTGCCCTTGCTACTCAGGGGACAGGCCAGGACAGCAGCAGGGGCACCCCGCGCTTGTTAAATGCAGGTTCTGGGGCCCACCAGGCTGTCTTTCTCTTCTTCCTCCTGCTTCCTGACACAGGTTATTGAGTCTGTCCACCTGTTCTTGGCTCGAGAGCCTGCAAGCACTTTTTCCTGCAGGATCCTGCTCCCTAGACCACCTGTTTGGAAGGTCTGGGGTCTGCACCTGGCAGCTGAACCATGGAGTGTGCCAAGCAGCCCACTGGGCTGCAGGAATCCAGGAGAGAAACATATAACCTAAAAATATACTTTCTAGCATTTTCTCCGAAGTCCTATTTTAGGCAACGGCTGACATTTTCCGTGGAAAATGTAATCTCCAGTGTCCTGCGTCGAGATTAAAATCAAACAGACTTTTTCCTTCTGATCTATTTAGCTGAAGCGAACAGGAAAGGCGGGGGGAGGGCCAGGCCTGGTTTCTGGGCCAATTCTCCTATGAAGCAGGGTCCTTTAGAGGTCATTTTAGCCATGCCCCAGCCTCAGCATATAGCAGTGCCAACATCATGGCCCACATCAGCCTACCCAGGAGACTCCTAACCCCTCACCTCTGCAGATATCTGCAGGGTTCCTGACCCAGGAGACCTTATCTGTAAGTCCCGCCAGAATTCTTTCTGCTGTCTCCCTGACACCCCCACCCCTTCCCAGGTTGCTCCCAGGTCACCACACTCCTTAGGCTACTTTTTCAGGTTAGGGGCCAGACCTGGGGTCGGGAAACATCACCAGTCACACATATCAGCTCTAGTACCTCCCTCCATCCCACCCCCCACCCCACCACACACACAAACAGGACACCCTCTGCTTGCATCAGTTGGTCTCAAGTTCCCCTTCCACCTGGGTCTCCCCTTCTGCTGTCTGACCTATCACCTGAGGCAGGATCAACTTTTTTGGGCATTATGCTGTTCCCCAAATACTTCTGGTCCTCCCCACCTATGGGGCATAGGACTGCACTTTGTGACCCCCGTGTGAGCCATGAGAAGTTCCAGGCTGGGACATTGGACTGCTGGTGGGAGGCTGTCTAGAAGTCTAGTAGAACTTTCTGTGGTGATGGACGTGTCCTACAGCCACTCTGTCCAATACAGTAACCACTAGTCACAAGTAGCTACTAAGCATAGGAGTGTGGCTAGTGTGACCGAGTGGTCTAATGTTATGTTTTACTTAATTCTCATTCATTTAAATTCAAATAGCCACATGAGGCTGGTGGCTGCTGGATGGACAGTGGAGGTCTGTGGTTCTTTGTCCCTCCAGCTGTGAGATGGTATCTATTCTGTCTCTCTGGGTCACAGAGTGCACAAGATACAGAGCCCCAGGTCACCTGCCACTGACATCAGTGTGAATGAGAAGTGACCACTAATGTTTTAAGCTACTGAGATCTGGGGCTGTTACTGCAGCACAACTTAGCTGATGCTGACTGATCCCTGCTTCTCCCAAGACCGGGCTTCTACTACAAGGCCCCCCCCTTCTGCCCTCACCCACAGCCCCAAGGGAGACTCAGCCAGCCACAGGCCACAGTAGATGCCCTGCTCACCCCTGCCTGTGAGCCAGGGCCCTCCCAAAGCAGCGGCCTCTAGTGGGACCCTGAGCCTCATTTGGCAGACAGGATGTGTCCCTCTACTCTGAAGGGCTGGTGTGACGATTACCGTCATCATTATTAATATCAATAAAAGCCACATTTGCTGAGCACCTACTACATACCAAGCAGGTACTTTACCTATCTCCAGCGATAAATGGAAAAGCACTGTGAGCAGGTGAGGTGTGGCCGATAGAATATTTACAGCAGAATTGTGAGTGCTGAGCGTGCCAGAAGTCACGCTAACCCTTCATGTGCATTACCCTCTTGTGGGTCTCAAACAACCAGGAAGGAAAATAGATTATTTCCATTTTATAGAGTGGACAACTGAAGGACAGAGACATTGAGTGACTAGCCCAAGGTCACACAGCCGGGAAGTGCCAGGGAAGGGTTTTGAACCCAGGCAGTCTGGCTCTTGACCTCCTAGGCTGGACTCCTGTACAAATTTCCAGGCTATCTAGGCCATCTTCCCTTCCTGCCCTGGTGCTCCCTCTGCCTCCCCAGGCCAAGATCACATGAAAAACCTTGGTGTTCCATGTCCTACTGTCCTATTGAGGGGATGCGCATCCCATCAATGAGCCAGCCCACCCTTCTGTTGTGGCCCAGACCCACCACTCAAAGAATCCCTCCCCAAAAGGCTTTGCTGTCCTCACAGGTGGTGTTTGGGGGGTTACTCAGCCTTGCCTGCTCAGCTCTTATCTGCTTTAAACTCCAATTCTGTCAAGACCCTGGATGACCCAACTCTCCCCTCACATGACCAGAGTCTAAGGCCAGAGAGGGAACCCCCCTCTCCAGGAGTCCCTGGAAGAGGCTGGTTCCCCTTGTTATCCCCAGGCTGCATGTAGGGGCACTGAGCCAGTTCCCCTTGAAATGACAGCATTGGGTCCTCAGCAGTATCAGATGCCCCATTTGTTAAATGGGGTGAATGCCTGAGACCTACTCACCTTGTGGTAAGTCTGTCGGAGGCAGGTAAGTTGGGGTGGGGGGCGGGGGACAGGCAAAGACAGTAATAGGAGGTGCTCCCTCCCAGGTCTTCAGCTGGGCCAGCTTAGGACATAAAGCCCCCCAATATTCTGGTTTGGACCTCTCCCAGCTGACCCCTGCTCTGGGTCACTGTTGCCAGACTGAGCCTGTCCGTGTCTGTGGATGCCGACGGGGGCTGGCCTGGAGGGGCCTGGGAATTAAGCTGGGTCCTGGGGGACAAAAGCGGATATGATCAGAGAAGCTTCATGGCTAGAGCAGAGGCTGGTAAAACCCTACTCTATCTCTTGGTAGTTCTGTGGCCACAGACAAATTACTTAATCTTTGTGCCTCGGTTTCCCCATCTGCAAAATGGGAATGACAATAGTAACTACTGTGAAGATTAGACGACATGAAATGCATACAGTGCTTAGAGTAACATGTGCAGTGAGTGCTCCACACCCGTCAGTCACGGCAATGGCTTTTAGAATGGAAGCTCCATGACAATAGGACCATGTTAAGAGCAGTGTCCCCGGCACCTTGACAGGCCTAGCACGCAGTAGGTAGGTAGGCAATAAAACTCTGTGGGTGGATGAATGACCTGCCTCTGCCCTGCCTTCGAGTGGCTCTCCTTAGCCAGGAGGATAAAGACCAACCTTGGCAAAAGCCTTCCTGATCTGCCCTAACCTCCCCTCCCATATCACTCCCATATCTTAGACGTCATCCACCTGCATGCCTGCCAAGCGAGATGCCTCAGGATTGCCACAGCCTCCCCCACCCCACCCAGTTTTGCTAAGCTTTCCCCCCTCCAAGCTTTAGCTTCTGCCATCCCTTCTGTGCAGGGTCCCCTGCCCTATCTCCTTATCTAAAGTCCATCCTGCCAGGGATTTTCTGAAAAGCCCTGCCCCTGCCCCCACTCTGCTCTTCCTTCACTAGTCACAGTATTGGGGCTACCCCCACCTGACTGGAGCACCTCCAGGGCGGGGAGAGGCTGAGTCATCCCTGGGTCCACACGGAGCCCCACGGGATTGTTTACACAGGTTCAGTCAGGGCCCTGTACCCACAGCTTGGAGCCCGGGCGCAGGGGGGCGAGGGGGGGGTCCAGGGCCAGGACTGCTCCTGGGCTCCACGCACCACCTGCTCCCCTAATCCCTCCCTGGACTCCTTCCTTCTCAAAACATTGGAAACTGGTATTTCAGCTTCTAAATGTTGGTTCCAGCCGGGAGAGGCAAGTACTCACCAAGGTCTTCCTCAAAGGTAAATTTACAGAGCAATTAAATCATCACTCGCAGACTCAGGGAGAGGCCCTGGATGGGCAAACCCTGCCCGGCCCACCTGGCCCTGCCTGGGTCTCCAGGCTCCACCTGAAGTGAACAGCCTGGCCCTGCTCTGCAGGGGGCCTTGGGGAGCTACCCCACTGGTCTGGCCCTGGAGGCCACGGGTTTGCTCAGCATCTGTGTGCCCAGCTGTGCTGTGGGCAGACATGGTCCTGCCTCTGATAGCTCCTGAGGCAGGTACAAATGCATGAGGGGGTCATGCTGGGGCAGGCTAGATGTTGTCCTTAGGAGGGGGCACAGAGGCTGCCAGACAAGAGGGTGAAAACTAGGGTGAAGCCGGAAAGACCTGGAACTTCCAAATCCATGCGGGCAAACAAAGAGTCATTTTACCTCCTGCAAATCCCTCTGAGCATCTCAGCGTCCCAGCTTTGCTCTGCTGAGGACATGGAGGCCGAGGAGGGCCAAGTCTGCTGGAGACCACTGAGCACGTCCCAGGTCTCAGCCCCGCTCCTGCCCAGCCCCACTCCTGTTGGCCCAGCTTCTCAGGCCACTCATGGGGTGTCCCAGGTTCCAATGGCCGACCGTGGCTTGGGCTGAGGGCAGAAGATAAGACCGGAGCAGACACCAGTGGCAGGAATTGAAAACTACTGTCGCTCCCACTGGCAGCCCTGACGCTACGCACCCAGTGTAGCAATGGGCGATGTGAGGCCCAGGCGATGAGAGGCTCCAGCCCCGTCCAGCCCCTACCCAATTCCCCTAACCGGAGCGCAGGTTCTGTCTGTCTGCGCTTGTCTGTCCCACATCCCTGAGCTCTCCAGGACCTTCAGGCGTTGGTTGCTTGGCAGGGTGAGCCCGACCCAGCCCTGCCTCCTGCCATGGCCCGTGGCCAGTGAAGGCAACAGGTAACTCGTTTACAAATAGAGGAAATCCAATGGCTCCTAAATATACATACGACAAGATGCCGGACCGATGTTGTAGACAGAAACGTGAGGCAAGACTCTGAGAGAACTCTCTTCTGTTAGATGGGCACAGATCAGAGCGCCTGATAGCATACTACCCTGCCAGGGGGTGGGGGAATGGGCGGGGCAATTGGTACAGTTTTATGGAGAACAATTAGGTAACAGTTATCAAAATTGTAAGTACACATGCCCTTTGACCCAGAATTCCACTTCTAGGAATTTATCCATTAGCGATATTTACAAGTGTGTGAAAGAATGTGGGAACAAGGATATGCCTTGTAACGTGTGTGTATGTGAGAGAGAGAGAGACAGAGACAGAGAGAGAAACAGAGAGAGAGACACAGCAGAGGCAGGAACACCCAAGTGCCAGTCAAACGTTGGGTGAAGAAATGCTGGACAGCCACATGATAGAAGCCTGCACAGCCGCTAAGAAGCACAGAGATGTGCCCCATGGAAGTGTCTCCAAGGGCGACTGTCAGGTGCAAAGAAGGGGGAAAAACAGCACTTAGCATCCCCTCCTTTTCATGCAGAGAGCAGCGGGCACAGACTCAGGTATGGACGTGTAGAGAATAACCTCGGGAAGGAGACACAGACACCAGGAGTGGGGTTTGGGGACAGGGTCGGAGAGACTTTACTGAGGACTTTGAATGTTGTATTAAATGCATGTTTTCATTCAAAAATAAATTTAAAGAATGTAGAAAGCCTACTGGGGAAGCTGAGCTCTGGGCACCCCTGGGACCTGCAGAGAATGGCGGGCTTCACACAGGCCCTCTGGTGCCTCAGAGGATGCAGCTACGCTGTGGGGCTGGGGCAGGGGGTACACTATGTGTGGAGAGGGGCTCCCCACACTCACTGACTGCATGGCCAGGGCCCCCATCCCCAGCTCTGAGGAGGGAGGAGGGCGAGATGATGAGAGAGCAGGAACCCCACCAGTCCCTGCCTCCTTCCTCCCTCCACTAGCAGAATTTGCACACTTCGGTACTTAAGCAAATGACTTCCTTGTGGTTTCCAGTGCTAACGACCTTGCAGGTGCACAGACTCCTGGGGTGAGGGGGACACGAGTCCCTGGGGTGTTCCCCTCCGCCTGCAGGTCCCACCCAGCCTGCTGCCCGGCTTCTGGCCCAGTGCCCAGCCGGGCCTCTTCTGCTATAAGCGGGGATGACATGGTGTTTGTGGACACTCACTGGGTCCTATGGTGACCTACTGAGGCAGAGAGAGGTAGGTGGCTTGTCCAGGATCTAAGCGCTAGGAAGGAGCAGAACCAGCCTTCAGAACCCCATCAGCCCCACCCCAGACGCTGTGCTGGTGGCAAATGCAGGCTGAGTCCCCTCCTCAGGCTGGGCCCAGCCAGGTGGGAAGGAAGAGTGCACAAGGCAGGAAGGCGCAGTTGGCTCCCCTCTCCTCACCTGATGACTTCCAGAGGCCTGCAATGCTTCCTGGGAACAACCGGGATCAGTGATCTGAGGGCAGAGCCCTCTGGGACCTCTCAGGGACTGGGGGTAAAATTAGAACAGATGCTGCCCAGCTGACCCCAACTCCCAGCACCCGGGCCAGCACGAGGGGCCAGGAGCCGGAGGGACCTGTGACCCCCTGGCACAGCGAGGGAAGGGGAGGCCGGGAGAGGAGCAGGCACTGGTACAGCCCACCGCTAGCATGATGCTGGGCCAGGGATCTGACTTTCTGGTGCCTTAGTTACCTCCTCTGTAAAGTGGGGAGAACAACAGCTGTTTTAATTGTTGTTTTGGGGACAAAATGAGATGAGATGAAAGTGCTGAGAACAGTGCCCAGCACAGAGTCAGTGTTATTTTATTATTGTTGTTATTTTCATTATTACTTTTATTTTCAGTACTACGAAAGCACAGAGGAAGCAGGGGTACCTCCTCCCGACTTTTCCTACCACCTCCCAAAGCACATCCATCTCTCACACCACACCAACATCCTTATCCACCACCTCACAAAGATGCTCCGGGACTAGGGTACCCCTCACCCAGACAACACAGCATAGGGGAGAACTAAAGGCTCCCTTCCTCCTAGCCTCCCCTCTTCTGCTGAACACATGGAAACATGAGGTCCAGAAAAGAGGCAGGCCTTGGCCAGGGTCATCCAGGGCAGGAGCTGTGTGATTCTGGGTCTCAGCTGCCCTGGGGAATCAGCACCCCATACTGGAGGCCACAGGGGCACAGACTAAGCTGTGAAATTCAGACCTGCGTCCTGACCCCACCCCACTCCAGGGTCAGAAGACAGGCCCTCCCACCCTGCTCTCTCTTGCAGGACACCCTCCCTGCCAAGTCACTAATGGGTGATATTAAATAATATTTATCTCACTAGTTCCTCCCACAGCTCAACTAAATATAGAAACTAATTTTTTTGAAAAAGGATTTCTGCTCCAGAAAGATAATATTTATATAAGAGGTGGTTTTCATAAACCAATACAAACCCCAAAGCTCCCTTTCTGACAGCTTCTCCTAATTTTCAAGTCAGCCCTGAGGACTGGGACAGCCAGGCCAGAACACCTTCCCCTGGGCTGCCCGGGAACCCCGAGCAGAGGAGGCCCCAAGTCCGGCAAGGACAAGGCTCCAGGCTATATTTTGGGGATGCAGATGTTTCTCTTTGTCCAGATGCCCTAGGGGTGAATAGAGGGGGTGTCCTGCCTGGAAGCGACTTTGGGAGGGGATCTCTGCATTTTCCACCTTCCCTGGGTCTCCTCTGGACAGTATTTGACACTTGCCGTGCCTCTGGATAGAAGGCAGACCCCACACTCCTTCAAGGTGCGAGGAATAAAGGAGACCTCTCCCGCCCCACCAGCAACTGCGCCGGGCCAGAAACGGGCCGGTCCCGCACCCAGGAGGGAAAGACCTCCCCAGGAAACTCCCCGAGCGAGGTCCTGAGTTTGCCACCCGCAGGGCGGTGGAGCTCCTGCTGCCACAGCAGTTCAAAGCCCCCACCGTCTCCCGCCAGCCACATCCGCCTCGGGTCTCAGAAAGAGGAAGACCTGGGGGTGGGGGTGGGAGCACGAAGTCTACCAGCTGACACGCTGCACCTCTGGACGCTTTATTGAGCCCTTGGGGCCAGCTGCAGGTTGGGGCTCGGGAGTCCCCGGCGGGTCGCTCGCAGCGCATCTCGGGGCGCGCACCTGCCTGATGCGGGCGGCTGCAGAGCCGCGCACGGAGCCCGCGCCGACCGCTCAAGGGGGTGCGCTGAGGTGTTCGGGAGTGGATGGGGACGCGGGCGCGGAGGTGGGGAGCCCCGAGGGATCGCACGGGTCCCTAGTATGGAGGGAGCAGCGCGGGGAGGGGAGCCAGGCGTCCGGCCCCCGAGCCCGGAACCCGCCCCCTCCGCCCCCGCGAAGGTGGCCGCGCAGCCCCGCCGGGAGCCCCGGAGCATCTCAAGAGGTTTCCGGAGCCCTCGCTTCCTGCTCGCGCGCGGGGGCCGAGAGCTGGGAGGGGACGGGGCCGCTCCGCGGTCGGGGGGCAGGGGGAGCCGAGGGCGCGGCGCCCAGCCCCGCGCCCCGCTCGGCCGGGCTCTCACCGTTCGGGCCGTAGCGCTCCCGCGCGCCGGTCACCTGCGCGGGGCTCAGGCCGTCCTCGGCGCTCACGGAGAAGCGGCGCAGCACGTCGGCGGCGGGGTGCAGGTGCGCCGCCTCCATGCCGGCCGCCGGGCAGGCTGCGCTGTCCGCACCGTCGGGGCCGCTCTGGGCGGAACTACTGCGCGCGGCTCGGGGAGACCCGCCCCGGGCAGGCGCCGCGAGAGGCCATGTCCGCGCTGGGACCTTCCCCGACGGCAGTGGCGGCCGCCGCCGAGGCCCGCGCCAGGATGCTGCACCCGGGGCTCGTCCCCGGGGCGGGGCGGCGCGGAGCCCGCCCCCGCACTCACACCCCTTCCGGCCGCCCTCCCAGCCCGCCGCAGCCCCGCCCCGCAGCGCCCCGGGGCGCAGCGCTGGGCCGCCGGCCCATTCCGCGGAAGGGGGAACTGAGGCCGCGGGGGAGCGCGCGCCTGGCGGGGGAGAGCCGGGGGCGCGTGGACGGGAGGGGTCTTGCACCGTGCAGAGCTCAGGGCACCCCACACACACAGCGCCGAGACTTGGGGTAACTTTAGAGCTTGAATCTTTGAGTTTCTTTGTTTTGAACCCTTCTGTGTCGTGGGAGGTTGCAAAATGGAGGTGTCCATAGAGAGGCGTCCTACTCCCCGACCAGAATTCTTGAGAATGTGACTCCGGGTCCTGAGGGAACCCTAACCCGAAGGGCCACTCCTCCAAGAGATGACTTGGTGTCTTCTTCTTCTGATGTTTGTTGTTTTTTTTTTTTTTTTTTTTTTTAAGATTTATTTATATATATATACAAAAGCCAGGGTGCAGGCCAGAGGTGCGGGGGTGGGGGTGGTAATGAGAGGATTCACCAGAGACAGAATGGGGAGCAGAACAGGCAGATCGACGGAAATGCACTGCTGAGGGGAGCAGCGGGCGAGACAGGAGAGGTCTGCTGCGCCATGTGGGTATCTCCCTGGCCGGGGATCGAACTTGCACTGCAGAGGCTGTGGATAGCTTCATAGTGCTGATGCCTACCCCCATGCACCACCAAGGAGGCCCCCTGTTGCTTTCATATATTCATTTCCAAATGCTCAGCAATGAGCAGTTATTTCTGGTACAAAAAGAACGTCTAACAATGAGCCAGTATATAAGAAAGTAAGTGTTACCTTTGATTCACACCCTCACCCCAGCAGGAAATGCAACTGCAAGGGAGGAGGTGGGGTTCCCTAGATAATCCAGAGCCAGAGCCGGTGGGGTGGAGGCCTCAGGTGAGGGTTCCCAAGGAGAGTGACCCTGGCCCAGGACGGAGGGGTGGAGGAACCCCACTCCAGACATTCAGGAGAAGGGACTGCAGGTCAGGAAAGGATGTGGAAAGGCTGAAACCACATGCCAGCAGAAAGCACAAGCAAAGAAGCCATCTGCTGAGCACCCCTCCAACTTGAGACACACAGACTTCTCAACCCACCTGCCCTCTTCCCCCACCCAGCTCCCCCCTGCCATCCAGAGCTTCAGCCTCTGGATCCATGTTGGTAGCACAAAGTCTTTGATTCCAGAATTGAGCTCACCAAGCCAGTGGCTCAAACCCCAAACCCTTCAGTGCTTCCACAGCAGAAAACTCTCCAAATACTGCAACTGCAAAATGCCCCCCTCCAACACACATACACCCCAACTTCCAACCTGGCCCCTGACTACTGACTCCTGCCCAGACCTTGGGTACCTGCAACTCCAGATCTCTTCCTCCCAGGACAGGGGTGGGCATCTCTTCCTCTTCCTTGTGCGTCCTCATGCATAGAAATACCCAGCAAGGACTGGCTGAACCAAATGCTCCAGCCTGTCCCTGCTTTTGGTGATCATCTCCACTGTCTCCTGGGGCATCAGCTGGGTCTCTGCCTGCTCTGTGGAGGTGGGGAGAATGCTGGTTTCTGCTACGGCTCCTTCCCGCCTGATGTTTTAGATCCCGAGTATAATATCCTCAGGCATTTCCACTCTGTCCCTGTCTTCTCCCACCTGTATCTACAAAGACCACCCCACCTGTATCCATGTTTCCAGGAAAAATGCTAGCCACAGCTAGGTGGAGGACAGACCCCTCCATCTCCCCACTTCTAGGGACATAAAGCCCTAGGCATTCAAGCAGCTGGGAAGTCCTTCTCCCCCCTCCCCTCCCCATCCCTGGCTCTGACTTCCTTTCACCTGCCCCAAGGACCTTAACCCCAGTCTCTCTCAATCCACCCCACCCTCAGCTGTCAGTCGGTGTTTGCTAGAACAGGGCCAGAAGACCTGCCTGTTTGCTCCGGCAGCCTGGCTTAGGGTCCCCTTCTCTAGCCCACCCCACCCATCTTGCCTCCAAACCACCACAGGTAGGGCAAAACAGCTGTCAGCCACTGGGGCCCCCGCCTGGGAGGCTCACACACCTGTCAGCTTGCCCACCTGTTCGGCCACCCCCATGATGACAAGCTCCCACAGAATCACATAGTATTTCCACACTCTACCTGCCCCCAGTTGTCTGTGCCCTCTGGACAAATAGCTGGTCCAAAGGGTAAGTCTGTTCTGCCCTCTTGCCAGGTGCCATACACTGAGAGCACCAGACCTGGCCCCTGTCCCAGCTCTTTCTAACTCCTGTCAGATGGTGTCAGTACTTATCACCTCTCTGGCCAGCATGCCTACTTTCACCTGAAGGGACCAAAGTGAGCATGGGGAAAAGGCAGGTCTTCCCTGAAAGGATTTGGACACACGAAGAAGAAAGTGTTGTACACAGAGGAAATCTGAGTGGAAGGTGGGAAACCTCAGCTGTGTACAAGAGACAATGATTCAATCCTTCAGCATGGCTAGATCATAAGGAGCATGACCACTAGGATCAGGAGAGTAGATCAGAGATGCGGGATTAAGACACTGAGAGTCTTGATTGCCCGTGTCATTACCTGGATTTCGTACTGAAGGCTGTTTAAGCAATGGAGAGATGAGGTCAGAGTTGCCTTCTAGAAAAGCTTCCCCCTAGAAGCTGTTGTGGAGAAGGAATTGAAGAGGAGAACTGAGGCTGAAAGGACTTGCAATTGTTTTTGAAGAAAAGTGAGGTCGAAACAAAGGCACAGTAGACCAAACTGATAGATAGGCCCTGACATTGGGTTAGATTCAGGGATGTAGAATGTGAGGATTCAACGCTCATTCTTAAGTTTCTGGCTTCAGCAGCTGGCTGAGAGGTCCAGACCTGAGGTAAGGGAGCAGAAGGTTGAAGTGGGGAGAGAAGGCAAGTTGTGCCTTTGGGGCCGAGTGGAGTGTGAGGAACTGGGGGACCCCAGGTGGAGATCTCTAAGGGCAGCTATGTGTGTGTGGAGGGAGGAATGGGGGCTGAAGAGGACTACCTGGGAGGCAGCCTAAAGCAGCACATGTCACCCCCCATCCCAGCTGGAGGGCCCTGGCCCAGAAGTTGCTCAGCCCTAGGCAGTTAAACTGAGCCAATCAAGTTAAACTGAGCCAATCAAGCCACTCATAATCTTGAGAATTATGAGTCAGAGATCATATCCAAAGGGATATGGGAGCTTGGACCAGAGTTAGAGGGCCAGAGTTAGCATCTCCAGTACAGCACGGGAAAGCAGAGAGGAAAACCAAATCCACATGAAGCAAGAAATTGAGACAAGACACCCCATGATGTCAGAGACAGACTGCCTAATGGCACCCAAGTTCCTTAGAGTCTGAGGCCCCCCCCAGATTCCATCCTGCACAATTCTGTGTCCTTCCCACAGACCTGCCTTAAGTTACTACAATCTGAGCAGGTTTTTGTCTTTTGCAACCAAAATGTTGTGTGCCAGCTTTAAATCTGGGCTCTGACTCTTGCATCTGTGTGGCCTTGAGCAAGGCACCGCACCCCTCTGAGCCTTACTTTGCTTCTCTGTAATTATTAGCTGGGGTAAGGCAAGGATGTAAGCTTCATAGAAGTTTATTTCCATGAACATAGAAATAACAACCAAGCAGGTGTTCTGCAGGGTGGAGTGGCAGTACTGACACCCAGGTTCCTTCCATTTTGTGGCTCTGCCACCTTCAACATGGTCCCAAAGTCCCCATCAAACCAACAAAAGGAGGAAGGCCATGGAGGATGGCAATCAGTGAATGAGCCAGGCCAGGAGATGATGACATCATCTCCTCACATTCCATTGGTGAGAATGCAGTCACATGACCACATCTCACTGTATGGGAAGCTGAGAAATAGTCTAGAGGTGCTCCAGGAGCAGAGGAAGCAGATTTGAACAGATAGGCTTAGCCATGTATGGACGTAGTAATAGCCCATTCCTAAGATTGATGAAGTGGGAACACAGGCCAGCCTTCCCCCTTCTGCTTGGCATCTTTTTTTTTTTTAAAGATTATTTATTATTTATACAAGCACTGGGGTACAGTCCAGAGGTGCAGGAGGGTGAGTGGATTCACCAGAGACAGAGCAGGGAGCAGAACAGGCAGAAGGATCGAAATACACTGCTGAGGGGAGCAGCAGGTGAGACAGGAGAGGTCTGCCACACCATATGGGAATCTCCCTGGCCGGTCGGGAATCAAACCGGTTATGCAGAGGCTGCAGACAGCTTCTCAGTGCTGCGCTCAACCCACTGTGCCACCAGGGAGGCCCCTGCTTGACATCTTTATGAGACTCTTCCCAGCCCCCTCCTCCATCCCTACAGTTTCCATAGAGCTGATTCCAACTCCTAGATTCAGGGATGAGTCTGTGACTGTCCCTAGTACTGCTTTTAGACACTGTGTCCTGTGCAACATAGGATGCAGTACATCCAAGCTTACAAACCTCTGGCTACAGAGATAGACTGGTTTAGGCGGAGCATATGACTAGAAGTCAGCCAATCGGAGTCATTGACTTAGATTTTTTTGTTTGGAATATTGGGGGAAATAGTCTTATTTGATGGCTAAAGTGTTGGTGAAATTGACCATAGTAAGTCTGGTGCTCCTGGCAGTCATCTTGCCATCATAAGGTTAGAATTTTGCTGCCAGTGAAGCCACCACCAAGAGAAGCAAGAGGAAGAAAGACAGATTTCTGAAGACAGCTACCTAAAATCAGCCCATCCCTGATTTTTTCAGTGTGAGTCACTAAAACACTTTTTATTTATTTTTTAATTTTATTTATCTTTGCATATAAGAACTGGGTTTTTTTGTAAACTGGGGTTTAATTTTGTTTATTTTGCATTCAAGAACAGGCCAAAGATGTAGAGGGTGAGAGGATTCACCAGAGACAGAGTGGGGAGCAGAACAGGCAGATCGACTGAAATACACTGCTGAGGGGAGCAGCAG